CACAGATGTGGCTGAAAGAATAATGTACGTCTTATCTCTTCCAATCTGCTACCGCTCCATGACGCTTATTCCCTCGAAGTAACCAAAGACGTATTACAAACCATAACCTTAAAGCTCTCGCCGAAGAGATCTGTCGGGTCTGTCCAACTGCATTGATTGTAGCCTCGGATTATGTGGCGAAGGATGCGGAGTTAGCTGTCAGATCGGGCCCAGCATATGACCCAGGACGAGCACAAGAGGTGTTAGGGCAAGTGAAAAAGATGTTGACTTGACTAGAATGCGGAACAACATCTTGTGTAGCTGTAGAGATGGCAGACGTGACAATCACACTTAATTAATGGCCAGGGCTTGACGGTATGGGAGTAGTGACTTGCCCGCGATGTCATAGCAAGTGTAGCACTTAGGTACTGTGATGCAGTCCACAGACTTCCAAGTCTAGCTATTCGCAGTTACTTCTACCAACCAGGCAGGCGGCGCCTTGGTCTCTCTTCGAATTCCTGAGACGATTAGCCTTTTATCTTAAATTTTGATGATAGCCTTACCTTCACAGATGCGAAGAACTGCGTAACCGCAGCTTCACCACCGAGCTGCTCCACCTCGCCTTCCTCCACTCTAGCTTTGACGAGCTTCGCCACAGCGAGGACGTATTTCGGCGCGCTCCGCCTCATGTCTTCGTTGGTAATGGCCGAGTTCTTTATCTGAGCAAGCACGACTTGCATCCAGCGCCTGATGTCTGACCACTGAAGGACGTGGCCACCAAGCGCCAGCGTTTGATGCTGGCGCACCCGGAACACACAGTGAATCGTCCCCGGCATGAAGAAGACAGACTGGCCGGGCTTGAGGACAATATATCTCCAGCGGCCACCTGTAAAGTGGTGGGGGTCAGCCGTCCACGAATTTCGCTCCTCCTCCGTCGGACAAGACATCCAGCCGAACCCGATCGACCCTTCTTGGGCAGTGATCCACGTAGCAAAGCCGTGACTGTCCATGTGCGGCGCCGTGTTGTGGCCCCCTTCCGACAACAGGACCCAGTCGAGAACGTTTTTCCACTCGTTCCACTCCTGCGTTGATGCTACTACCATTTCGGCGCTATCCTCCATCAGCACCGCATTGCGGACTTGAGGGAGAAGCTGACAGTTCTCGCCCGTTAAGGGGCTCGGTATGGGCTGCGGCACAGGGTTCTGCATATCGAGAATGTTCCACGGGTCGTTGGTGTCGTCTTGGGCAAGGAACCGCTTCCGGACTTCACTGAGTTTCCGGACTTCATATGACTGTGCAGTGGAACTGCGAGACGGTATCTGTACGGACACCGACTTGTCAAGGAAGCCCATTCGCCGGAAAAGTTGAGCAATGGGTCTGTCGCCCTTGCTCCATCTGAATTGCTGTTGGCCTTCCGTAATTATCGGGGCGTCGTGAGGAGACCCGGACTCAGCCAGGCTTGCCGCTTCATCGCCGGTGCAAAACAGCGCCTCAACTATGCCCTTGCTACTGTCTGCGTTCGGCTGCTCGGCCTTCTCTAGCAACTTGTAGATAAGTTCGTCGGTTCCCTTGCCGTGGGAGTCTTGCGATGACGTATGCTGGCTAGATTTCTCTCGCAGCTCAGCAAGGACTTGTCTCCGGTAGGTATCATCCGGCATCCGATCGTGCATCGGTCGGTCTCGGGCAACATCTGGTTTCGCCATGGGTGTAGCAGGGAACGGTGGAGTCGCGTCAACCCGGGCCCGTTTTGTTACAGGCTCAATGATATCTGGCAGTGAGGCGGCGCGTCGACGGACGGGGCGGTCGATACCGAAGTGTGTTGCCGCGCTCGAGATGTCTAGGTTCCCCATCAGGGACGCTTTTTGTGCGAAGGCAATGGCCGACGTTTGTGTCGCGAGAAGCTAGAGATGCGAGCGACAGAGTTGTGAGAGGAAAGGCGAGAGTTGCTCTGCCGTCTTTGGACCAAACATAGACGAGTTATCTAGGGCTAACAGGAGTGTTGATGGGACCTCGGCCGGACAGCATCGTGGAGGGATCTTTGGGGGCTTGACTGAGGGAGTAAGTCGAGATTGTTTCGGCCTAGAGGCTCCCCCGCCCTTGGTGGGCTCGTGGTAGGACAACTCCTTGCGTGCACGGAGTGACATTCCAGCAGGCTTGTTAAGAGTGTTATTTGTATCGTTAGAGTTATCCAGGAAGTGAGGAGCCTCTGGAGTCGTTGCGGCCGTGTCCTCTGCTGAACAGGTACTGGATTGGTCATGGCTGGTGGGTGTTGTAGCATCAGCAAAGAAGGCATCAATGACCTCGGCCACAATGTCGTCCGTATTTGAATACGTATGACTGGGTTGTGATGCCGCGAGTGCGAGCATGTCTAGCGCCGTACTGTTTTGCTGCCTTGGTGGCCCCGTGATGTCGGCACGGTTGGCTTCCGGAACAGCCGGCGCCTCCGTAGTAGAGGTGCGGTCAGACTCAGGTACGTCGACAGCGAACTTCTTATGAACCATGAGACCATACTTATCAAACCCGAAGGTATCCGGTAAGTCTTTGGCAGCCAGTTTTTGGCAGGGAAATGGATCTTCGCGTGACCAAGTTCTGAGACTGTCCAGATCGGCCTGTTCAATCGGGTTGACCAAAGCCTTGACCGGCCGTCGATGGATATCCCTAGACCGTTGGAGCATCGACCAGTTCAGACCAACGACAGCTTCCTCCCACACCGGGACTCTCCGCGCCGTGGTGCGCAGTTGATTCCAGTATTTCACTCTCTTGGAGGCCCACTGGTAGTGCTGGACAATGTCTCGGCCCCAACATCGCACGACCTCCTTCAAAGCAGAGAGATGCTTGGATCCGTCTGTGGCCACCCCCAAAAAGCGATCCCACTGCGCTGCATCGTCATCTTTGTTTGTTGGCAACGGCGGGGTCGAGTCTCGGTTTTTGGTCTGCTTCCGCCGTCTGTACTCGGGGCACTCGGTCGACATGACATGCTCGCAGGCGGCGACCAAGACCTGCAGTCCGCTATGTTGGTCGAGCAGCTCATCTCGCTTCTGCACACACAGGCCGTATCGCTGCGTATCGGTCTCGCAGAGGCGGAGATCTTCACGGAAGCGGTCGACCTGCGAGGCTTGGTCGGGCGCCAAAACAATCGCGTCATCGTCGGGTTCATTGTTCGGACGCATTTCGGCGGGCCGGGACGGTCCGCCATCGTCCAGTCGCGGAACTGATGAGTGCGCCATATCGGACTCGGTCATGGTGTGCAGAGTGCGTGGCTGTGGTTTGTGGTTATGGACACGTAAGAAGGTGTCGCAAATAGCGGTGGCGACCTAATCTGCTGGTCACTTTTGGACCTGCACATGTGGGCCGTCAATGGGCGAATATCATTGGCTCTCTCACAGTTGAAACACGTCACGTCTCACGTGGCCATGCACAGCGCGTCGCGGGTTCCCCGCCAATCTCACACGACTCTCCAAACGTTGCGAATATCGCGACTGCATGTCGTTCTAACACAGTGCGCCTCGGTATCATCTGTGCGAACGTTAACTGCTATTCGCAATCAACCCGTAAGTGACCCACAGGTGCCTATCGAAGCTCACCGATAGCTCTCCACGGCCTCTTCCTGTCCACTACGTGGTACGATGGGATGGAGTGGATGCCCGCTGATCAATGGACCTTCCCATAACGTTTGCGCGAGCAGAAAGCAGATGTGAATAGATTTCTTGCAATCTGTTTTGTAAAGTGCAGCAAAGCGAGCCTCCCCCAGCAGCATCTCAATCTGGCCTCCCCAAAAATGAGATGATGACTCCCAAGCAAATCTTGTGATCGAGTCCGAAACCGTAACAAAAGAATCCGCCCTCTTCATTTTCTTCCTTTCCTCTCTCGTTCTAGCCACCCACTGCTGCGCCTTCTCTACCGCTGTACGAGCTGAGCCTCTATGCTCCAGCAGGTAGGATTGTATTTCGGCCGGGGAAAACTCCAGCTCCGGTAATTTCCCAACAAATTCATGTGCATATTTTTCAATCGCTGCGTCATCTTCTGTCGGTTTCCCCGGATCCTGAATATCACTCGTCGACCGCTTGAAGACCATGCAGAAAAGCCGAAACATCACATCCTTATCAGCATGTGGAAGCTCAATTCTCTTGTCCGTACGACCCGCCCGGATAAGAGCCGGATCCAGATAGTCGATATGGTTCGTCGTCATCATGAGCAGCCGGCCTTCGTGTGATGATATCCCGTCGAGAGCGTTGAGGAGGTTTGACAGGGGCAACTTGCCTTCGGGCTTCGCCGAATCTTTCTTAGCTCGTTCGGTATTCGCTTCTGCCTGTCGAGGTTGCGTCATGCCGACAGCGTCCACGTCCTCCAATAGGAGGACGCATCTAGAGGGAAGCTCCGTGAGTAACATATTCATAGCGCGGGCGTCTATGTCGGAGATGTTGAGAACGTAGACGTCCAAGTCAAAGCGTCCGGCTATCGACAAACACAAGCTGGATTTCCCGGTCCCGGGCGGTCCGTAGAGCAGGTATCTTCTCCGATACGGGATACCGCGGTTGGCATGCCACATGCGAGCTCCGGAGCCGAGGAACCCTTCGATGTCTTCCACAAGTTCTTTTTTCTCTTCCTCCTTCATGACGACAGTTGAGAGTGGCCTAATACTCCTCAATTTTGTTCTTTTCCACTTGCCCTCTTGGTGCTCAAAGACAGTGGTCTTGTTCTCAGTGAGCTTCAGGTACTCGTCCCGGCAGTGGTCGAAAAACTGCTTCAAGACAGCTGGAGATCCGAAACCCGAGACCGTAATTGCCTCCTCCTTACGATAGCCGGCGTCCTTTTCTGCTGAGCGAAACCAGAACAAGTGGTTCTCGTATATGAAGTAGAAAGTTCCATCCCAAGGTGAGTGCCAGCTACTCTGCAACTGAAACCGGCTGCAAGCTCATATGCGCCCATACATTTCCGCCGCCAACGTGGAATGATCTCCACGAATAGATGCGCATGATTCAGCAAGATCCCTTCAGCCCTCCAACGCCCGCTGCTTGTCAGTCGGGTTACACGGCGGAAACTGCAAGTCCCAACGCACGGGCGCGTTTTTTCACTGTGTAAAATTCGCCAAGCGTCTGTGCGCAACTCTGGCGGCGTCCAGTCAGCTTAAAGAGCATAAAGTGGGGGCTGGGGCATCCACATTTCTCAATGGGCCGGGCTGACATTTTCACCGTGAAAGTAACCGGCATATACCACTCTATGAGAAAGACCCGGGACTTCCTTGATCATGGCAGAAAAAACGCTACTCTCCACCGACATAGTTCTCCAGTACCAATTCCGCAACCAACTACTCCAGCAATTCCGATTTCATGATGTCCCATGTCCACAACGTGACAACTCCGAAGCCGAGTGCGAGGGCCAGCAAGAGGGCCAGCAATATGAGCGCAAAACAGGCACCCCCAAGAGCTACAAATCTCAGTTCCCAGCCAAGTCTAACAGTCTCGTCCCAATCGAGGCGTTGCCTGTAAGCCATGTACCTGCTGACGAGTTCGGCGGCCAAGATAAAGCTGACAAAATTCACAGCGGTATTAACCCTCTTCAATAGTTTGTCAGCACCTATTACTCGCTAATGAGAACAAGAGTATGTGCTATTAGCATACACTTACGTTGTATAAGTTGTATAAACGATCCATGGCGAGGGGGAGACAAGGGAACGATATTGCGTAGGGTGCAAAGACGGTGACGGTTGACGGAGATATCTGGTTCTGTCCTTGATATGCCGCCTTATATGTTTTCAAAGTGCCAACTCATCACCTGCCTGACTCCAATCTACAAGTCATATTGACCAGCCAAGGCAACCCGAAGCTCGTTGTCGCAACTCGGAGTCTTTCCAAACTGCGAACTGGGCTGCCATTGGTGCACATGAGAAAGCACCCACATAACTATCTGCATAAAACTTTAGTCCAGCCAATGAGAGAGTAGACAACCCTATGATTCACTTGAGTCGCTAGGTAGTGTTACACAGCAGCAAATCAAGGCATGCACCAGCCCAAGGTGCCAAAGCCCCCCTTGTTAAGTACCTTTGAAGCCTGACGGGCTGCCGCAGGCTGAGTGTTCTCTTGACATAGACAATGGCATTCATCCTCATCAAAACGGCCCCTTTAGAACCAAAGTAGACAAATGGTACACACTGACCTGACAATGCCCGTCGACCTTGAACAGCACGGTTTCTTCAGTCAAGGGTCGCCCCACAAGTCATGGGAATCGAAGAAGGACACCATCCGAAGACTGTACATCGAAGAAGCCCGGCCATTATGGGAAGTACATGAGATAATGATGAAGGAACACGATTTCAAAGCCTCGTGAGTATTGGGGCTCTTGCGGGCTTTCCTTGTACCATTGCGTGTCATCCTCGCTCCGCGCTGACCCACATCCTTTAGTATTCAGCAGTACAAAACTCGATTCAAACAATGGGGTCCGCCTTTTCCCAAAAACAAGACACGAACAAGGGCCCACGAGCAAGTCCCCATTCCTTCAGGCTCCGCGAGAAGAACGAGACCCAGGAGAATTACTACCAGGCTGGAACATCAGCGCTCAGTAGCAACCTCCGGAGATGCCAGACTGGTCATACTCTTGCCCAAATCGCCTCGCACACCAGCAGTGGAGCTCGCCTTGCGCTCAGCGGGCAACTATACACAGGGGCTGCTCAACGACTTCACTTGGGATAACTTCACGATAACATCCCAGGCCGGAAGGTGTGATTTCGCAGCACAGTGGCAAGAGATTGTGGACCAGTGCTGGGGTGCCACAGAGCTGGTGCTGCGGAAGGAGTTGCCCAATGGCTTTAACGCATTGCAGCAGATGTGCGCGAAGCTGAGTGACGTGGTCCGATTTGTCAGCCCGGCGATGATGGTCAAGTTGTGGAGGCTGTGTTACCGACTCTACAAGACATGCTCCAAAATGGGCGACGGTGATTTTCGACTCCTCCGTGAGTTTCTCAGATACATCAGAGAACTCATGGGTCACCATCATGGGAACCACCCGCTTTGCCTGGCGCTGGACGCGATATCTACGGCTCCTGGAGGTGAGCTACGCGACACTCTGAGAGTGTTCTATCTCATCACAATCCGGGCCATGGAGTCCCGATTGGGACAGCATCACTCCGTCGTTCTAAATATGTGGTCCAACTACTTGAAATACTGGGAGGGAGATGGCTTGGACAGCGCGAGCTTCATCCAGGGGTACCAAGCGCTCCTCGGCACTTCCGAGTCCGAGTTTGGGGCGATAGCAGAAAGCACCGTCACGGTGCTCCACGGCTTCATGTACGCCGCATACTACAACCTGAAAGACAAAGCTCTCACCAAACACCTCGCTTTAGAGCTGCACAGCAGGGTACCGCAAATGCCTTGCCTTCAGGGAGTTCCTTGGTGGAGTGTGCCTACGCAAGGATTTGCCCTTGCAGCAAAACTGCTTGCCACACTGAGCCTTGAAGAAGGGCAAATCGAAGCCTCGTGGTCGTTCATAGAAAATGCTGTCAATCGGTTGAGCCAAGGGGATGGGGAATGTCAAACGAGATCACGTATGCTGAAAGGGATTCTGGATGGCTGGCAAAGAGAACAGCTGCGGCACACACAATTGCCACACAGACTTTCACAATCAGTGGCAGTGGCTTCGGAGGACGCTGTTTGATTCTGGTGGAGATGGTTCAGTTTGCATTTGGCAACCCTGACTTCCAGAGCGGGCTCATGTTGACCCCGGCTACCATTCACTGGCAATAAAGTACTGGGCAAAGCCCCTTGATGAAACATCCGCTCTTTATTTAGCTGTGCCAACTCCTCTGTATCAGGGTAATTCCAATATCTGGGCTCAGCGACAATCTTGCTCTCGCTTGGCCTGTTGAGGGCAAGTCTATCCTGAAAAACACCCAAAAGACTCGAGATCTTTGAGGCGGCCCTGTCCTCCAAGAGACAACGGCAAGGCTTCCTCCGGATATTTATCTCGGACCACAAGTGGAAAGATGGCCAGCCGACCGAAGAGGAGGCCTTGATGATGCTAAAAGGGGGACGACAGTGCCATCCCTGTGCCTGCCGTCTTCATGTTCGTCCCCGGGATGCCTGTCGTTGTGAACCAGAACACCCACCAGGGCCTGAAGCTAGTCAACGGTGCCAGCTACACTGCGCTCAACGTCATTCTCGACAAAGCACACCCGGGCCACCGCGTTAATGCCGACACCATTATCCACTTCAGCCCACCGGCAGGTATTTTGCTAACGTCTGACACAACCAAAGACCTCCACTTCGTTAGTATGCCGCCCGGCACTATCTTACTGACACCTGTCAGCACGAAAATAGAGTGCTAAAAAAAGCGCCCCTGGTAACAGAACACCGTCGTCCGCCGAGGTTTGCCGTACGTAGCTGCGTTCACCTGCACAGATTATAAGGTGTAAGGCAGGACGTTAAGTAGGGTAGCGTTAGAACTGCGCAGGACACAGATAACAGTGGTTAACGGAGAAACCATCCCTAACCAGTACGACCTATATAACCTATACGTGCAGCTGTCTCAGTGTCCGTCGCTTAACGGTATTATACTGTTGTCGAGGGTACGGGGACGGGACTTTATGGGAAACACTATACCGGAAAGCATAGTGGCGGTAGAGAAAAGGTTAGAACACTTAAGTAAGGCGACTGTTAAGGATGTAGAAATCCAGGGCTGGTGAAGGAAAAAGGAAGAAAAACAAAGGAAAATTCTAGCGTTAAAGAACTTACGACGTAAATGAAACGCCTCCCTGGAATAACGTCGGCAACAGGGGGGGGGGGTGGGTAATTCCGTCGGCCTTTCTTATTAGCCGGCGCGAACCGGGGACGTGATCCCAGACGTAGTCCATTAAGCCTTTTTCGCGAGAGCACGCGAAAGCATGTGATTTGATCTGAAACAAAATTGATGAGTGTTTGTGGGGCTGCTTGGGGTGGGCGGCGGGGTGGGGCATACAGGAGACGCAAACCGCAAGCGGTTCGCCTAAAGAGCCTTGAGGAACGAAGCCAGACGACAGGATACAGTTGAATACGTTGGGCGTTTGCTGTCAAACTTCGTCGATCCGATTGCAACGAGGGGGTTGCTTTTTCCTGGCTGACATTTGGTGGGTTCAGGAGTGGCCCACGCGGCCAGGGTCCCTGGCGGCACATGCGATGCAGATCAACAAGGGTTGAAGGTGGGGAGAAATCAGGCGAGAACTGGGGAATACGACATAAATTCGACAAACTCTATTTAAACTTCTTTCCAATTATTGTACTCTTTGTAACTGTCTCGGCTGCTGCTCCTGATAATGGACACACGACCGATTCGCTTCGAACTTCAGCGCGGGGAGGGGCGATGAGCTGAGGTTCATTCACAATATTTCCAGCGATCTCATCAACCCCCAAGCCCTGTCACGGCATAGCGCGTTTCGGGTTCCTTATCGCATTGCCGTGTGACGTCATTTCCCGATAGGCCCAGTTAGGCTTAGTGCTTTAGTCACGTGGTTGCGAGCTACCCCGCCTACAACCTTTTCTACCGATCACACAATTCGCGATTCTTCTTCTTTTTCCTTTTTTTCTTCTTTAGCTTAGTTTTACACTAAATCAATACGGTATATTGTTGGCAACAGTCCTTCGAAACCTATTAACCGTGACAAGCCCTAGCTGCACAAAGAGAGAGCAAGTACGGAAGTCTATTTTTCACAGCGATACAGTCCATTCTTAAAGAGCATCAAGCGGCATGCCGCGCCGCTTTAAAAGGATCGCCCTCGTCCATCTGATCTAACCTTGCAAGCGATAAGTGGGGCTACGCCCCACCAGGTCTGAGCTAGAGGCCTGGGCCTTGTGACTGTGATAGCGGCCGGGTCTCAAAGAAGGCGTGTGCGGGAGCCTGCCCTCTCCACCTTCATTCTTTAACTTTGTCGCTCAATCGCCACACAAGCCTTCAAATACCAAGCACCATTCATTTCGACAATGCCTACAATTCTTCAGCTTCCCAACGAAATAATATCTCTGATCGCTTGCGAACTCGCCCCTATCAGCAGTGTGGTGGCTTGTGGGGCGCTGGAGGTGGCGTGATCAAATTACCAATGGGACGAGACAGCCACTGCCAAGCACTAGCCACTTGCGCTTCAAGGCAAGAAGCGGGCGCAGTGATTGGAACGGTCCCTTGATTTGCATGTAGCATGAGAGAGGTGGCTCAGTATCGCGCCACCATCATATCATCAGACAGTAGAAATTGAAAACCTATCATGCTAAAGGAACCAGACACTGGGTTGAGGTATTAAACATTTAAATACACTCCGACCTAAGAGTACCTCCAAATCCCCAATACCTTACTTTCACTACCTTGGTGTCATGATCATTCCTGCATCACTGTTTTCTACAACGGATATGACGTCGAACTCAAACGGTCATACCATTCTGGACGAAATCCGCACCTATCCACCACTTGGGCAGTCCATGTGGACTTGGTCGAACTTTGAGGAATGCCATCGGCGGCGCGTTGGCCGCTGGGATGACTTTCGCAGCAAGGCTGGTCTGGAACCACCGCTTGGATTCACCTTCGCTTACAGCGCTGCAAGTAATTCTGTTCAGGGTAACGCTGTCCAATATCTGGAGGAGAAAGAACTCATCACTTGGCTCAGGTCGGATGGGGGCCAGGAAGAGAAAATCAAGTTAATACTCATTTTCCTAAGAGAAACATGGCCCCCTTTCACAGTTAATATCAATCAGGAGACCCTCAGAGGACTGGCTGCAGTGACAGGCGGACCTCCTGTTCTTCAAAACCATTATTTATCAAAAGTCTCGGGAATTAATGAACGATTTCCAGGACCAAGGGATGGGGATACTGGTGAGTCGAATGCCTAATTGTACGTTATAAGATATTGATAACATTTTAGTGTTTATTTGCTCCTCCGGAATGTGCTGGCTTTATCCACAGTCTGTAACGATACGGTATAACGCCAGAGACGACAAGGTGGTGGGGTACATTGTTGCGGATCTCGGAGCTTTCGACCACACAGCACTTTACGGTATCACCTCTGAAGCCGAGAGTTTTCAGAATCATCCGCTTTTGATTCCAGTTCTTGCGCTGGAGAGAGCACTTGAGGTCTTATGCTGCGATCTTGAATTCTACTGCATCCACACCGTTCGCGAAAACGTCCCCTTGGACCGCGAGTACTCCAAAAAGGTTCCGAGTTATCAGTCATATTTTTATGGTTGGCGTGGGAGACTGTCTGCAACCAATTCCACTGCAGAATTCCTCGCATGGGAGCTGGAGCTTCAGCACGAATGGTTGCCGTCCTCACCAACACAGCAATACTCCATGGCATCGACGCTGCTGATCACCCGGGTGAAACGGGCATTGGCTTTCATAGAACAGTTCACTCGCTTCGCTGATGATATCACCGGAAGAATGTCCGCGTGGCAAGCCGGGGTACGTTGATACCTAGTTGATGGTGCTTGTTTCCACTTAACAAACCAGTGAAGAGCAAACTCTGATGTAACCAGTAGGCTTTTCATAAAGTTGCCCAAGAAGATTCCGACTTCAATAAGGAGCTTATGAGCCAGGGCAAGAGAGACAGCTCCACTATGAAGTTCCTCGCTTTTCTCGGGACTATCTTCTTGCCATTGACATTTGTCTCTGTAGGCAACAATCTTTTGTCTGTATGATGACTAAATACGCCCAAACTAATTACCAACCTCATAGTCTTTCTTTTCCATGCCAGTCTTTGACTGGCGCACTTCGACTGCAGATGGCTTTGTTGGGTCAAGGTTCTGGCTTTGGTGGGCGACCGTGCTTCCGTTGACGGCGGCAACTGTACTTTTGATGTACCTGTGGATCAGATTGAAGCTTGGAAACCAAGGCAAGGAACATGTTTATGTTTAGGGGGATCGCACTGGAATTCGAAGCGAATCGGTTGTGTGTCAATAAGCCGGAGCAGCAGAGAACGCAGTTACCGACAGTATGATAATTAGAAAGAAGTTCAAAATAGAGTTTGTTGAATTTGATGTCATATTTCCCAGTTCTCACCTGATTTTCCCCCACATTCAACCCTTGTTGGAGATCTGCATTGCGTGTGCCACCAAGGGACCCTGGCAACCTGTGGTCAAAAAACCCCGGACTCAATACCTCAAAGTACATCTTCACACCGCTAGTTTTGTATGGAATTAAGGTACCTCCGTGGTATCACACTGTTAGCATCCAGTCATCCGACCATCGCCTGCTAACACGACCTGCATCATCTCATTGATGGAAGTGTTGTAAAATTGCTAGGGGCTGTTAGCGCAAGCCACATCACGCTATTTTCACTACCATTGCAGTCCGGTTTTTTTGACAACAGGTTGCCTGGGCCCTGGCATTCCTGAAACCTAAAAAATGTCAGCCAGTAAAAAGTAACTCCCTCGCTGCAGTAGGATTGACGAAGTTTTACAACAAACAATCCAACATCTTCGACTATATCCTCTCGTCTAGCTTCGTTCCTCAAGTCTCTTTAGGCAAACCGCTTGCGGCTTGCGTCTCCTATAATCCCTAGAAGTAACCCACATCTACTGGTTATTTTTCAACCACCTAATGTGGGGCTCATCCTCACATGCGAGGTCAGATGATGCAAACAGGTGACGCAGTACCTGGCGCTGAGCTAATGGGAGCCCTCTAGCCATCCCCACTTTCGGAGTGCTGTTGCTATTGGGTGAGCTAGGGGCTCGGGACTCCGGCCCACCCCGCGACGTCGGTGCCTAACCTTCACGCCCAGAATCTACGGGATTGAAACCGACAATAGTTATACTTGGCCAGACCTCCGATACCCCAATCCTGCCAGCTTGAGTTCCCCTGCCAGAGTATGGATGTGCTTGAATCAACCCGCAATCCCGATTCCGTCGAAAGCATCTCTCCAAATGGCAACGTTATCCTAGTCGTCGGGCCACAAGCTGTACGACTGAGAGTTCATTCCTTGTCAGCTACCTACCGAGCTGGACGAAGGGTCAGCCGATACTTTTCAGCCGCAGTTGACGCGTAAATCCTCAACCACCACACACGCTTGTTCTTTGCGTATGTTGGCAAAGCACTTCTCAATGCTCATTGGTGGTGATAACGCCACTGTCGGCGATGTCCGTTGAATGGCGTGCTTCTTCACCAAGACAGTAACATCATATGACTCGAAGGCTGAGCTTGCACACCAAAAAGCCCTCATATGAAACACTGCCCAACTTGCACTACCTGGCAAGAACAGCATGGTTCCGATAAAAATATAAATTTGTCAGGGCAGAACAAAACCGATCCATGAATTTGGCCCGGCAAATTCTCCCCCATCGCTCTCCTCACCTCCGGCCTTGATAGATGCTGGCATGATTTGTTTCAAATGGCTCACATTGCTATTCCGTACTTCACTCGGGCTTCTTTCATTGGTTCCGCGGACGGAACGCCGGGCTCCCTTCACGATGAGATTGAATGCTACAATCTGCCTTACGGCGGCCTTGGATTTCTCTCCAATGTTCTCACCTACTTAAACATCCTATTGGTGGCTGCCGGCGTCAGTCCTCTCAAAATCTTCACGGGAGGCTTCATTTGTTCCAAGAGCAGTCGGGTCTCAGCATGCTGGGCCGCCCCTATCTTACCGGTGGCCAGCCTACTGTTCACCGTTCCGATCGCTATATACACGACGTATAGCTGTCGGAGAAGCTGGGAGCTTGTGCTCATTGCTATCTGGAGGACTACCCTCACCTTGACCGTCAATCTGATGGAGATTCATTGTTGGCGTGCTATGGGGAACTGGGAGAAGTCTGCAAGGCGCGACGTCGAAACCGCCCAGGCCGGTCTCCAAAGCGGTGAAGATTACGAAATGTATGGATACGAGGCAAGAGATCGCCCGGGTCGAACGGCAAATGAGATAACCGTGACTCCGAAAAGGAAAGGCCGAGGGTACATGAAAGAAACGGCTAAGACACTACTCTGGGCTCTCATTTATTGTTTGGGTATCGTTGTCGGAACCATCGGACTTTTATCTCTTGTGGTAAAGACGTTCAACTCCTCTCGTAATGTGAAGATTGTTACTGGGGTTTTCATCGGCGTCTTAGGAATAGGTGTTCTTTGCGCTCTAGTTATCGGAGGTTTTGCGGCGGTGTACATCAGGGGCATGGCTATGGCTTTGGAGGAAAGCAGGGCCGAAGGCTCAGGGAGGGAGCAAGCGAGCAGAGTCGGAGCACCCGTGATCGCTTTGGGGTCGACAATTTCCGGCGTCGCGGGATTGATCCTTGGCTTGGAACTCTTGGTTGCTGTTTGTGGAGATTTCATCCTTGCGGCAATTGCGGACAATTGGTCGGGTGTGCCTGGAAGCAGCCATCCTTATATCTACTGGATATATTTCGCAGCCAAGCGGCTTCCAATGTTCTTTCCCTAGGTCACGGGTTCCCAAATAAGCGAGCCGGTTCGCAATGATCGCTTCCAGTGCCTTCCCCAGAGCGTTGAGTAGCGCGATGGGCCTGTATGCATTTGGCTGAGTGTAATCGTCCTCCCCTGGCTTCCGGAGAACTACCGTGACCGCGTTCCTGAAGTGCGCAGGGCAGTATCCTTGGCGTAGGCATGCGTTGAACAGCCTGTGGAGGCTTGGGAGCAGGATATCGAGTGTCTGCTGTACGATGCGGTTGGTGATGCCGTCGGGTCCCGGAGCCTTGTTCGGAGATGCTCGGCGTACAGCGTTCTCGATTTCGGGCGCGGTGATGTCAGGGCATTCGATAGGCGTCGGGTATAGGTACCCTTCGATGTCCGAAAGGTCGGCTTGGAGCGGCGGCGAGAAAAAGGATTGGCGGAGCACCTCAGCCTTCTCCTCTGGATCATGGGCAAAGGCCCCGTCCGGCTTGGCCAGCGCCGGCGTGCAGGTTGGTGATACGTCGTGCCTATTCTTGGCCCATTTGACCGGTTTTCAGAGGCCGGACGGTGATGCAGATGCTTCTTCTACCCTTTGGCGATGAGTGTTACGCAGAGTCTTTTGGATGTGTCGGCCCTTCCTGTTGCGCGCTTCCCGGTAGGTCTCATAGTCTTCGTTCTGCCTCGTTCGTTGCCACCGTCGGCGGAGTTGCTGGACTTCTCTGCAGATATCCTTGCACTCTTGGTTGAACCCCGCGACGGATCGTGGTGACGGGTTGGACCATGGCGTTGACGCCTCGATACCGGCATCGACAATACAGGAGACGAGCCTATCGATGCTGTCGTTGTCCCTGGGCTCTGTTACTTCGTTCATTCGGTACAGGCGCTCCTTTACCGTCTGCCAGAGGACTGGGAGGTTTGTTTTGGCCCACATGCGCTTTTTTGTGGGTGCTGCCGGTTGCCAGCGCCAGTCAATGGCTACAGCGATCGGAAGGTGGTCGGAGTCATAGTCCAGGCTACCGTAAATCTTGCAGTAGATGAGACGGGACGCTAGGTCCTCGGAGGCAAAGGCCAGGTCAATCGTGGATTCTCCGGTCTTCCACCGGTGCGTCGGGGTTCCAGGTACCGTGAGGAGTCTCAGCTGGAAATCCTCGATGATCGCGAGTAGATGTTGAGCGCTTGGCCCGTCTCCGGCGCGCCGGTGTGTTGCTGACCAGAGGGGGTGGTGGAGGTTGAAGTCTCCAAGCAGGAGGAATTCGTCGCTCGGGTCCGTCGAGGATGGCGGCCAGGACGCCCTCGTTGCCCTCCTTGATGGCCACCCCGCTAGGGTCAGTAATCATCACCATTCACATCCATCTCGAAAGTATCCACTTACAACCTACAATACCGACAACACCAGGGTCAATAATCATCACCATTTCATCTGTCTTGTCTTCTTGCTTCGTTCCTCAAGGCTCTTTAGGCAAACCGCAAGCGGTTTGCGTCTCCTGTGATAACATGAAACGTAGCAGAAAGCCAGACGCCATAATCTGGCGAGTCCCACATGGACCGGTCGGATAATAACCAGTAAGTGTGGGAGTATTCGGGGGGACGAGAGTTCCGGGGCACCCGCTCCTCGATATCCATGTCCTTCCACTCGCGCCCAGTCTTCCCCACGGCGGCACGGCGAAAGTACACCCGCTTACCCCACTTCCATGCCTCGACGCCGCCGAAGAATAGGCCAGCCGCGACGAACACGATGCCCCACTCCCACGAGATGCCCGTGTGTTTAAAGACCTTATGGTTCACAACGGGAATTTACAGCGTCGGGAAGAGCGTGACGAAGCCGCCAATGATGGCCCAGAACAGAAACTGGTTCCGCCACACGTCTCGAATCCACTGCGTAAAATACGCCTTGGAACCAGGCTGCATGCGGAAGAAGGGGCGGCGCACGTCGACAAGCTCCCACGCAAGGAAAAGGGCGAACCAGGTTAGACATGCGAACGTAGTGGCGCGCGCGCGGAAGACGGTTTCACAGGCTGGGGAGTAGCGGTCGTTGCAAGCGTCGCCGAGGGAGCCGTAGCCGAAAGCGTAGACGCGCAGGACGAACGAGGCGAGGCAAAGTGTGGTGATCCACAGCCCATAGACGACCATGTCGACGATGAACTCGAACGTAAAGATGCCCGTCTTGAGGGATTGGGGTGGGCGCCGCATAATGTCCGGTACGGCGCGCTCAAAACCGAGACCCATGTCGGGCAGGCCGGAAGTGGATCATGATGATCCAGACGATCTCAACGGGCGCGAGCGGGAACACAGACAGGCCGGACGTGTCCTTGAAGACAAGACCGATCAGCAGAGTGCCTGCCTGTGCGATGTTCTCCGCCAGCACGTGCAGAACGAATTTCTGAATGTTGTCAAAAATGTGGCGGCCCTCCTCGATGAAAGGCCCAGGTGAGGGGAGAAGAATTGGGTTTCGGCGGAATGAATTTAATCTCATTCTTTGTGCAAAGGGCAGGTTCCGGATAGGACGTGGATGTGATAAGGTTATGACGATTTGAGTTGCGAAACTGGTACTTTAAGCTTATTTTGGACCAGCCGGATCACAGCCCTAGACTAGGGAGATTTAGCAAGTCAGCGACTACAAGAATCAGGAACATCTGTCTTACCCCGGCCTCGGCGCACATCTGCTCAAGTCTCTGTGAGCGATGGATGGAGGCACTGTCCATAACAAGCACGTGACAGGCTAGCCGCCGCTAAATTTAGCTCGCGCCAGAATCAGGGCTGCAGCGTCGCAGTCGAGATGTCCCAGAAACTGGACCCTTGTGCGCATATCCACTCTGCGAACCCCACCGAGATCATCGGATCAATCCATCTGACGGATCGATGCACAGTTCCCTTCGCGGAATGCGGCAACTCATTCCCTGGCGCCGGAAAGAGGAAGAGTCGTGTTGCGGGTGACTCGACTGGGTGGCAAGCGAGAACGCAGCCCAGAGCGGCGGGATGAAGAGGAGCGAGTCAAGGATCATAGCTGCAAACGTTGAAGATGTTAGAATATCGAGATGAACATGAATGTCCAGCAAAACGGACTGGGGACTGGGTACGAGTATTTGGCCCGCCTCGCCGATCGTGAGCGGAGAGCTTGGAAATAGACAACACATACAAAAGTTCCAGGGCTGTTTCTCATGCTCTGGCCAGGCTCTGGCCACTATCATCTGCACCAAGCCTCTTTTGGGTTAGTTCTGAGACACCGGGTGATATCCGCTGCAGAGGCCGCGCCAAGATCTTATGGAGTAATCGCCCACTCCCCCCATCGTAGCTTCTCAATATCATGAACCGCCCAGGAGGGGATTCCATGGTGAAGCCCTGAGAAGGGAGAATAAATGCGCAGGTCTGAAGTGTCTTTCAATAGAATGGTCTTGGCATTCAATTTGTCGGACAAGCCCAGCGTAGTCCGGCGGCTCGCTGCCGGTGTTCGCCGCACTGAGACTCGCGCCATTTTTGTCCCGAAGGCCTGTATATAAAGGCTCTGAGGCGTCGATAGCTATTCAATAAAAGATCCAGTGGCGCCAAAGGAACAGTATTCTCAGCCGCACCTTGAAGGAACTGGCGTCCAGTGCCCGCCTGCAACCTGTTGGCTTCGACACACAGATGGATTATATTGAGAATTGATTGTCCCCGCCCCGCTCTCTGGCTTCGCCAGAGAGCCATTATTATAGATGGACATAGTGGCGAAGTAGATGGCAAATAATAATGCCCTTTCGATCAAACTTGCCACTCATTAGGCCACCAATGATGATAGGCCCGTATGTAGGCCTTGATGCCTACACATCCTTTTAGGCTCCATTCAGCTGGTACGATGTAGCCAATCCAACACACCCCCTTCAGTCGAGTGCCATGCTGGCGGTTGGCTGAAAGGCGTCAAAAGTGAGGATATTTTAGGCGATCTCGACCTCTCCTCCTTGGAACTCATCCTCTAGCGCCTTTAAATCTTCGTCAGTCAAGATCCTCAGATCTTCATTCCTTGTGATCAGCGCCTCAGTCACATCCACAACTCCAATTTGATCTCTAAATCGTAAGAAATCTGTCTCGTGGAGGGCCTTGGTGAGTCCATCAGCTACCATCTGCTTCGTTGGCGTGTAGTTGATCCGAATCTGGCCCCTCTCTGCTGCTTCGCGAAGCCAGTGGTTGTGGATGTCCACATGCCTTAATTTGGTTCGTAAAGTAGCGATTTCTTTTGTGACCAGTCCAATCGTCTGGGTATTGTCGCACCAGAGCTGTACTGCTTCATCGTCGAAGGTTACACCGATCTCCTTGACCAATCGATCTGCATATAGGGCTTCTTTTGTTGCTTGAGCAAGAGCTAATAATTCAGCTTCCGTAGTTGAAGTCGTGACCGTATCTTGCTTGTTGGCACGCCAGCCGATCGTTCCTCCGAATAGCTTCATAACATATCCTTGGGAGCTTCGTCGATCTATGGTGTTATCGGCAAAGGAGGCATCGCTCCATGTAGTCATACCATCCTCACCCCCAAGCTTGAGTGCGTAGTTGGCTGTGTCCAGCAGGTACTTGATCACGCGGTCCGCGGCCTCTTGGTGTTGTGGACCAGGGTTTAAGTTGAATCTGGTAAGCCGGGAGATAGCAAAGGCAACGTCTGGTCGGGTGATCACAGCGGCGTATAGAATCGTACCAGTTTTACGCTGGTATTCGGTGATCTGGGCGAATGGTGTCTTTCCTTCATAGGGGAGTAACTCGGTAGTGGCCATCGGGGTCCTTCTGCGCCGACGTGATTGCTCTGATACAATAAAACGGCTCATCTTGTTGATATAGTCTGCTTGGGATAGCCATATCGTTCGGCTGGCTCTATCCCGTAGTACTGAGACGCCTAGGAACCATTGTAACGGCCCACCACCTTGTAGGGAGTATTGTGATCGCAAGGCGGTGGTTACTGATCTGGCAGCAGCTTCGTTCTCCTTTTTGTAGGCCACGACAATATCGTCAACGTAGAAGAAGATGATCACCCTGTCCTTAGTCCAACAGCATGGCTCGTGAGGTACTGGCTCAAAGCCTAGTTCCCGGAGGGTTGTCATGAACTTTTTCTGCCACAGCAATGGTGATTCTCTGAGGCCGTATAGAGCTTTCTTGAGCTTCAGAATCGTGTTCTCTTCGTGGTATCCGGGTGGTAGCTTCATGAATATGTCGTATGGAAGTTCGGCGTGTACGAAGGCATTCACAACATCCCATTGAATGAGTTCAAGGTCGAAGCGAGCAGCGATCGCCATAAGTGTGCGGAACGATTTGCCGGCGAGTGTTGAAGCGTAGGTGTTCTCAATCGTGGTCCTGGCTTGTTGATCACCTCTGACTACTAGCCTTGCTTTTGCCTTGATCAGGTAGCCGTATTTATCGAATTTGTATGTGAATACCCACATACAGTCGAGGATGTGGGCTTTGTTAGCGACTTTCTGGTGGCACTTCTCAAAGGACTTCATCTCGCGGTGACTCTGCATATGGATTTCCATGGCTTCCTCAAACCACTTAACTAGCAGGTGTTTCTTTAACTCCTTATAATTCCTTGGTGGTAGTGGGAGATCTTTTCTATGGTATTTACCATTAGTAGAAGGTCTGATTATAGGAAGGACTTGTTGCTCAGCTGTAGTAATAGTCATAGCGGCCTGGCTACGGCCCAGTTGACGGTGCCTCCTTGGCGAGAGTCGACGGTAGGTAAGTTCCTTATACAGGCTGTGTTTATTCACAGCCTTGCCGTCGAGTATTGCCACGTTAGCGGCATGACGTCCAGAGTTAAAAGCAGCCTGCCACGCAGTATTTCTTGCGGTAGTGCAGTAATTTTGATCAATCTTAGATTCTTCGTCACATTCCGCATTAGGATTCTTCTCAGCAAGCCCCATCTTAAGGTTGCGAGGCATCTCACTATCTTGGAGCTCTTCAAGGGTAAGTGAGGAGAAAGCAGCTGCAATGAGCGCTGTTGGCGGTGGAGGCGAGGTTGCTGGCGTTAGAAGCGGATCAAGAATCGTAGAATAGAGGTGATCAGTCTCTTTCTCATGATCTTGTGGTTCCGGATCGTTACCCTGCATCTCTTCGTCTTCGTCGCCTTGCTCTTCTTCAGAGCTCTCTTCTTCAGAGGTTTTTCTTTGGTGCTGCTCTTCTTCAGAGCTCTCTTCTTCAGAGGATTTTCTTTGGTGCTGCTCTTCTTCAGAGCTCTCTTCTTCAGAGGTTTTTCTTTGATGCTGCTCTTTTTCAGAGCTCTCTTCTTCAGAGGTTTTTCTTTGATGCTGCTCTTTTTCAGAGCTCTCTTCTTCAGAGGGTTTTCTTTGGTGCTCTGAGTCTTCGTATTCTGAATCTTCAAAGTCTTGGTCTTTCTCACCCCCCACAAAGATATAGTCAAGGATTTCTTCGTCTTCTTCGTGAGTGGTAAGACTATCGCTCGCCATGCAACTGTCGGCAATGGGTTGCGAAAGGGAGCATTTTTTAAGGAGTATCTCCATCTCCTCGTTAGTGACGTTCAGCAAGTCATCTTTAAATTGCTGAAGATCACCAGAAAATAGTTCATCTTCGTTGAAGGTCACGTTACGTGCTCGGATGACCTCGTTCGTCTTGGGGTTCCAGATACGATAGATATTTGTTGATTCGTAGCCCACGAGATATCCGATCCACGCGTTGGGATTAAGCTTGTATAGGCGGTTCTCTTTCTTGAGGGCGTCGTTTGTTATGGCGTACGTACGGCAACCGTAATTTCGTAGGTGCACAAGCTGGGGTTTTCTTTCTGGATGAGGTATACCGTCTCTTTTAGCTAAGGAGGTGTGGAAGACTTCGTATGGTGATAGCCAGCCCTGACGCTTCTTCGGTGTTCTATTGTAGAGGTAGACTGCTGCTTTATAAATCTCTACCCATAAGATATCTGGCGGAAGTCGGGCGGCGGCTCTCATCGTTCTAGCCTTTATTTTGATCACACCCCCTGAGCGTTCTGCGCCACCGTTCTGATCTTGTGAATGTGGTGCACAGCGCTCAGTACGGATCCCTCTGTTCTTCCAGAAGTTTTCCAGGGCTTTAGATCTCATCAACTCATCGTCACATTCGATCACCTTGACTCGAAGCCCATACTGTTGCTCCATGATTTTTAGGAAGATATTGATACCGGCGATGAGTGTTGGTGCCTTGCGTTCAGTGAGATAAAGGTCGAATACATAGCCCGTCTTCCGTTCTGTGAATAGCATCACTGAGTTGAATCCTCTGGGGTTTGGAGCCAAATCTAGAAAGTCGACGGCAAAGTGATCCCCAACGTTTCGAGGCGTCTCTCGTGGCTCACGTCTAATCTTTCGTTTTGCTTTCGATATTCCGCAGGCTGGGCACTCATAGCTTGCTGGTCCGCGAAGCTTACCACCTTCCGTTGAGACCTGGAGATGGGCGATTGCTTCCGCGCCTGGATGACCAAGCCGTCCGTGCCATAGTTTGCCTGTGCCTTCGCTTGGTGATCGGCCCGTCCACGAAGTGGTGTGGAATCCTGCGTTAAGCGGTATATCTTCGATCACGAATTGCCCAAACTGGTCAGATAGCTCGCAAACAAGCGAGTCATCTTTTCTACGGAGGCAATTGTTCGGCGCTTTGTTGTCCCAGTGGAAGCCCTTTTTGTGTAGCTGTCGAAGAGAGACCAGGTTGCAGGCAAATCCTTCGCAGTATGCTACGTCCTTGAGCAATAGTCGATTGGTTCCAGACTTGGTTATGAGCTTGATCATCACTTCCCCGTAGCCAAGGATTGGGACTTCCGTATTACCAGCGTAGACGAACTCTCCGAAGGGCGCTAACCTGAAATTCCTAAATCGCTTCTTATTGTGGAAGATATGGAGTGTCGTTCCCGAGTCTAGGATTGCTGAGTTTCGAAGAGGATAAGTACTGGTACTTAACGCGGCTTTGGCTAGTAGGAATCGCTCTCTTGTTCGCTTGTGACGGATGGGCTTGGTAAGCGCTGCAAAGAGGGCTGATTCTGACTTGAATATCGCCAATAGTCATAACTTCTTGCGCCTCTCCTTTGCCTTCTTGACTTTCTCAGCAAGGTGCTTATCGTATCCAAGGACCTTAGTAGTACGTTCTTCGATCGTTATACTCTTGGTATCTTCGAACCAATCAGGAGTCTCTTCGTCAGCACCGTAAGTGTAAAAACACTTCTCAAGGTTATGCCCAAACTGAAGACACACTTCGCAGCGTTCTCCATCCGATCGAGCCTTCTTTAGTGGTCGTACGGAGTGGGTATCTTGTAGGTTGTTCTGCTGGCGTGTTCCTTGATCTTGCCGATCTCTGCGTTTCTCGCGGCGGTTCTTCCCCTTCTGGGTTGTTGATGATCCTTCAGTATTGTTGTCGTTAGCGTCAGCATCCTTGCCGTGGAGTGCTGGAAAGCCCGCATCAATTCGGACTCGTTTATTGTCGTTGGTTGTTCCGCCGAGTACTGACTGCATCCGGGCTGCTAGTTGGTCGTGAGAATACAGTCCTTCAAGGATATCGTCCTCCAGAGTGGCAAGCTCTCCAAGTACCCATATCTTTCCATTAGTGGTATTCTTTAAAGCGTCCACAAGGTCTTCGAACCATGAGCTTGGTGTGGCGATCTGAGGAATCTTGTGCTCAACACCGTCGTTTACCAGCTTCTGCCATCGCGTGATCCATTCGCTAAGCCTTCGATCCTGACCTTTGATCTGAGTAAGATGCTTGGTGTAGTTGTCTCTGACGTCTTTCGCGATATTCTTTCGGAAGGGTAGCCATTGGTCTTTGATTGCCTGGTAGATTTCTGGAAGATCGCGCCCTTTAGTGATATGCTGATAGTTTGGACCGATACTCTTGAAAACCCAGTTGGAAAAGGCTGATCTGGCATTGGTCTTCGCGTTATATACACTGAGGTTGGCCTTGTACAGCTCGAACGCAATCTTCCAATTTGCTTGGCCAACTGTCGTAAGGTCCGAGAATTGCGTAACCCTGTTGCGTACAGGTTCTTCCTCCTCTTCCTCTTCATCTTCATCTTCATATGATAGAGGATCGTCGTCGTTTTGATCGTTGTCGATATCTGGGTTGTGATCACTTTCTTCAATCTGTGACCTTCCGGTGGTTTGTGATCTTTTGGCAGCTGCAGCGGCACGCCTTTGAGCTGCTCTGCGGCTGACTGATTGAGCGATAGATCCATGGTCCCTGATTATTTCCGGTGCGTTGTCGTCGTTGCGGTGGGTGCTGTTGCCTCCACGCCGTGACGATTTCTTCTGGAAGTCGGCGAATTGTGGTAGTTCTGGTTCAGTAGGCCAAGGTCGTCGTTGCCGGTGATTCGGATTGACGAAGTCGTATATTCCTGCATGTTCTGCCTTCTTCTTGAACGCTTCTAACCACTTATCCCAATCACTTGGTTTGGTGAACTTGGCGTATTCGAAGTCGGGATTTGCAGTAGTACTCGCCATGGTTGAGTTGGAATAGCTATATCTGATTGGTTGAAAACTTGAGAATCTTGAGAAAAGTGGGTCTGGGTGTCGTAACCGATCAACTTTGATGTGTTGCAACGGCTTGAATCGTCGTGCGTGATCAGACTGTTAATTGTTGGCTTCGACACACAGATGGATTATATTGAGAATTGATTGTCCCCGCCCCGCTCTCTGGCTTCGCCAGAGAGCCATTATTATAGATGGACATAGTGGCGAAGTAGATGGCAAATAATAATGCCCTTTCGATCAAACTTGCCACTCATTAGGCCACCAATGATGATAGGCCCGTATGTAGGCCTTGATGCCTACACATCCTTTTAGGCTCCATTCAGCTGGTACGATGTAGCCAATCCAACACAACCCAGAACACATGGACTCAAATGCGGCGGCTGCTAACGCGTATCCGTCAAGGCATACAAGACTGGCCCGACGTGGACCTCCTGAACACTAGGTGCTATCGGGAGGGCAAGCGGATCCCGTGGGAGTCGAGTATCACGGTGGTGACGCCGTTGAATAGGAACCGTTGGAACCTGAACGTAGAGGCAATCCTGTCCTTCCAGAGACAAAGGCAAGGCCTGCTCCGGATTTTTATCTCGGACCACAAGTGGAAAGACGGCCAGCTGACCGAAGAGGAGGCCTTGATGATACTGAGCCAGGGGGACGATAATGCCCTCCCCGTGCCCACCATCTTCATGTTCGTCTCTGGCATGCCGATCGTTGTGAACCAGAACATACACCAGGGCTTGAAGCTAGTTAACGGCACCAGTTACACCGCCCTTGACGTTATTCTCGACAAAGCACACCTAGGCTACCGCGTTAATGCCGACACCATCCTTTACTTTAGCCCGCTGGCAGGTATTTTACTGGCGTCTGACATAACATAAGACTTCCACTTTGTTAATATACCAGCCGGCATTATCTTATTAACGTATTTGATAAGCGAGTTAGCCATGATAAGCAAGTTGGCCACCTTAACGAGACCGGGTAGCGTGCGCAGCCAAATGCGATAAGAAATTGATAAGATCACTAACAATTTACTAACATCTTTTTGCTTGTGCCCCACCAAATCTCGTTAAGGTGGCCAACTCGCTTATCATGGCTAACTCGCATATCATGAACGTTATCACTGATCAGTATGAAAATAAAGTGCCACAGAAAACGCCCCTGGTAACAAAACGCTGTCGTCTGCCGAGGTTTACTGTACGTGGCTGCGTTCGCCTGTACGGATTATAAGGTGTAAGGTAAGACGTTAGGTGTCACGGCAGGTGCAGACAGCTGACCAGATTTGGGTAGTGGTCCGTGCACACCATAACCACGTGACCCACATCACAACCCACTTCCCCTGCGCCCCGCCTAGGCCTTGGAAGCTTTCTTTCCTTTTTCCTTCTTTAGCTTTAGATTCTACGAATACAGCAACCACATTGCAGCCCTGCCTCTCTACAGTTGACTGTGCGGTGACATTAGGTTGGGTGGTGTTAAAACTGTGCGGGATACGGATAACAGTGGTTAACAAAGAAACCATCCCTAGCCAATACGACCAATATAGCCTATACGTGTAGCTGTCTCAGTGTCTGTCACTTAACAGTATTATACTGCTGTCAAAGGCGTGGGAACAGGACGTTATGGGAAACACTGTACCGGAAAGTATAGTGGCGGTAAAGAAGAGGTTAGAACAGTTAGGTAAGGCGACTGTTAGGGATGTAGAAATCCGAGGCTGGTGAAGGAAAAAGAAAGAAAAAGAAAGGAAAATTCTGGCGTTGAAGAACTTACGACGTGAATAAAACACCTCCCTGGAATAACGTCGGTAACAGGGGGGGTTGGGTACTTCCGTCCAGCTTTCTTATTGGCCGGTGCGAACCGGGGACGTGATCCCCAGACGAAGTCCATTAAGCCTTTTCGCGAGAACACGCGAAAGCATGTGATTTCATCTGAAACAAAATTGACGAGTGTTTGTGGGGCTCCCTGAGGGGTTGGCGGCGGCATGGGGCATAAAGACCTTTCGTTCCTCAAGGCACTACATGTCTACTGCTCTGAGTCGTGGCCACCTCTCCGGTTCGCTTCGAATTCCACTGCGACGAGGCGGGCGATGAGCTGAAAGTTAGCCGCACAGAAAGATGCGGAGTAAAGTAAGCCTAGACTAGGTATAATCCGTCCAGACCCTCTCCTATTCTGAGACACGGCTAATTTCGGCGATGACCTTAGAAGTGACATTGTGAAGGTCCTCCAATAGGAAAAAAAAAGTCTGCTCGACATGCACGTCAAAAATTTTCTCATACACCTTTTTCCGCACCTCCCGGAAGCTGCATCTAGCCAGCGTGGTTACGGCAATATCACACTCCTCGTCACTCAACCTCCTTCCAAAAATATATGGCAGGAAGGCTAACACGTCGGAAATCGGTACCACAATCCTATCGTTATATCTGGCGCATCTGATGTAGCACGAGTCCGGTGGGGCTTTGGCGTTTTCCGTGTGACGCACCGAAATCCGTTCGTATTTGAACCCGAATTGAACCAGCCGATATTTCTCCGTCTCCTTCCACTTCTCCCACTCTCCAACTAGTTGGTTTAGTTGTCGCGCAAGTTGGTCCATATTTCGGAAGAACAGACGCTCTTCGACTTGTTCTTTGAGGTTGACACTTGGGTGTATCTCATCGGTGCGGTTTCGGCGGCCTCTGTGGTGGTCCGTCTCGCCGTGCTGCTTCAGCGTGTTCAAGTGCCACCGCCTTAGCTTTCGCTGCCTCATGAACTTGTTGCTGAGCCCACTTCTCCATCTCCACGCTGTGTCTCTCTGCCGCTTCCGCGCGGCCAGTTATTGCCAATATCTCTTGTGCTTTCTGAACACTCCATTGCTTCGCCGATGTTAAGGTCTTTTGGGTTTGCTCAGCGTGCTCGAACCTTGCTTTTTCTGCTGCCTCCTTCGCTGCTTGTGCATTGTCGGCCTCTTCTCTTGCTATATTCGCCCTCCGTTCTGCCTCTTCAACACGCAAGGCCGCCCGCCCCTTTTCCCACTCAGCCGTCAGGACTCGCTGCTCAGCCTTTGTTGCCCGCTGGAGCGCTGCCAGTACCCGCTGCTCTAGTTCCGCTACATGCTGCTCTGTCTCTTCCACACGCTTTGTTGCTCCTTCTATCTCTCGTCCTGCTTGTTCGGTAGTACGCTCGATCGCTGTAATATTTGCTTGCTCAATGGCCTCCGAGACAGAACTAGCAGTGGACTGTTGATCAGGTCCTAGGTCCGGATACCATCGTTGAGGTCCGGCGATAGTGTTGATGACGGTCTCTGGGAGATGTTCACCTACGTTTTGACAAGGTTAGCCGTTAGTAGATCGCATCAATAGGATTGGTCTTACCTTTCTGGGCGCGCCAAAGGCCGTGTCCAAGTCCCACATTGCGCTCCTTTGGATAATCTTCGCAATCCTCCTCCGTATAGTCATTCCGCTCGGCCCCTGATGCCGATTCACCTGTTTGGAATGCGCGCTGGGAGACTGCTGCAAGTAATGTCTCCGGAGGCCCCTCACACCAGAGCGCTTGCTGATGGTCGGTTTCAATTTGGTATGGAAAGCTAGAACCACGAGCGACTGAAACCGGGGCGGATTCCGCCGACCCTATCATAGGAGCCTCCTGCGCATCGAAATCCAACTCATTACGGCCGTTCCTCCTGCGTTTCTTCCGTGGCCTTTGGCCAGACCTATCGAATGTTACCTCGATGGCTTCTGGCTGTGGCCAGGACTGCGCGTGTGCTAGGTGATGACCCGTAATCCAGACTTGCGACATGTCCCTGGTGATCGAGGTAGACTGAGCGGCGGGAGGTGGGATCGGTCCATAAAACAGAGTTTCTTTTGGTTGGGTAGCTGTTTGTGCGATGTACAATGAATCTATGATGGCCTGCTGATATCTAAATGGATATACCAGATGGCATGAAAGGACTGAAACTACTGACGAGAGTGTGAAGCAGCTACAGAGGATTAAACCGGAGGCGTGGTTGTTAGGTGCTAGTACCAAACACATCGGCACCAGCTATTACAAACCACTCGACTGTTAAGGTCGTCTGTCTGTAAGGGAGCACGGGCTCCACAGGATGCTGAGGTTGGTAATTATGAAGATAGAACAAAGGGCAAGCTCCTATCGCACGGGTAATACAGTCAAATCGGAATGCCACTCAATGTGTATGAGTGCAGTGAATGTGTATTGCTTGCTTGAAGAACCAAGCAAGAACTATCTAAGACCGTGGACACGGTCATCGTATATATCTAACTGTGTAACCAATAACAATGGTCCCACTGGCCCGTGGTCCCGAGACTTGCGGTCTCGGGACGCCGGGCGCGCGGGACACTGTCCCGCGTCCCCGACCTTAAGTGGTCCCGAGCCTCGGGACCTAGGGACACTCCTAATTGGTTCCTTCCATGGGACGTTCCTGATTGGTCCACACCAAACTGATCGTGCCCCACTATTGCGCATTTCAACAAGGATTCGTAACAGATCAGTGCCGAGACCCACTAAGCACACTGAGCAGGGAGCTCAGTGGGGATCAGTGCGTCTAGGACTGAGCACGACTGAGCATGTAAGGCAGGAACTCTGATTGGTTGCTCATAGTTCTATATAGGAGCTAGCAGCACGCTCTCTATGGGAGAACGTTTCTGCAGCTATCAATGCATCTGGTTAAGCATACATTGGTTGTGTGTTGAAAGCCTGTCTTTCGCAATCTGTGCACGGTACTCCTTGTCTCCTGTCATCTCCTACCTGCCGTCCAGACCCCCACAATCCTAGGCCGGGCCTAGCTCCGTGGACCTGTTGTCCAGATTGTAACATCTAGGTACCGAGTAGTTAACTTCGAAGGATCTTTCTTATTAACAAATTTAGTTAAAGGAAGCTTACGATAATAGGGACCTTTGCACTTTCGTAACTTAGGCTCGTCATCTCTAGGCGGCGGGTCGCCCTACCCGTTTGGTAGCGTGCTAACCATACCGACCGGTAGAGGCAGCGATCGAGCTGTAGGCTACGTATATTGCTGAAATTAGCTACGATTAATTAAGGGAGAAGATTATATATATACTAACGCGTAAACAAAGCGCAGGATTGATTCGGCATAGATACGGGCGATGCGGGCGACGTAGGCGATGTAGGCGATTAATCGAGATGTTACGTTTTGGTGGTTATAGGAGTAAAAAAAGGTTATAGGGGTAATTTAGGAGGTTTTCTTCTGGCGATATAGCCGAGCCACAATGGCGGTACAACATTTAAGCTGTGGCGACTTCAGATGTTACGACAGCGGCAATAGCCGTCGGCGCCGAATTGTTGTCGGCTGTGGCTTGCCCAGCAGCAGCAGCCCGTGCCTTAGGTCGGGCTTGGCGAGGATTCTGAGCGGTGTAGCGCTAGCAGCACCCCTCAACAGCGTCATCGATGCAAATTCGAAGCTTGGCGGAAATCAACTTTCGGTCGACGGCAGGCACGGAGCTCTCATCTTAGTCAATGTTGACATTAGGGTTCTTGTCGGACTTCCACAGCCCAGCCAGAGCGTCGGCTCGCTCATGCTTCCGGACGGAGCATCGTGGAACCCAGTGGAGCTCGGCATTGCTGTTGCGTGCATGCAGTGTGAGACAGACGACTGTTTTGACGATTGGCAGGACGTGGGGTGTGTAGAGGTCGGTTTTGCCGAGCCTAGGCTGGATACCGTTCTTGATGGCCTCCAGGGACGAGGTTGAGTCGGTGAAGACGTCTACCTTGACGGCTTCGACATTTCTGGCCGATAATTCCGTCCGAGACTGGTCTACAAAGTCTAGCGCATTTCTCAGGCATTGAGATATACCGGCCATCTCCATGTGGTCGATAGAGAAGGCGTTGTCGGTGAAAAAGGCTTCTTCGTGCCACTCATCCGCACCCATCTTCAGGAACGGAATCTTGGACACCACTCCGTATCCTCCACGCACGCCCACGAACTTGTCGCGAGCCTCACCTTGCAAAGGAGGCTCCACCGACCCGTCGGTAAAATAAGAGAGACGCAGGGCGCCGGCCACGACGTCTAGCGCCATCTGCGCGTCGCGTGCGTCGACTTTTGCGGCCGCAGTCGTCTCCGGGACGGTAATGCAACCTGGAAACTGGCGATTCTCCAGCTGCCAGACCTCGACCCGCAGATCGCCGGATTCGGGCTCCTGTCCCCGGAGGCTCCACCTCTCGGGAAGGGGGTTACCGTCAATGAAGTACGGCGGCGAGACGCAGCCCTTAATCGGGGGCATTGGTACCAGGGAGAGTTTGCAGCTACGCAACTAGCGTGGTTGGCGACACAGAAACATTCGCCTCTATGGCTTCGGGAGCCGGGGTTGCTGATGTTGATGGTGCTATTGACAATTCAATCCCTCCCTAAGAAGTCTTGGCGCCAACGATAGAGCTAGAAGAGATGTTTAAGGTCAGCGGAGAGGATATCGTAGGTATGGCGGAGCTCCTAAGCAGTAACAGCGGCAAGGTCCACCACGGAACATCGCTCCAGGACATGCCCTCCTGAGACTCAGTTGCAAGAAACAGACCAGTAAACGGCGTATAGAGCGGGTTTCCAAACACGTCGCGGGAAACTGGCGTGAATGACGAGAGGGACGTCGACATGGCCGTTTAGAGTAGAATCAGTACGTCGCCGCTCAGATCCCTTCTGACAGGAATCACCGAGGACTAGAAATTTACGGGCTGCTCTGAAAATTTCCGTAGAAGCCATATGGTTGTCATCCTCCTGCCGTTTCCGGCGTCGTCGTTGAAAGTCATGATGAAGTTCATGACCGATTCGCAGTACTTGTCGCTAGTTTCCCAACGTTTTTCCGCCAGGTCCCAGGGATCCGATTCGCCCATTACAGATTTGTCGGATGCTGAAATATCGCGCAGGCAAAAGGATGCGTCGTTGCTCAGAAACGTGGGGACAAATTCGTAGGTCATTCTGGTCCAGAGTAGTCTAATTGAATTTACAGAGGAAGTCGTGTGCGGTGAGCTCCAGCCACAATAACCGAACCCGTTCCCGTGATATGGATAACTCGGTTCAGGGAGTCGTAGTTTCGGGCTCGGGCTTGGCGCAGCAATGTCACGAGCAATAAAGGCTGCGGTGCTGATAGGGAGTCTATTGGTTGCGGATAGCTAGGGAGGCTCTACCAACTCAGCCGGCCGAGAGAGCTGAAGAGCCGCGAAATTTGGAGGGAGAGCGCGGAGCTCGTATTTGAAAAATTCAAAGACTGCAGCAATCAGGAAATGCCACCGAAGAGGCAGCGGTCTGTGGTCTAGCCGTATCCCTGCATGAGCTGGGGACGAATGAGAAGTTGTTCTAGACTGGGATTCCCAAAGCGCAAGTGTGTTAAGTCGTCGAGTTCGATATCAAACTCGGTAATGTCGAGCGACTGGCTCCGCATGGTATCCGACGTGCCGTTATGTATTTGTCGGAATCACCAGGTACCAGTACTGGAATCAACAGGGCGCGCTGCGCGCCGTATACTAGTGGTTCAAGTGTTGGATTTCGTTGGTGTCTATTTGTGTCTAAGAAGGAAGGTGGAAGTGGCCTACGGCCACTTATTTAGGTTCGGTGGCCCTGCGCCCCTGCGCCTCCACAGCCATCTGTGGCTGCTCGTGCCTCCACCGCCACATCTGTGGCTGACTAGCGCGTTTTTCCAACAGTGTTGTCTGGCTTTTGGGAGAGCTGTCATCATCGCTATTGCGAGAGCCGAAGCAAATCCGGACCGTCCTTGGGCAAGATCCACTTCCGGACGCGCTGCAGGCTGACGAAGGAACTCGGGTTATTTCAGAGATGTTGTCGCTGTTGAACCACTCTTCAGTGTTGTCAGCACACGAATCCGGGGTCAGCAACACTTCGGTGCTGCTGACAAAGGAACGACGGCGTGGCCAGTCATCCCGACTAATATTGTCCCGTTTCGGGTTTGGTGTCGCCATATTACTCTGTAACCTCACTGAAGCTATGAAGGAAGGGAGCCTTAGTCCGGGTGGAAAGCCAATAGCTGCAGAAATAACATTCTAAGCCTTCCGCCAATAGAGGAATTGGTTATCGTGGCCTTTGCAGGAAATATTCCGGCTTTCCCGTTAAAGGTTATCATGTCCCTCCAGCGGGTAATACCAATTCGCCGCATCCCTACAGCATATCGGTTGATTCCACAGCCACCTGCACCACAATGTACTTTCCACTTTAACTGCTAGGCCAATGGGGTTGTTAGGATATGTTGCTTCTCATAATTTTTCCGAGTTATCTAGCATCTCAATTTGATGATTAGGCCGACCAGCATATGAAGCAAGACTCACTATATCTGTGCAGCTGCACACCTCATCTTAATTTCAAATTAGGAGCCAAATTGCAACGACGTGCAATATATAAGAACAGCTACAGTCTCGCGCTGTCCTGAATCAAGAATAGGGTTTCTTAGATTAGGATGATGAACAGGCAGCCTAACTCGTTGGCTAGGAAGACCCAGAATGAGAAGAGCGAAAGGGAATAAGGGGAAATAATGAGAGAGACGCCAGACAATTGGAATAAAAAAGAAGAGAAGAAGACGACCCTGATGTCCTACTCAAAACCCCAGAAGCAGTCCTGTCATTCCGGTTTTCGAGGCGGATATGTCTACAAGGCTGCGGGCAGCAGCACGGAGGTGGCCGTGGCTGTCGGAGAGGAAGCAGCTCCGTTCTCGAAACTCGCAAAAGTCCCGGACTGCCTCTGCTAGACTCAGTTTCATTACCGTCAGTATTATGTCTGCGGACAGATAATACATAGTCGCCACCTTGGTTGGGGCAGTGAGCTCATATTATTCCTCGACGTCGAGAAATATTTGCTTAGAGATGTCATCGGTGGTGCCCAAGAAGAGCACACTTGCTGCGCCATCGGCGTATTGGAGCAGCTTGGAACGCGATACCAGGATGCGGTGCTTATATAGGGTTTCGACATGGGATATTTCCTCTTTAATGCCAGCGCCTAGTCGCCTATCTGCCCTGTTTCTGCCGTGGCAATGAGAGCACCGACATCTTTTGTTTCTGAAGCGTTCATGGCGAAAGGACATTTAGCACGCCAGTGCAAGGCATGCGATAATTGATGGATTATAACGAAAAAATTGAAGGGAGCTAGTGAGTTTAGAGCTAGTGAGTGAGTGGTTGATTCAACTTTGCATGACATCGAGAGACATGGAAATAAAGTCAGTGCTAAAAGGTTTAACGCAAAAATCCCGCAGCGTCGTCGACGTCGTGGGTGGCTTGGGGCGGAGTCTACGCCCGAGGCTCGGACGCGATGAATGCGTTAACAATGGTGGCTAGCTGGTCAGTATTGTTGGCCAACAACATCAGCGACCAGTGACATGGGGAAATATCTTGCTGTGTAGTATGCACACATAAGGCACCTCGCTCGATGGGGGCATACGTGAAGTGTGCTAACGAGGCAACAAATGTATGCGTTGTAGGTGCAAAATGGATGTCAGAGGACGGAGATTTTCCATCGCACCTGCTTCATTGTGAATTGGGAACAACTTCTGTTACGGTACTGGTAATTACAACGGACCTCCTCTCCAGCTATTGGCAGCCCAGCCCAGACCCAGAACAGAAGGAGCTATCTTCTTCGTACTAGGCGAGCAAGGACTGCCTCGGGCCTTCTCCATTAGGTTCCTATCGAGGAGAGAAACGCACAAAACTCACAAATATTACACAATGGAGTGGCCTGCCAGTGGTGGCCCGATCTCGCACTTTTCTTTCCCCCTGTCAAGTCCTTGCCTGCACCCTGACCCACAAGTCGGATTGGATAGATAGAGAGGCGTCGTAAGTGGTGAAGGGTTTCAGCGGGTCGACGAGCGAAAAGTCGAATCTGCGAAGAAGCTGCAGCCTCGCGTCAGCTCATCCATACCTGATTTCATCTTTTCTTGATGGTTAATTGGGGACAGACACACCTCGACAAAAATCTTGTTCAGCTCAATCAGCGCAATTGCCTTGCCCAGACACTCCCACCGGCTCGACGTGCCAAAACACAGCATCTGCACCTGCTCCATAGCCCTCCGCTTGTCAGCATCCTCCTCGTCCAGCCACCGCTCCGGCCGGAAGCAGTGCGCGTCGTCGCCAAACACGTACTTGTCGTGCAACACGGAGATGGCGTCCCAGCAGACATTTGTGCCCGCCGGAATCCGCTTCCCGCAGACGACTTGCTCAGTGTCGCACACCTTGGGCATCAAGCCGGCCACGGGCGGCCACACCCGCAGGCCCTCTCGGATGACTGCCTGCAGGTACGGCAGCTGCCGCGCCTCGTCGTCGGTGATTGGGCCGGAAACGCGGCCGTCGCGCACCGCCTCGTCAATCTCGCGCTGCAGCGCCGCGTAGCTAGCTGGGCTTCCGGCGAGCAGCAGGAACAGCGTCATGCGGATGGCCGTGGCCGTCGTGTCGGAGCCCGCGCCGATCTGGCCAAACGTCTCGAGCCACGCGCTGGCCGGCGACACGCCGTGCGCCACAAACGACCCGAGCATGTCTCGCGCCACCTTCTTGGACGGGCCGAACCGCTCAGCTGCCTTGGCCTGGGCCAGTGCCATCATGCGCATCACGCCCGCCATCTTGTCTTGTGGCAGCACCGCCTGCACCACCGGGTGCTGCAGCAGCCCGAAGCTGCGCGGCACCACCGCCATGGCCACCATCAGCGGCACCGACCCCGTCACGAACGCAATCTGCCCGTACGTGTCGGTGTCGTGCGCCAGGCACTCGAAGCACTGCCCGACGGCCAGCTCCGAGATGATGTCGAGCGTCAGGAACTGCGACTTCTGTGCCAGGTCCATGGGCCGCAGCGGCCCGCTCCTGGCCGAGAGATAATTGCGCTCGATCAGCGCGATCAGGTCTGCAATCCGCCGGTCAACGACGGCGTGCAGGTTGTCGACGTCGCGGCCCGAGTAGCCCGGAACCAACTTAGCACGCAGCGCGCCGTGCGCCGCGTTGTCTGTCAGCGACATGATGGTGTGGACGGGCTGGTTGAACTTGAACATGCCGTACCACTCCCCACGGTGCCACGGCCCGCGCGCCGCCCACACGCGCCGCACTTCAGCCGGGTCACTGACGACGACCCAGTTGGGTGCGATGCGGTAGATGCTCCCGTATTTCTTGCTGAGCGCCGCCAGGTCTCGCGAGATCCGCCCTCCGAGTTGCCGCCGCACCAGCCACAGCGGCGTCCATTCTGCCCATGCCGGCCCTGGAATGTGTTGCAGACGCCGGCGCCCTGCAACCAGAGAGAGTAAGACGTACGTAAACAGCAGGCAAGTTCCGGCCAGGCCCAGTGCCGCAAGCGTGCTGGCTGCCATGGCGGATGTGATGTGGATGACACAGACTCGTGGGCGCTGAACGACGGGTCTAACGACGGTCGACACAAGCGTTGTGTTTGAAGTGCGGCACGCCCAAGGATGTGACTGGAGATATGCGTCTCAATTCATTCAGCACCAGTGCGAGTAAGATTGAGGCCCGATGGCTGGGCTAGTCTTAGGCCAGTCCCAGGCTTCTTTGCCTTGCCGCATCCACTACGGAAGCGGGCGGGGAATCCCATGGCTGCAGTCCACAACTTACTTACCCTCCCACAAAACTCGCGGGTGTGTGAGGAGTCATTTCTAATTGCCGGGGACATGTGCGGCCCTGTGTGTGTGTGCGGTACGCACTCTGCTGTGCCTGGGGTTCCACGGCAGCAAATATTTGGCTGCGTTGGGGGGGCGATGCAACCCAAAGCCAACGACAACTCCAGAACCAAGCGCCAAGCGCATCCTTTGCTGCAGCCCGTCGCGGATGCCGAGCTGCACCTCGTTGCCTGCCGCCGCTGCAACTACAACCTCGCACTTCCTATGGGACAGGCTCTGCAGAGACTGGCCGACCTCGTATCCTGGTATTGGGATGGACCGTATAAAGAAGTTCCCGCTCGACGGGGACAGAGACTTTCCTCAGCAGATGGTGTTTGTTGTCCGCAAACCCAAGCAACCCCAGCTGAGTCTGTTACCCCCCCTCAAAGCAACCACCCCCTATTGTTACTGTACCCGTGAAATACTGTCGCCATGCCGTTCCCGCCCCCGCTCGCGCTCTCGTCGCTCTGGGCGAACCGGAAGTGCCTCGCCATCTGCTGCCTCGTGTCTATGGCCAACCTCGAGTTCGGCCTCGACTCGGGCGTCATCGGCACCCTACAGGCCATCCCGGGGTTCCTGATGGTCTTTGGCTACACGAACCCCTTTATCCCCGGCGGGTACGGGCTCAACGCAGGTCTCCCTTTCACAACCCATCTACAAGATGTTTTGCTAACATCGCCAACAGTCCACCTTCCAACAGCTCATCACATCGCTGCCCATCCTAGGCGCGCTAGTATCGTCCCTCGTGGCCGGCGCCTTCTCGACGCACCTCGGCCGGCGCGTCGGGCTATGGGTTGCCTGCGCCCTGGCCGCCGTCGGTGTGGCCTTGCAGATGGCCACCGACGACAAGGGCACCATCTACGTGGGGCGCTTCGTGCTGGGGCTTGGTAATGGCTTCTTACAGACCTTCTCCAACATCTACTGCGCCGAGGCCGCACCGGCCCACCTGCGTGCCATCATGGTCGGCCTATCGACCGAGTGGATTCTAGTCGGCACCGTCGTGTCTGCCGTGATTACCAACGCCACGCAGGTGCGCTTCGATAAGACGAGCTACCAGATCCCCCTTGGTACCCTGCTGATCCTGCCCGTCGTGTTGGCTGCGGGGTTGCTGCTGGTTCCTGAGTCACCACGCTATCTCATTGCCGCCGGTCGCTTGCAAGCTGGGCGACGCGCGCTCGAAAGGCTACGGGATACCTCGCTCACAGCCGACGAGCTTGAGCTTGAGTATGTCGAGATAGTCAAGGGGATCGAGGAGGAGAAGCGCGTTGCGGGCACCGTTGGGCCGCTTGATATTTTTAGGGGTGAGTCCTGTATTTTGCTTCCCACATTATAACCTGCTGCCGCCTGCCTGCCATGACGCAACCCTTGTATTCATGCTGACCAGCTCTAGGAACTGACCGGCGACGCACGTTGCTGAGCTTGGGCACGGCCGCAGTCGACAGTGGCGCGTCGGGCGCGTGGTTCTTGATCCCGTACTCGACCTACTTCATGATCATCTCGGGAGTGCCCGTCAACGACGTGTTCCACTACTTTGTCATCAACACGTGCACCGGGCTGGTCATGTGCAACGCGGGCCTGTTCGCGCTGCGCCACGTGTGCGGCCGGCGCACGTTGTTGATGATCGGCGCGGCGCTCAACGCTGCATTCATGCTGGGCCTGGCCGTGTCGGCAACGGTCACGACGGCGTTCAGCGAGCCCGCGCGCACGTCGCTGGTCACATTCGTCGCGCTGTTTCTGGTCTCGTACTCGTTTGCTACGGGTGTCGTCACGCGTCCGGTCACGACTGAGATCGTGAGCACCCGCCTGCGCGCCTGGTCGTTTGGTTTGACCCAAGGGGTCAGTCAGCTGATCATCTGGCTCGTCTCGTTCTGCACGCCGTACTTTATCAACCCAGAGCACATGCACTGGGTGGGTCCTCTATTGTGATAAGAAAAAAGAGAAAGTAGATGTATACTAATTGCGTATATGAATAGGGCGGAAAATACGGATACATCTTCTTCGCCTCCAGCCTGATTTCTCTAGTGTGGTACTACTTCTTCATCCCCGAGATGAAGGGCCGCACGCTCGAGGAGATTGACGAGCTGTTTGAGAAGCACGTGGCCACCAAGGACTTTAGCACGTTCAAGACGGCCATCCGAGACCAGGTGCTCCGTAACATGCGGGGCGACGACTCGGAGACAACCAAGGAAAAGTCTGCTGTGGATTCCAGGAACAGGGGGACTAGGGTGTTGGTTATTGGCCACTAGAGTGGTCAATGAGTTAAAAGTCTAGCATGATGGGTGGGCTCACTATGGGATACTTAGAAGCAACTTTGGTTCACCAAGATTTGCAGATTTGATCACTGGACTCCTTGTCAGGCTGCGTCAAGGTTAACGGTTGACCGGTTGTGCTTCATCCTTTCTGCAGATAAGGCAATCTTCCAAGACCAATTAACCTCCTCAGTCTGGGGACCGGTGAAAAGCTAGATACCACCACACGAACAATGCTACGCTGTTCTTCTTCGAAACTGCCGTATAAATTCTTGCCATCTCGTCCTGTCGTACTTTGCCTCCTTTCCTTATTCACTTCCCTACCTGTAATCTCTCGCCAAGAAACACTTTTAGAAACCACGAAAAAAAAATTAACAACACCAAAATATTCCTCCGTATACTCCTTGCCCTCCTAGGCTCGTCCGCCGCAGCCACTGCCTCACCACCCACCGCCAAACAACAACAGCACCAACAACACAACCCAAACTCTCACCACGGTCTCGGTCGCACTCGACTCGTCAGACCCCATCGCAGCAGCCCTCCCTCCTCTCCCAACCTCCAAATTACCTCTCTCCCTTCCTGCACCCGCATCCAGACTTCGCCGAGGCCGGCGACGCGCTAGAGACGCTCGAGGCCATCGACCCGCCGGAGACGCTCGAGGCCACCGACGACTGCCTCGTGCACTGCATCGCCCCCCAGTGCGTCCGCAACTCCCCAACCACCACCACCGCCACCACCACGCGAGCGCAGTGCATCGCCGCGGCCGACTACCCGGCGACCTGCCTCGACGACACGGCGTGCGCTGTCGCCGCGTAGACGCGCGCGTCGCTCGACGACTTCTGCGACGAAGTATCCGCGTTGGAGAAGGACCTCCCCGACGGCACAGGCAAGCTTTTGTCGTGCGCGGCGGCCTGGAGGTTGTGTTTCTTTACGTAAAAGACCACGGCGCGCCGTGGGACGGGTTCGGGCTGGACAATCTGTATGGTGTGAAGCCGGTGGGGGAAAGGGGTTTTGATAGCGGCGGGGAGAGGCGTTTGCGTCGAGGGGGGGTTGGAGGTTGCCGTGGTGCTCACGCCAGACTTTGATGAGGTTGTGAAGCAAGGGCAGGCCTGGGTTGGAATTGGTTCGGCCTAATTAGGTCGGTGGAAATGTGGGGGGGGATGTCGATAGGTAACTGGTTGTGTTAACCTATGTTTGTGGTCTCCATAAGCTGACTTGAGTTGCCGGTAATTTTGCAAGTGGCACCTAGCACGAGTTTGTCATTTGGTGTTTGGTATAGAATGGAGGCTCGTCAAAATCTATGTTACAGGTCTGTGTTACACTGACTATTTGTACCAGCACTCTGTGCTCGGCTTGATGATTTCAACTATTAGCAGTGGGTTGGAATAGCACGGCATGTTATACGGGACAGGCCTTAAATGCAAGAGAATTACCGAGTGAGTTTGATCATGGCAGTCGTGAATAATCTTTCATCCAGGTGACGGAGCCACACAAGTCACCCTCCGTGAGCTTAAGATTAGCAGGGTAGCCGAGAGAGGCTATCTTCTCAATTCTCGTCTACACTGAATGTCTTTCAACTAGAGATAAGCTACCGCTGAAATACGTTACACCGATGTGTCTATCTGTTGGGACCACCAGGTACCCGTACTGGAATCAACAGGGCGCGCTGCGCGCCGTATACTGGTGGTTCAAGTGTTGGATTTCGTTGATGTCTTTTATGTGTACCTAAGAAGGAAGGTGGAAGTGGCCTACGGCCACTTATTTAGGTTTGGTGGCCTTGCGCCCCTGCGCCTCCACAGCCACCTGTGGCTGCTTGCGCCTCCACCGCCACATCTGTGGCTGACTAGCGCGTTGTTCCAACACTATCAGACAAACCAGCCAAAATATACTATAACTTTAAATGAAGGAAATAAACTCTTTCGAGCGTGGCGAGCAGCCCACCGCAGGCAAAACTTAAAGGGGCAAGTCTGTCCTGCTCCCCTTCCTAAATGGCCAGGTATCGTGAGGTATTTTAACGTGTTATTGTTACTACATGCCCTAAACGCTCTTGTATGCTCTTGCCTTGAATATCAGAAAATCGTCAGTTGCCTGGCGCTCTTCGGGTGTGGGATGTCGTGGGAGGTGAGTCCGCCTGTCACGGCATAGCGCATTGCGGGTTCCTTATCGCATCCCCGTGTGACGTCATTTCTCGATAAGCCCAATTAGGCTTAGTGCGTACATCACCTGATCACGTGCTCCCCCGCCCACAACCTTTTCTACCGATCGCGCAGTTCGCGAATCTTTCTTCCTTTTCTTTTTTTCTTCTCTAGCTTAGTTTTACACTAAATCAATACGGTAAACTGTTGGCCATAGTCCTTCAAAACCTATTTTCCGTGACACCGCCTCTGCTGCCAGAGGAGGCACGCTCTCTTCTGGATCGTCCGAGATCCAGTCCTGGTCAGGGGTCTCTTCGTTGTCCATAGAGTGGGCGGACGACATGTTGATATCTCGAACAGAAACACAGAAGACTCGCACTATATGAGAATAAAGTGAGAGGAAAAATAAACTATTAGCAGACAGAGCCGGCAAAACCAAAACGCGAGACCGAATTTCGCACGATTACGACGGCGGATCGGATGGCCGGCAGGGTGCCGTGGGTTGAAGAAGGACGGGAGCTAGGGATAATGCACACAAGATTAGACAGCGATGGAGCTGCCACTGACGAGCGTCAAATACTTACTGAACCACCTCAATCTCAATCCACTCTTTTGCTATCAAGGCACGCCGACATCGACTACTTTTAGAGGACATCCTATTCTCTCCTTTGCAAAACGACATGGCTTCACTGGTGTACCTAAGCTTCTGCCTCTCTGTGCTTACCGGCGTTGCGACCGCCGGTTTGGAGATTTGCTTCTACTAGATCTTCTTGTGTCGCATTAAACATACCCCTGTCCGGGCGCAATAGTGTGGCTCCTTGAGCCTACAGCCACCTGCAGGCGTGCTGGAGCTTACGGTGCCGCGCTCACATTTGCCCTACGCAGGCACCTTCCCTGCGCACTCTCTTTGTATAAATAACTAACTTTTATCTTTGTAAAATAGCTTCTATTCTACATGCCTTTCTCAATGCATTTCCCCGGCTCTATTCTACCCGTGACATCTTGGTTTTCAACAATTTGGGTAGTTGGCCAATTCCCTATTACTTGTCTTGTCCTGCATTGGAGAAGCGCCTCGCCATATTGCCGCCATGACTACCACCTGAACAGCCTCGTTGAGCGAGTGCGGCCAACAAAGCGCGGCTGTAGTGAGTCAAAGAAACCTAGCAGCCCGGCACTGCCAGGTGTTGTGGGGAAGAGGGGCCTATCATGCCAGAATGAAAACAACGGCTTTGTTCTGGATATGGCTGAGATTGAATTGTCCCGACAACAGAGTCATTGTACAACGCTACCCTCACAGTCATTCCGCAGCCCGGCGCGATATATAAAAAGACATCAAATCCGTTCGTTCTCTCTCTCTCACTCTACCGATTAGCACACATTCAAGCTATCAAAAAGTCGGCCATTCAACCTCGCGCAGGCTCTTCAATAATAAGTCTTCGTCCACACCGCCAATATGACTAACATCCCCGCTCTACCCGACCAGAACCGCATCTACCGCGTCAAATGGGGCGGCACGTTCGGGCCCAAGCTTGACTGGGTCGAGGATATGATGGACATCAAGTCACGCGCCGAGAAGGTCGTGTTCCATGTTCTGCGCTACCTCGAGTTGTGCTACAGCACGTGCGCCGCAGCCCCATCCGACCAGGACAAGCTGTGCGAGACGGCCCGGTTCAGTGTCCTCGGCCACGGCGTGTGGAACTACGCGTTCAGCATCACGCTATGCCACGAACCCGACAGCGCTGCCTACCGCGAGCTCGTGTTCCGCGTGGCCAAGCCCGTCACCGCGCGCGACTCGCGCATCGCCGCCGAGGTGGCCGCCATGCTGTGGGTATGCCATCACACGTCCATCCCCGTACTGGGCGTCCTGGCCTTCGAGTCGTCCGTCGACACCATGATAGGCTACGAGTAGATCCTGATGGAGCGCGCCGAGGGTGTGCAGTTTGAGAAGGCCAACCTGACCCTGGGGCAATGCGAGAGGATCGCCGAGACCATCGCCGACTGGGTGACCCAGCTAGCGCGCATCAACCTGCCGTCCATCGGCGGGCCGCGCCTGGTCTCATATCACGAAGTGCGCGGGCTGCTCAAGATCCCGCGGCTCGCGGACGGTGACCGGGCCTTTACCCACGGCGCGCCCATCATCGAGCTGACTGTAGGCGACTGGCGCGACGACTACGACGAGTTCGGCCGCGGGCCATACCCCGACCTGTACGCGCTGGCCAGCGCCATCCTGATCTCGCACCGCGCCGAGGCCAAGGACCCGCGCCAGGCCCTGCGCGCCGAGTATTTCGACGCCAGGGACGAGCTCGCGCAGCAGGACTGGGAGGCGGCGGCGCGCAGCGACGGCAAGCCCGACGAGCAGGCCGTGGCCCGGTCGCTGCTAGCCGTCGAGCCCGACTCTAAGCGCTCGCAGCGCTACACGGCCGTCGAGAGCCTCAACCAGTACATACGGGACCTCAAGGCGGACTACGAGAAGTGCGAGGCGGCAGCCGTCGACTCGGGCGACATCGTGCCGCATATGCCGATCGAGGCCGGCCGCTTCTCGACAACGACGCTGCGCCTACAGCTCCAAGCTATCGAGATACTCGAGACGCTCGCCGACCGTGTGCTGCAGCCTCTGTCGCCAAACGCAGAAACCACTGCCGAGGCCAACGAAGCGCTCCAGAATGCCCGCCGCGTCGCCAACAAATTCATCCTGCGCCACTGGGACATCTCTTCCGAGAACGTACTGGTGAACGAAGCCACCGGCCGCCCGACGTGCCTGCTCGACTTCGACATGGTGTACGCAGACTCGCTCGCGACAATGCCGCGCTACCCGCCCATCATGGCGGTCTACGAAGAAGACGAAATCGACGCGCACACGGCGTTCCCCGACGACGTGCCGGGCTACAACGACCCGTCCATACGAAAAGAGTTCCTGCGCGCGCGCCAGTGCATGTGCGTAGCGTTCGACGCGCGGCTTAACGCGGTCAACTCGCCGTGGCGTGCCACGCAGCCCAGCGTGGCCTCGGCCTCGGGCGAGTATACGCGCCAGAGAGATGCGGGCGACGCGCTCGCGCCGGTGCGCATGCTGGTCCGCATGATTAGTGAGGCAATCCATAGTGTCGTGGAGGTCCGCTGGTTTGAGGGCGAGCTCGACACGGCGTACCGTGCCCAAGGGCCGAGTACGCCGGCGTACGGCCCGGGGCCGAGGCCACTGTCGAACATGCAGCGGAAGTCGATTTGAGGGAAGCGAGGCTTTTTTTGGCAGATGGTAATTAGAGTATACTGTCAATATGAATTGTAATTTTTTTTCTTTGCATTAATTGTTGTCTGGTCTTTGATGTTTGTGATATTGTCGACTCGTTATTGTAGCCTGAGGTGTATTTCTTGCCTGGCGCTGAATGGAATTTTGAAATGGATTGCTCTAGGGGCTCAGGGGCTCAGGGGTTCAGGGGTTCAGGGGTTCAGGGGTTCAGGGGCCAGCCGGGGCGGGGGGGTTTGTTTACATCCTTGCCTAATGTAATCTAGTACGATTCTTTTTTTTTTGGCCAACCGACTACGGGTAAGGTGGATGGCTGGCCGACCTTCTAATTAGAGGAGTGGTGAAGCACTTTGCCTTTTTTGGGACCAATCTTTCGAGATCGGAGTTTTTGACATCGGTTGAGATTCCCAGACTCGTGCACATGTTAGTTAGCATTGACGTTTTCTTTGTTATTCTGACGACCTGGTTATATACTCGTAATTCAGGCGAGGCGCGGGCGAGATTCAAGCCCATTTTTTGTCCAGGTTGTTTCTGTCGTGGTGTTATCTTTAGTATTTGCCTCTGTCGTGTCAACAGAAACAAACGACCCTGTCTCGATTCGCTCAACCTGTCGGGTAATTAATTACCTCGTTAGCAGGGCTCTAGAAACGCGATCTCATTGGGTGGTATTCAGGAATGAGAATCAGGAAATAGTTTGTAGATACTCAATCTCGCTGGCAAGTCAGGCTCCCATCTTGTGCTTCACGCTCTTCCTCACAAGCAACTTTAGCGTAGTACAAAGTGAGATGCAAGGGGCTGTTCACCACGGCCTGTGTAATTAGTGCGGCAGCTCAGACCTTCATCACCGGGAGGGAACGGAGAAAGTTGGGGAAAGAAAGGGGGCGCGAGATCGCCTTCACAATGTCATCATGATTCACGCGTGTTTGGATTCCATGTGCTTTCTGGTTTATTATACAAATTTTGAACTAATTCAGATCCCGACCAATCAACACCTGTGTAACTACCTAGGTAGCAATTATCTGGGAAATGGTGCTGAGGGCCGGCCCTTGACTATGAGGGCCAGCCTGGTGAATGTGTGAGACCTGCTCGTTGTGAGACCTGCCCGTTGTGAGGCCTGCCTCGTTGTGGGGCCTGCCTCGTTTTGGGGCCTGCCCTTTTTGTGAGGACCAGCCTCTTCTCCAGTTTTCAGCCCTGGGCATTCCATCTTCTTCACGGCCAGCCGAACGCTCTTTTCTCGCGCCTGTTCGGTGAAGGGGGAGGGCCTGCCCCTGCCAGCCCCCATCTAGTTTTATTTTCCAATCTTCTCCGTTCCTAATCAACCAAGTCCCTAGGTCAGACCTAAGGACCGAAGCGGAGGTAACTGGTCAGGACCGAATTCAGTCTGACGCGACCATCATCATGGTCGGACCCCGGGCCGGGCTGGATGTCCTTCCACACAGTACGGAGCTTGCTGAGGACATTATCGCCGTTTGCCAGCTCGGAAATCTTATCGTAAATGGCCTGTTCCCACGCGGTAACCACCTCATCACCCGTGCCTGCAGGGGCCAGCGTTTTCCACAAGTTTTTAAGCATGGATCCCTCAATTTTAGGAATTTTCGTAATGCCCGTGTATTTCTTGAACTGCTCCCTGTCTGCAATGATGTGCAACTTGATGTTTGCGGGCCAGTTTATTCTGTCCGACTTGCCGGCGAATAAGTACGGGCCGGTGAGCGAGCTGGATAACTTCTTGGACGGCGTGAGCCCATATTTAGTAAATGCCATGAGCTGGAGGGCCTTCATGTTGATGTGAAGCAGGTGCTTGAACTGGCAAACCATCCAGATGAAGGTGACTGTCGAGATGGTGTTGCCCTTGTCGCCCGAGCCACCTCCAATGCAGCTATGGTACCCTGGGAACAAGACCTGGTTGGTCTTGCCGCCCAAGGGGCCGTCGAACGGCACTAATTTGAAGTTTATCCGACTCTCGGACAGTGAGCAGGCGTGGGCGGCCGCAAGGATGCGTGGCCGGTTTTCGATGGGCTCTGCGAAGTGGAACTTTGTCGACTGCAAGTTCATAAGCTTCATGTCGGGCATCCCGAGCGATGCAACGGTATCAAAGGGGCCCAAAAATGCGATTTCGACGCCGTTAAATGCCATGTGGGGCTTGTACTTTCCCAGCTGGGTAGGCCCAGCCACGCCCTTTGCCACCCAGTCGTTGAAAATCTCGTCGATGATTTTGTCGAAGCTGTCCATGGCTTCCAAGTCGATAGTTTCCTCACTGACATTAGCGTCGCTGAGGTCGTACGCGTTGTACTGCTTCTGCAAGTCGTGTTTCCAGTCAAAGATGCCAACGTCGACGATGAAAGACGCGAGGACGCGGGCAATGTAGGAGCCGCGGGAGAAGCCAAAGAGGAAGATCCTGTCGCCTTCCTTCCAGGTGACGCAGAGATGGCGGTAAAGATTTCGAAGGATTTTGCCAAAGTGGAAGCCAAAAGCCAAATCGTTAATCTTATGGTCTAGACCAGACTGAATGGACCCTAGCCCGGGCTGGTACACAACCGTCTGGGTGCGCTTCGCGTCGGCCGAGGTAGGTTCCATAATGGACGAAATCTTTGCAACATTTGTGATGTGCTCGTGCTTGCCGTTACCGATCTGGTTGTTGCCCGTACCATCGACGCAGATGATGTGGTCGGTTGGGAGTCTGTTGGGACCAAAGGGCACTGTCCATTCGTCACAGGGCTGGCCATAGACGCGATCGACGACGATATAATAATTGCCTCGAAGTTTGGGAGCGCCGGATCCCGAGCCGCTGGAGGAAGCCGTGGTAGCCTCGGAACCGGAAGGGGCGCGGCCAGCCGACGAGCCGGGACGGGTTCCAGGATGGGAATCGGTGGGGTTAGTACCAGACATGGTTTAAATTTTAATCAAGGGATTGGGAACCTGAGGTACTGGGTGAGAAGTACTGTGAAAAGTACTGTTACTGAGACGGAGGAAGACTCGAGGGTGTGCGAAGAGAAGATTGCTATTGGACAAGAGTGTTTGTGTTGTTGGATAATGATGAAGATGAAGGGAAAGACGTGTTGTTCTCGGAGCAAGACAGCGTCTTTTATCTCTAGCTCTGTCTCAATAATTATCCAACGCTCCGTGCTTGTGCCTCCCTAACGGCCAACGGCAATGGCCGATGCCCGCTTGGCTCCAACACCAACCATGACCAGCACGACGACAGTCGTCGTCGAACCAACAGAGGCCACCCAGCTCGCCTCAGCTCGCCTCGCCTCGCCTCGCCTCTTTGGCGTCGCCCCACCCCGGATGGATCACGGTGGGTTCAAGAGAAAGTATTCGCGGTTCGGACCTCTGAAACCACTAGAATGAATACAAGACACTGCACTGTCCCACTCAAAGTCTCAAACTGACCAACTCCTAGGGCACCGGGCAAGACGGCCAGGCTGCATCCATCCTAACATCTAATAATAAACTACCTTTGATTACCTGCCTTACCCAGGTGTCATTACGGCCCATGTTATTATGAATACGATGTGTCAAAAGAGTCAACAGCGGGGCGAGTCGGGCCTGCCTACCTGCCTGCCTGCCTGCCTGCCCTGGCTGGCGCCGGCCTCTGAGGCGAGGCGCATACCTAAGGCACACCCCCCCATGTCGAAGACCAGTTTCAGGGAGGAAAAAACTATTGATACCTAATTACCTTGATCAACGCGCCAACAACAACACGCCGAGTGCGCGTCTCGGATTCTACGAACTGGGAATAACCACCAATAACAAACACGCAGGGCACAGTTAGTATGTACTAGCGCCATGGCAAGAGACGGAGCCAATCGAATCCATGCTTGCACCGCAGTTGCGCCCCCTCCCCCCCCCTCCCCGCTCCCCCGGCTCCCCCCAGGGCCCACTGAATAAGGTGTCGGGAGACGGTATCCGACGCTAGCTTCCCTTTTGCGATGCGAGGAGAGAACCCCTAATCCGAATTCCGGGGACGGGACCCTAGTCCGATGGACCGCCGCGTTAGAATGCGACGGACGCCCAATTCTCACTGCGGCGCCGACGAAGGATGGAAGGGGTGATTGATTCATTTATCGAGTTCTTGTTTCCGCGGCAATTAACAAAACAAAGCAGCCCGCAATTATAATTAAATCCAGGAATTGCATGGGCTCGCCGTCCCACGCCACGTGGCCACTGCTTGTCCCGAACCGAACACAACGCAGAATCCGGGGCCCGGATCTCGGACTCCCGCCCGTTCCTACTCCTGCTCCTGCCGTATCTAATCACTCGGCCGAATTACTCTGTACTTAACATAGCGCTATCCAAGCCCCACATAATTATCAGCGTCCCTAAGATCCTAACGGATGCGAAATCCAAGCGCCCCCAAAAGCAACAAGTGAAGTGAATTGATTGATAGATTGACATTGACCGCGCCGCCGGGTTGGTTGCGTGCCTGGCTGGCTCCGGAATTTCCGAGGATCTTTCTGGACTGTTTTGTTCGCCGCTGCGTCCCACAGGCCCCCCCCCCCCCCCTCCCGCCCCAAGATGCCAATTTGGGCAGGTGCACCCCGCACGCGACACTCTGACTGGCTGGCCAACTTTGTTGGAGGTCAGCTCTGAAGCCTAAACGAAAAATGCTTGGCGGAGCGGCTGCTGCGAGGCTACTCCGTTGCTCCCCCCAGGCCGACCGCTGCGGGCGAGGACCCGCAACAAACAATTGGCGGCGCACGCTTCCCGCGTTTTTGTCTTGTCCCATCTATCAAGAAGGAGCCCGAACTCAAGTCTCACATCGGTTCCATTGAACGGAGCCACCGTAGGCGAGCTTGCGAGCCGGAGGTGGCGTAGAGAGGCTGTCTCTTCTACTTTACCGTGAAGGTGCCGAAAGTTTCTCGCACAGGGATTGGCCAGTTTTCGTCCGTGTCGATAGGGCTCCAGGGACTGGTCGATCGGATAATCCTCGGATTCTTTAATCCGCGGAATACCGAGCGCAGCGAGCAGCCTGCCGCAGGCGCCCCCGGAGCCGCCGGAGGCACCCTTCAGCGACCCCTTCCTGACTTGCCAGGCAGCTTATTTTACCTACTTCGTACATGGATTGCTTACTTCCCTTTTTCTCGGGCTAGCCACTCGCCAGCCCTGTCCTGCCCTGCCCTGCCCTGCCCTGCCCTGCCCTCCAGTGGGCCTGGGCGCTTTTGCTGGTTCGTAATTATCCCCGTCGTCCGTTTCGATTTCGATTCTAACACACGCCGCGCTAATGATTGCCAATGGGAACGGGAATGATCCTGTGGACCCATGCATGTTCCATCGCGTCGTCCCTCGCTTTCCAGGCCGGCCCTCCTGACTACTTCAAGTCTTCACTCTTCTCGCCCGGTCGAAATTCATATTAATACCTATCCATCCACCCACCATCAACGTTTTCTTTTCCGAGTGTAGCTTCGAGACATGTTAGCTGGCGCCGGCGCCGGCGCCGGCGACATCAAAGACCGATCTTGCAGTTGCCCGCCGAAGCCCGTCGAGGAAACTTTTGCTGCTGCGCTGCGCTGCGTAAGACAGCAGGCATGGGCACGAGATGCAAGAAATCCCCCACCACAGTCATAACTTTATCCCCGGTTTCCTCGATCGCCACTGCGGATTAGAGTGGCGACCCGTCTCTGGTACGTGGCTGACTGTCCTGCCTTTTTTCTCGGAACCAGCGGGTATACGTTTGCTAATCATCAACCGCAAGCAGAGTTTCATTGTTGCACAGCTTGGCCGACATTTCAGTTCCACCACGTCGACTCCGAACAAATCGACACCCGATTCGGTCGCACAAGTCAGCGCAGTGTAGTGCAGTGCAGTGCAGGTTCAGCTGACGCTTTTGCCCGAGCATATGGCCGCTGGCCGGCCCGCTCGGATAAAAAACGTCGTCAGCTGGGGCAAGGAGTTCGCTTCCCTAGCCAGCACTAGACACGCTGAGGATTCACTTCTCAGTTCCCCGGCCAGGCTCTGGACGGCTTAAACATGCTCACGGCCATTTGAGCTCCGTTGTTTGTCAGGTGCATATTAGTGATGGTCCTCAGCTGGAGCTCCGTGTTACCCCTCAACGGGACTCGTGCCTTGCGCCGTCAGCATCTCTTCTGCTCATGCCCGGGCGGGCAGCGGCGCCTATCCGGGGCATAAGATCCACCTCGGTGACGACCTGCCCTCGGCGTCTTTCCCTCTTCCGTGGCCACGTCTTACTGCACCGTGTTTGGCCGGGCGCCGAACGTACGACGACGACATCTCCACCGGCCACATCGAGAAGAGTTGCGTGTTTGGGCTGGACTCAAGTCACGATGCTCCCTCATCAATCACCACCCCCCTCGTGGTCCGGAACTTACGGTTGCGCGGCTGATCTAATCGCTACCACGTGCTAGGACAGGTCTAGCTGATGCATAGCTCCGTGCGGGCTTGCGGGTCGTGTTCTGGGGCAGTTAGAAGCTGCCCGAGGGAATTACTAACTTGGTGTTCGAGGGCCAGAGAAATGGGGGTATAAAACGACGTCGACAGCTGCTGCCAAGACAATCATGCTCGGCCTGCATCCATCAAGCCAACAGCCTACAGGCACACCTCTTTGCATCTAACCACAGAAAGAGACAACCGCCATGCGCTACACGCACGCTCTCCTCAGCCTAGCCCTGTCCAGCGCCGCCTCCGTGGCCGGACAGACGTCCTCGACCGTGTCGTTCGACATCGATGCCACTGCACAGAACATGGTGTTCACGTCGCCGCCGGACCCGACGGACGAGGCGGCTGTGATCCAGTTCATGCTGGCGGCGTTCCGCGGCACGCCGCCGCCGTCCAGCGGCACCACGGCCGTCAGCGGCACCTTCACCATCGTCGGCACGTACTGCGTGCCCGGCGACAACTCCAAGGACACGCTGCAGGTCCTGGTGCACGGCATCACGTACGGCCGCGACTACTGGGCGGGGCTGGGCTTCAGCGACGGTCTCAACTGGAATGTAGCCGCCAACGCCGCCGGCTACGCCACGCTGGCCATCGACCGCCTCGGCCACGGCGATAACCCGCAGCGGCCCGACCCGCTGACCGTCGTGCAGCCCGAGATGAACGTGCAGATTCTCAACGCGCTGCTGACCGCCGTGCGCAGCAGCAGCAGCCCCACCAACGCCCTCGGCCACGGCTACTCCAAGGTCGTCTACGTCGGGCACTCGTACGGCTCGTTCCTGGGGTCGACCATCGCGGGCCGGTTCCCCGAGGCGGCCGACGCCATGGTGTTGACGGGCTTCGCGACGACGCGCAACTTCTCCGACGTGCTGACAGCCGACTGGACGGCCGCCGCGAACCACGCGCCCGCCGACGCGGACTTGCCGTTCGGCTACCTCACCCTCGGCGACGAGGCTGGCCGCACCGCCGTCTTCTACGGCGGCGCCTTCGACGCCGACTTGCCGCCGCTCGACTTCAACATTGAGGACACCATCACTGACGGGGAGGCCGCTGCGCTGACCATTCTGCTAGACCCCGCGCCGGGGTTTACAAGCCCGCTGTTTATTGCGACTGGTGTGCTGGACGTCTTTTTTTGCAATGATGGCGGCGTCCGGGCCTGCGAGGCCAACCTCGCCCAGTCGCGCCCGGATTTCTTTCCCAATGTGCCAGAGGCCAAGTTTAGCTTCTTCGCGCCGGATAATACCGGGCACGACATCTCGCTGCACGACTCGGCGCCGCAGACGTTTGCGGCCGTGTTCGATTTCCTGGATGCCCAGCTGTGATCTGTGCTGGCATTGCTCAAGGGTTGGATGTGGTGGAGGATCTCATTTTTGGGGCTTGTTATCCTCTACTGAAATTAGTTGGTGTGGCCAGGTGTGGTCAGAAAGTATTGAAATTGTGTCGTTGCGCCTTCTGAAGGTCTGGCGCTGGAATTCCTGACCACTCGATCCCAGTTGGAACATGGAGAGACATAACCTCGGACACAATTATCGTACAACTGGCCCGTCCCCCTATCGGCTCATATCCAGCACGTAGCGACCGACAACCTTGTTCTCCTTCATCAGGTCAAACACGCTCTGTACCTCGCTCAGCCCGACAACCTTGTACGGAGCATTGATCAAGCCGCGCGCGAAAAAGTCCAGCGCCTCGGCCGTGTCCTGGCGGTTGCCGACGTACGACCCTTTGACCGTAATCATGCGCACAACCGTATCAAACACAGGCATGCTGATCCTCGCCCCGGCCGGAATGCCAATGCACACGACGACGCCGCGCGGGCGCATGTACGCGGTCGCCTGCTGAAACGGCTTCTCCATGGGCGCGAGCAGCAGCGCCGCGTGCGGCCCGAGGCCCTCAGCCCCAGTCAAAGCCTTGACATCGTCGACCAGCGTCTGCGTCGCCATGAAATCCACGTACGCCTCCGCGCCGAGCTCCTTGCACGCCTCGCCCTTCTCCTTCCCGCCGTCGATCGCAATGACATGCAGGCCCATGGCGCGCGCGTACTGGATGGCCAGACTGCCCAGTCCGCCGCCGGCACCGACAATCGCCACGAACTGGCCCGGCCTGGCGCCCGACTCCTTCAGCCCTTTGTACACGGTCAAGCCGGCGCACAGAATCGGCGCGACAGCCGCCAGGCCCTCCCCTTCGATCAAACTAGACGGAATACGTGCCGCGTGCGCGGCGTTCACCACCGCGTACTGCTGGAACGACCCGTCGACCGTGTACCCGGCCAGCGCGGCGCGCGGGCACAGCGGCTCGTCGGCCTGCATGCAGTAGCCGCACCCGAGGCACGACGCCTGCAGCCACTTGATGCCGACGGCGCGGCCGAGGCCGACGTCCGGGTCCGTCACCAGCGCGCCTTTGGCCACGACGATCCCAGCGCCCTCGTGGCCGCCGACGACGGGCGTCTTGCGTGCCGCGGGCCAGTCCCCGTTGAGCGCGTGCAGGTCCGTGTGGCACACGCCGGAGTATTTGATTGCCACGAGGACTTCGTTGGGGCCCGGCTTAGGGACGGGGATCCGTTTATAGGAGATGGCTGGGAAGAGGAGTTAGCGGGGGATGGGGGGCAGGTGCGTGGTGACGTACGGCCGCCGTCCTTCTCGATGACTTGCGCCCACTGCTCTTTGGGGATCTCTGGCTGGCCCATGTTTGCGATTGGCGTTTTCTAGGGGTTATATGGTTTGTATGTAATAGTAAATGGTTGGAGGGTGGAATAGAGGAAAAGAAGGACGGGATGTTGGTACCAGCGATGATGCGCCGCGTCTCTCATGGCAACGTCATGGCGGCATTAGCGGTCGGGTTACTATGATTCTTGGGGCTGGAGGCCCACAAAATCCTACGGGCCCTGGCTTGGACTTTGTAAGCGTCGGGTTATTGTTTTCGGAGAATGTAGATTGCGATAATGGAAAGGTGATATGATGAAGAGATAGCGTGATGCTACCGAGTTTGCGCGGTGACCGAGTCACCGAACCAGGAGGTGGCTTGAGAAGTTAGATGAGCAGTATGTTTGACATGGTTATTTTTCTCTTTTGCCCACTACAAGTCCTTGACAGACGTCAGAGTCCGTTTTGCGTACAAAGATTGACCACCGAGGCATCTAAAGGTAGTCTTAAGCACGGCGACCTGTTCCGTCTCGTCTTATCATATTCCTGGCCGTTCCCATCGTCTTAAATATAAGCGTTATCGTTATCCGTTATCGTTATCGCTACGCTGCCTTTGGCCTAGTATTGTGCCGCTGTCAGAATCTAGCCAACATATTATAAGTTTCGGACCTATAAGTGAAGTTCGACTATTTTATCAAAACCCGCTCACTCAAACAAGAAGCAGACAGGCTCACAAAGTCGTCGAGTACAGGAAACACAGCAGATTCGTCAAGATATTGGATCTCACAGATGAAAGGTTCCATTGTTAGGTACAGACAAAGGAACACAAACGAACCTGGCAGGGCAGGGCAGGGCCTGCGAAGGCCTCAACCTGACTTAGTCTCGAATTCTTCATTACCGAGAAATCGTTCAGCGGCATATAAGCACAACTTAGATCACTCTCCTAGCCTCTGGATGGCCGAGCGGGTGCCAGTCCGTAACAATAGCATGAAACCGATATTTCGTAAATAGACACGCTCAACAGGACCATATTTACTGCACCGCAAACATCTGCACAGCCGTCTGTGATGATGTGATCGCCCTTATGTGATGTGGGAGGAATTGTTGCTGTAGCTCAGCCTCTTTAACTGTTTCTGCGATTTTCTCGCGCTGAAAAGCACAGTCCCGGTTCCGATATGTCCCAAACTCTACAATTCGAAGAACAAGGTGTCGTGATGGGCCCGAACTCAGGCGTGCGCCTCGTGCAACAGACATCAGCAGCAGCAGTGTCAACGGCAGCAACATCACCAACGGGGGCGCAAGCCGCAACAATCCGCCCCAGGCAACAGAAAGGGCGACCCCAGGGTAGCGTCCAGCCATCTCTCGCCACGCATCTAAGCAGCAGGGCTTTAGGCCTTCGGCCCTCTAACTTGAGAAAAAACAACCCGTTTCTGTCGATTGTTTTTAGCCTAGATAGACCGCCAACACTAGTAATAATGGTATCATGAAAAGCTCGCATACCTTTATTCCATCCCCCTTAGATGACACCCACACGGCCGCTGATGCGAGCAAGATGGAGCCGGAACAGTCCATTCATGCACGGTGGTCGATTCCCTCCGTCCGCATTTGCCAGAGGGACACAGGGGAGAACCCTGGACGGGGCAAGTTCAAGCGATGCATGGCATCGCCGTGGGACCCGATGACGCCTCGTACCTCCTCGTGGGCGACCCGAAAAACGTGGCGCGAGTGGCCCTCAAGAACTGCGCGCCGCCATGCCTCGACTACACGAGGGCTCAGGTCAATTCCCCAGTTGCCGCGCCAGATGATCGAGGCATGGTCACTTTTCGTGCGGTATATAAATGCACATGCATTCTCCCTTTGGCCGTTCCAGAGAACTAGGGTCCGTAGTCTCGGCATCCGCAGTGCAGTGGTGCCAGCGTTGAGCAGCAGGGCATGTATCTCCCCACGGCTACCCGTGTCTCGGAGAAGTTGCGATGTTAGCGCCAGAGACTCGAGGCGCTCCCAGATCCACGTCGTTGGCGCGCAGGCCCCGAAGAAATCACGGGCGTCGACCATGTCGGAGACGGAGAGCTATTCGAGGACGAGGCCATTTGCAGCGAAAGCCGCGCCGAGCTAGGGATCCACGACGCGTGAGGGGCTCACGAGGGCTACTTCAGGGCCCATGTGCGACAGATAGGGCTGCATCCAGCTTGGGCTGCATCCAGCGTGGGATGGGGATAGCGCCGCCCAATGATTCGACAATAGCATCGCTGAATTCCTCGAAAATCGATGTCCTGTTGAGATTGTAGGGAAGGTGTAGCCTGACGAATTGTATGAGCCCTGCGATGCAGTTCTTAGTGACCTACAGGGGGTTCTTGACACCTACTCTCATCTTAGCACTTCCTCGAACGATTAGTCCATTCCCTCCACAGCTCATATACGAGGTGCTCCGAGCAACCGAGCTTGTCGAATATATGCCAAAGATCCTCAATCTTGATGTGACGACGTAGTTGACGACGTATGACGAAACATGTGACGCCATCAACTCGGGCAAGGCCTTCCCGGTTTCGCAGGTGGATTGGCTCAAAGAGCCGCAGTATGCTAGCGCAGGAGGGCTCGCAATCTGTTTGCCATTAACCCAACCATGGTCTGGGTCGGTCGTGCCACTTGTTGGTTTTATGCATAGAACTTGCGTCTGCACCACCCTCGTCATCAAGATTTGAGGTGAAGTGATAGTTCTTGAACCAGTGGTCAGAGTCGCTGGGATAATAGGCGTTGAGCTCCAGCGTCAATCCACTCGCTTGCTTCCAGGGGCCGAGGATAGAGAATAGCTTGTTGACTCCTTTTGTGAAAATGGCGGTGTTTTGATCTGTCTGTTCCCCCTGGTCGCAGGTTCGGCATGTGTACTTCCGTAATTCGATATCAAGGCAAATATGGCGAACGAGCTCTCTCTGGCGAATGACCATACGTTCAAAAGCATCGAGGCAGGACACTGGTAGCTTTAACAGCTGGAATTTCCGCGTCTCTATAATGGCCTGCCATTCACTACAGAAGGACGCGAAAGACGCCCAGCTGGGATGCCTCTGATGCGCAATCGTATCTAAGATTATGAGGCGTATCTCGGCTGGCAGAGAAGTCCAATAGACAGATTGCTATCTTTGTTTTGTCGAGCTATGGCGTCTCGTTTCATTGCGACTGGAAGTGTGGGACGTGTTCACCGTTGTGGAGGAGAGCAGGGTGGAGGAGAGCAAGGTGGAGGAGACCATGGTGGAGGAGACCATGGTGGAGAAGACCATGGTAGAGGAGACCATGGTGGAAGGGAGCATGAGGAATTGAGGCTGGATGTTGGCGTCAAATTATGGAAGGGGAAAAAGTTGGGCGGAGCAATCTTACCACAAACCCAAACCTCACCGTAGCGATGGTGATTACTCAATGAGGGCACAAGACCTAGACGTGGCCACTGCACCCGGCAGCCTATGGCGCCAAATCCAGCACTTCATCCCATCAAAGTCAAACTCAAGTAGATATTTCGGGCGTCTATGTTCCGTATCTGGCATAATTACTAATTACCACTGTAATTTCATGCGCAATCAGAGCTGTGGTCTTTTGGTCCTGAGTGCCGGAGTGGAAATTAGGTACCTATTCTTCGTTGTCCGTGATAGTCTAGGGTCCCAATTCACAGGAAAGACGCCGATTTCTAATAAAAGATTTCTAGGAAAAGAAGGAAAATGGAATGAGCATTGCCGGTTCTCTAATCAGAAGCAAGGGAGGCTAACCATCTAGTATGAAGTGGCTGGCCAAAGAAGAAAAAAAGAAAGAAAGAAAATCGCATTAGATTACATTGAGCAAGTGCGTGTGTGAATAGGTAGAGCCATGGCCTCTGAACCCCTGAGAAGTAAGCGAAGTAGCGACTTACACCTTCCATGTACGGTGTAATTAATGATTACACTGCTAGACCAATTTAGCGAGGCTGCAATGTGCTCGCAGGCTTTGGTGATTGTGATCCTGTGACAAAACTGGCGTCAGCCAACAGCGATCAACACATCATTAATTACGTTGTTGGAATCACCAGGTACCGGTACTGGAAACAACAGGGCGTGCTGCACGCCGAAAGCTGGTGGTTCAAGTGCTGGTCATTGTTGTCTATGTCTATCTAGAAGAAAGAGGTGGCTGTAGGCCACTTATATGGAATCTGGGACCCCTACGCCTCCACCGCCGCCTGTGTGGCTGGAATGCGCGTTGTTCCAACATACGTCCATGCCGACCCCTATACCCTGTTTCGAATAATATTATTAATGATCACTCGACCACCGGCTACTCCCAGCATCGCATTCGAGCCATCTACTCCCAGCATCGCAGTCGAGCCATCAAATGTGATTAGTCCAGGCAGCAACAGGACGCGACGGCGTCAATATCCTACCCCCAATTATCAAGCACCGGCGTGAGTCATACCGAGCAGCGCTAAAAAAAAAAAATCCAATTCTGCGCTGTAGTTGCTAAGCCATATTAACGCCGCCGCGATACCATCGGACATAGGACTTGCGAATTAAGACCGACGGGACGATTCGGAGAACTCGAGAGTACTTAAGTAGTTAATTCGATCGGAATCTTATAAAGATGTGACAAAAAAACAGATAGACAGACGGAAGTTTGCCAACCCCAACCCACCCCACCCCCCCGACGAAACACGAGAAGCAGCAGCCCAAAACAGTCACACAACACGATGGCGGCCTCGGAGTACGAATTCCAAGGCTGGCTGGGCCACTCTCCCGCCGCGGCCGAGGGGAGAATGGAATGGGGCACGTACGAGCCCAAGCAGTGGACCGAGGACGACGTCGACATCCAGGTCACGCACTGCGGCGTCTGCGGCTCCGACCTGCACATGCTCAGATCCGGCTGGTTCGACACGCCCTATCGTGGGTCTCTTTCCCTCTTCCTCCCTTCTTTCTGTCCTTAAAAACACTAATTAACACACACACCTGGGATACAGCATGCTGCGTCGGCCACGAGATCGTCGGCCGGGCGGTGCGCGTCGGCAGCCGCGTGGCGGGCGACATCCGCGTGGGCGACCGCGTGGGCGTTGGCGCGCAGGCGCGCAGCTGCTTGGAGAAAAGCTGCGCGGCGTGCTCGAGCGGCCGCGAGAACTACTGCGCGCGCGCCAACATCGGCACTTACGGCGCCGTGTACCCGGGCGGCGAGGGCAAGTCGTACGGCGGGTACGCCGACTACAACCGCACGCACGGGCGGTTCGTGTTCAAGATCCCGGCCGGCCTGCCATCCGAGTTCGCGGCGCCCATGCTGTGCGCCGGCATTACGGTCTTCTCGCCGCTTCGGCGCGAGCGGTGCGGGCCGGGCAAGAGCGTGGGCATCGTCGGCGTCGGCGGCCTCGGCCATTTCGGGGTCCTGTTTGCCAAGGCCCTGGGCGCGGACAGGGTGGTGGGCATTTCGAGAAAGGCTGAAAAGCGCGACGACGTGCTGAGGCTCGGCGCGGAAGAGTACATCGCCACGGATGACGGCGGTGGCGGGTCGTGGGCCGAGGGCCACGCCCGGTCGCTCGACCTAATTGTGTGCACCGTCTCGAGCGAGGACATGCCCCTGACTGACTACCTGCGGCTGCTCAAGGTTGATGGCGTCTTTATACAAGTTGGGTAAGTTCCGAGCCACGTCTCGACACCCACTTTCACGCAAATACCCCTGGATTGACTTGCTACTAGCAACCCCGACGGCGGCAAGCTCCCTCGCGTAAGCGCCCTCACGCTTCTTGAAGGCGGAATCAAGATGGGCGGCAGCAGCATCGGCTCACCCGAGGAAATCCGCGAGATGCTGCAGTTCGCCGCCGACAAAGGCATCAAGCCGTGGGTGGAGATGCGATCGTTGCGGGATGCCAACCAGACTGTCGTTGACATGGCGCAGGGCAAAGCGCGGTATCGATATGTGCTGGTGAACGATAGGCACGCTGCGGCCGGGATTGCTAATTAGGCAGATGATAGATTATCTTGTCAAAATCCCTTCTATTATTTCCTTGGTGCCCAATCATGTTTCGAACGCCTTCTCCGTGCTCATGACACACAACTGCCCGTTGGGCGACTCCCTCAACGTCCCTCGGTCGTCAATAATATACTTCAGCAGCCTGCCGACTTTATTCCTCTTGGCGACGAGATGGTTTTGTTCTTCTCCCGTCTCTTTCACCGTCTCGTAGCCAACCACGTCGGCAAAAATGCCCAGGTTGCGCGAGTTGACCGGGTATGCCTTGCCGACCTTGAGCTGCGCCGCACCGCCGCCCTCGTCGCCGATCCTTCCATCCCGGTCGATGCGCTGCCAATAGTAGGCAACGCACGTGCTCAAGCGGAAGGCGGATGGCGGATGGCGGACGCCAACGTCTCCTTACCAGGACACGGGCACTCGGGCGTCTCGAAGCACGAGTTGACGACGCAGACGAACGAGGTCGTGAGCTTCGCGTCGGTCAGGGCGCGGACAGGGCGCGGACCCACGGCTCGCTCCCCCTGTCGATATTGAGCTACTAGTGCCCCTCGGGGCCGCCCAGCTAGGCTGCCTCCAGCCCGCCGCCGACGTAGCCCGTGTGCTCCAGCATCCTCATGGCGCCGTGAATGAGCCGCAGGATGACCTCGCGGAACTCGTGCTCCTTGCTGCCACCTTCGCCCCAGCCATCAGCTCACCCAAGACGTCCTGCGGGGGCGTGTCGCCCTTAAACACGGCCACGAGCCTGGCGACGGAGTCTTGGTGCGCGCGACCTAGCGGCAGGGGTACGTCGCTCGCAATCCAGGCAGGGGCGACGGCGGCGATGAGGCCGCGCAGGCGCACACGCTGCATGACGCCGCCGTGCAGACTCACAAGCACGGCGCAGAAGCGGTCGAGGTGCAGCACGCGGCTCTCAAAGGCCAAGCTCCGGGCGGAATGTATTAGTAGCGCCTCTCGGTCCGCGCCGGCACGCGCTTGAACGTCCACGCCGCCAATACTCCCGCCTGCGTACCCAGTACGGCCCCCACCCGAACGCATTTGACGCTCCATGACGCGGGCCGCGTGCCGAGTGCTGTGAGATGGTGCTGCTGCAGGCGCGCGCGCATTTTCTCCTCGAGCTGCTCGAGCTCACACCGAGCTGACAAGACGGGCTAGGTAGTCGACACGCCGCCAATAAGTGTTGACGACGAAGCGTCGTTGTAGATGTAAGAATAGTCAGCTGAGACACCATTGGCATCGGTGTCTGTGGCGTCTCCCCGAGCTTCTTAGCAGTCCAAATCCATTTCGGAATACCTGTTGGCCCTGGGCTCTGACTCGTTGGATCTCTGCCAGCTACCCCGTCGAACAAGTTCATGGAAGCTATTTTGAAAGGCTCGGCAACTTGCCCCGCCCGCGACGTTGTGACAGAGACCGCCAATGCGTCTGGCTGAAAGGTGCGCAGGATCTAACTCGGCGTGATGGTCAGGCTCGCAGCCTATATTTGTCTATCCTCGCTAAAGGTCGGATTCTCGACTGAGAAGAGGAACGCCTCGGCTCCCCCGAGAAAGGGGAACTTTACTGGCACGATGAAGACGTTCTCTCCAGTCTTGAACCCCATGCCCTTGGGCTGGACCCGCGACATGGCGTTATCGTGGATGCGGAAAATGGTGTCGGCCTGTCCGCGGCTCTTTTCCCACAGCAGCATGCCGCGCAGCTCGGGCAGACGTCGCAGCTGGCCGACCATGCCGCGCACCGCAGCGAGAGACACAAGCGAGTATTCAACGTCCAGGATGCCAGCTCGTCCCTTGCCGCCGGTACTGCGCAGGTATACGAGGCCGTGGCCCAGGCGCACGCGATGCTCGATCCACTGCAGCACGGCGACCAGCCATCTGAACGCGTACCACGTGTTGTCTAGCACGTGCGACAGCGAATCTGTCGCCATATCGCGCTCGCTGGTAACCAGGGGCCTGCCGTCGAGATTCTCGGGAGGCAGCACCGGCATTCCGTACGATACCTTGATCACGCTCCTCATCTTTGCGGAGCCGGTGCCGAGTCAGACTCGTCGACGGTTATGTAACGGCGCCACTCGAAATGCTGTGCGCGAAGCCCGTCTTCCTCCGGCTGGCGCAAGCGATCTCCAAAATGGAAGGAGCCCGCAACGCCGAGGAGGATGTCGAGGCCGCCGGCGGCCCTGTCGTCGGGCAGGAATGCGCCCGAGTCTGTGACCCAGTTGGTGGCAGTAACGTCGCTGTTATCTAGGGCGGCGAGACCCCATCTACAATACACACGATGGTAGTTATAGCGGAGTTTCGGGTCTTCGATGAGGGAGGAGTCATTGCCATGCCTTCCCAGCACCCAGGGCCCGACGTCACCGCCGCGCCCTTCGTTCTCTCCTCTAGGCGCACTAGCGTCGCGAAAGACGCGCATCTGCCGAACCGCACGCTCCGTCATGATCCACGGCCGCCACAACGCGTATCGCTCGACGAGGTCTGTGATGAAGTTGACGTGGTCGGTGGTGGTCGACCCGCCGACGTTGCGGTGCGCCAGCTCGCCGCACCACGTATTGATGTCGTGGCCGTGCCGCTGGATTAGATGCGCAATACGCTCGCGCGTCTGCTGTTTCTGCTGCTCTCGGGCCGCCGCTACTGTTGTAACCGATGTGTCTGACGATACGTCCCACGCCGCGGCCAGGCTGTCAATTTCGGCCTCCGAAGCTGCCGTCGCCTGACGCTCCTCATCCGTTTCGGGCCCTCGTTGTCTCCCTGCAAGGGCGCAGTCTCGGCGCGAGGAGTTGAGGGCGGCTCGGGATCCCGCACCCGTTTTTTTTTTTTTGCTTTTGGCCAAGAATTCTTATTTCTCCACCTTGGTTTATCCAAGGCTCCGAGTCCACGCGCAGAGTTCGGAGCGCCACTGTAGTCGATCAACGAGGCTGCCTTCTTTAGAAGCCACATGCCCCCCACTCCCATTTGGGTCTCCCATCCAGTGGCTTTGCACAGTCTGCAGCCGCCTCGCCCTCAGCTGTATTGAATCGTAACTTCCCATGTTCATTCACGCTGAAACGGAAGGACCCAGAATAGTATAAGCCCCAAATCCTAAACCCCAAACCCCAAACCCCTCCTCCTCTCAAATTTTCGAATTTGCAATTCCAAAGAGCATGAGCCTGTGAATTGAGGCGAGGACTTCAACTTGCAATGCGCCCACGAGCACCCGGACGAATGTGGGATCTCTGCAGAACATTGTTGACATGAGTCCACACGCCAGTCCGCCCGAGACTCTCTGTGCTGGGACCAATAACCTCCAATGGTAGATGCAGCGCCAATGTAGGCAGGATGAAGAAGAGTTGGATCTTGCACTGCACAACGACAGCCAGAGCCGCTACGACGCGGATGGCGAGTATATGTGGATGTTGGAATAAATGCACGACTCGGAGTTCAAACCGGGGCCTTTGGTCAGTGAAGGACGCATTCGATTCATCGAAACGACAGAATGCTTTCTTTAGCTGCCACTGGTAATCACACTCCCATTATTGTCCCAACTCTCAGATTCAGAGAGGCTGAACTCGGAGGGGGGCAGCCTACTCTCGGTTGACAGTCGACATCAATGTTATCGTCATCTGATCCATCTTGAATACGAATACGCTATCAAGATCGAGGTTTCGTACGAAAGTTCCGAAACTTCATGCCATCACAGTAGTTGAGTTAGCAGTTGATGCAAAACGGTGCTATGGGCCTAGGCTCTAGCAGATCTTTCGACTTTTGGAAGTATCTAGACTGCCATCAACACAAGCAATTGCGACAGCGATTCAGTTCTCGTACTTCTTCTTCTTCTTCTTCTTCTTCGTCTTCGTCTTCTTCTTCGACAATGGAATACGGATGACAGATGGCAGGGAACTAAAACACCAACGCAGCCAGCTGCTGCAAGTATTGTCGGCCGTCCATTTGGACAAGTTGGCTCTCTCCACCTTCTCCACTGGAGTGTTACCCTCTCACACTTTTGGCAACACGACCGCCGGTATAGGCCCCCTATAGGTTCAGTCTTGCCATCTCACAATGCCCCAAGGCTACATTCGTAATTATTTTGGGCGAAACATTGAAGACAAGATTCCTGTCAGATTGTTTCAAGTCGAGGTCAAATCAAGTCAAGTCGTGTTATATCAAGATCCAACAAGCTTCGGTACTCCAAATCTAAACCTAGTAGCTAAGTGATGCTTGCGCGTCGACCGCCGTCAGATTGGTAGCGGCAGCGCGTCGTCTCTGTAGGTCGGTATGTATATGTATCTACTATACGGTTCATGTACGAGCGTGATTCTAAAGCCAATCGCTATGCTGTTACCAAGCCGGGCATTCCCAATGCCGATGCATAATATATAAATTTTACCCACAGCAGCCCCAAGAACCAATGGGCTGGCCAGTGACCTCTCAAGTGCCTGCGCTCTAGTTTTTCGCTTTCTGGCCAACACGCCCAGGATATCCTGGGATTGGGTGCTAAGAGACCTCGGTTTTGTGATGACTGGAAACCCGAGATCCATCTGCCTTGGCTCTTTTCGTCGTTCATTGCCGGTCTATCAGACTAACGGGGGTCGGGGCCGGCCTAACCCCCGACCAAGTCTCCGACCCGGCTGCAGCAGCGGCGTTGATAAGCGGGTCCTGCTCCTCAGCATTTGAGTCGCTGCCGATGGTGAACAGGGACCGAATCTCCGAATCCACGAGGTCCTCCCGAACGTCCGCGGCGCCGTCACCAGCAAAGTCCAGTTCTGAAAGGCATATGGCGTTTGGGGCGTTGTTGGGCGGCCGATGCTCTTAATCATCATCCTTGCGGCTCTCGCCATCATCCTCGTCGTCGCCGCTCAGGTCCACGACTTGGCGCCTCTTGCGCTCGTCCTCGGTCATCTCGCGCCACGTGCTCCAGCTGAGCATTCCAAAGGCGACGATGATGAGCAGGCCGCCAAATATTGCGGCGGCACTCAGCGCCTGGCCCGTCCAGAACCAGTCGACAATGGCCACGGTGAAGATTGTGAGCAGCGCCGCGACGGAGCTGAACACGGGGCTCGTGAGCGAGATCAGGACAAGGAACGACCCCGTAAACGTCATGTTCACTACCACGCTGATGAACAACAGCCACGCGGCCTGGCCAGTCGGCAGCTCAAACGTCTCCCAGCCCAGCACATGGAGGACGGGCAGCGGGATCCACAGCACTGTAAGCGTGAACGCCCCGATCAGGCTCCCAAACGTGTTGGCAAAGATGATGCCCCGCCCCGGCGATGTGCCCTCAGGAGGGCAGGCAAGCCGCTTGTACAGCACTTCGTAGAGACCATACAGAACCGACCCTACACCAATGATGAGGTTCCCGGCGAGGCGCATGCCGCTGTCCGACCCCCGCGGCGGCATCCCCCCCGACGCCGGCGGATCCGCATTAGCCGCGGAGCCCTTGCCGTCCCCGTACGCCACCACCAGCACGCCCATGATGGCCACGCCCACAGCCACGCTCTTGTCCAGCCGCAGCCGCTCCTTCAACAGCGGCACCGAGAAGGCGTACGCGAAGAAGGCGCTGCAGTTGTAGATCGCTGTGAGGTCGCTAGGGGTGGTCATGCTGACAGCGACGTACCAGCTAAGGCCGGCGACTGTAAGGGCAGAGGTGACGAGCATGGTGGTGCGGAGGAGGTAGCGCCAGGGTGAGCGGCTCCCGGGCGGGCGGGTAGCGGTGGCGGCGTGCAAGTCCTGCCGCTCGACCATCTGGGCCGTGGTGCGCAGCAGCCAGAGGTGCCGGCGCCAGAACTGGGGCCACGGCTGGTCGCGGCGTTGCAAACGCAGTATGCCCAGCTGCAGCGGCCACAGCAGCACCCACGACCCGTGCGTCACGTACAGCATACAGTACGCCTTGTCCCAGCCCAGCTCGTGCTGCACGTAGGCCGCCAGCTCTGTCTGCACAGTGAAGGAGAACAGGCTCACGCACAGGAAGAAGGCCGCCAGGGTGTATTTCTTTCGCGCGGCCCGGCGGGCGTCGCCGTCGGCTGCCGCGGGGCTGCGCGACGAGCGCATCGTGCTGCGCCGGGAGAATGTAGGGCGGTCTGGCGGGCGGGCCTGGAGAAAAGGGGGGGCTGTCGCTGTGTGCGAAGCCGACGTCGACGGCGAGAGGAGCAGCGGGCTGCCGCGTCGCGTGCTGCGGTGCGTCGGCCGGCCGCGGTCTTCTTCGTCGGAGCTGGCGTACGGGTGCGCATTGGCTTGGGGGTCGAGCAGAGGTTGCGCGGGGCGCAGGTCAGACGAGCGGAACATTGTGCGGCTTTCGTGTCGGGTTGTCGTGTGCTCCCAGGCGCGCGCGGGGTTCTCCTCAATCGGACAAAGGAACAGCAAGGCCAATATCAGACGAAGCAACGCGGGCGAGCGGTCGTGGTCTTCTTGCGGGAGATCGTGCGTGGCCTCGTAGCGATTGCATAGCTGGCGTGTTTACGTCTTCGCTGTCGTCACAAGCCAAAGCAACCTAGAGAACTTGAACGGTAGCACAGAACAACGCTTGAAGGCCGATCACATGAGCATATCCACTGCACCCCTTTATGCCCCTGTGGGGATGATCTGCCAATCACAAAACGCGCCGCCTGCACCGCGTGCATCAGTGGGGAACAGCGCTGTGGGTGTGGGGCTGCTAAGGGGTCCCGAAACCGGCTGACTGGCAAGAACCTTGGTTGGCTCTTTTCGACCCCGCCCTTCGATCCCTCCATTCGGCGGTCGACCAGACTGCAGATGGCAGCTGCTCCCTACGGACCGGAAGGCACGGTTCACGAAGCTAGCAGAAGCGGTCTATCATTCCGCCAGCCCGTCTACCAGAATAGACTTCACCATTCGAGTCCCGACCAACCTCTAATAACCTAGCAACCTAGGTACGGAATACGCCAGAATACCATGGCCCTCTCTTCAGGCCCGGGCATGCTGCCTTTAGAGTTTGCTCGTGACATCGGCACCAACATCAATTACTTTCAGCTCTTTCCGGCCCAACCTCGACCGCTACCCCAAGTCCATGTACTGCGACCAACCCAGTGCTTTTCTCGTCCGCTGCCACTTCGCCCTGGCTCTCGCTTTCGCTCTCAAGCTCGCCCTTCAGCGACTCCATCGTCCTCTTGATCTCCTCGGCCCACCGTGTCTCGGCCCACCATCCTGTGATCGACGTCGCCGAACACCTTGGCCAACCCACGACGGCAAGCCTTTTCCAACAACTCCATGCCTCTTCGATCTTGCCGCGCAGACACAGCTTGTGCCCTAGCTCGACAGTGCTGCGCAGCGTCTTGGGGTTGTCGGGCCCCAGCGTCAGCGCTTTAGTCTGCTGCGCGACCAGATCCCGCAGCACGTCCTCGGCATCCCGGTGCCGGCCCTGTTTGTCCAGCGCCGACGCTAGCTCGCTAACATAGCCCAGCACGCTGCGGCCCGCGTCCCTCTCGAGAACCTGCTGCATCATTGCAATCGCCTGCTGGCACAGCCTCTCTGCCGCCTTCGTGCTTGCCCTGCCGCGCCAGGATTGTCGTATAGTAGTCGGTCAGGCTGGTCGTCGTGTGGGGGTCCTCCGAGTCGCTGTCGCCGTCAGGGTCGCTTGTTTTCTTCTCGTGGTCCTGCATGGCGTTTTGGATGATCTCCTCGGCCTTCGTGTCTCTCCCGAGCTCGGCCAGCACCTTGGCCTGCATCCCCAACAGGTGAAGTGTCACGCTGTCCAGCTGCCCTAGGTCCTCCTTGGACAGCTTCACGACGCGCGAGATGTACTTTTCCGCCATATTGGGCTTCTTCAGCGCCAGCAGTATCTCAGTTCGCAGTGTGCCTAGTTGGAGCGTATCTCGGTGGCTGGCGCCGAGCTTCCGCTCCCTCACCTCGACCATCCTTTTACATACCGTCTCCGCCTCGGCGTAGTCCCCCCGAAGCCGCAGAAGCTAGATCAGCTCAACGCGGCTGGCCATGGTCGACTCCTCGGCCACGCCCAGCACATCTTCCCCGAGGTCGATGGCCCGGTACAGCACTTTTTGGCCGCTTGGCTACGGCCTTGCATATCCCAGAACTGGAGAAATGAAATTTAGCATCACACTCCCTTTTCCTCAGGACTGTTCAATGACTCACCTGTGCTACCCTGACAAAGCTCAATCCAGATCTTGACGCTGGCTTTGTCAGACACTTCATCGTCCGATCCGCTCAGATGCTGTAGGTGGAGACTGAGCTGTTCGCATTCGTCCCAATGGTCCGATGGTCGCTCGGGAAACTCGCACGCCATTGACCGCAGGAAGTGCTTCTTCCACCGTGCGCGGTGGCCCGTCTTCTCCAGCCAGAACTGCGTGCAGGTCTTGACCAACGGGTGTATCTGGAGCATCCCCAGCTGCTGTTCGCCGTACTCGACAAGGTAGTAACGAGTCAGCGTGTCAAGGTCCTTGGCAAACTTCTCCTCCGCCAAGGCTTGTTTGCCAGATGTTATCCGCATATTGTCTTGGATTTCACTTACCTCGTGGCCGCCTTTGAACCTGACCCTAGATCCGGTGGCCAGTCCAGCATTGTATTTTTGTCCTCGCCGTGCTTCCAAAAGTCGTCGATATAGTTCCGGACAGATTTGCGAGGCCACCGGAAATTTATGTAAGCCGCGGCCTGCAATATAGCCAGTGGCGTGCACTCCAGAAGGCGAGTCAACTCCCTGATCTCGTCCTCGGCCGGCACCTCAATTTCGTCTTTTAGTCTATAGAGCCTTGAAGAGGTGCACGGCCTCCTCCTCGCTCGTGCCCCGGACTCTGATTACATTCTTCTGACCACCAGTGAGCATTTGCGCGACTTTTTCGTTTGTCGACGTGACCAGAATGGAGCCATTGCTAGTGCTCGGCAGGAAGTCTGCAGGCATTGGATCGCCAGAAAAGAATACACTCTCGTCGTTGGCGTTGTCGAGAATTATCGTCCACCAGCCATTCTCCTCACGCCACAGCCCAGCCGTGAACCAAGCGAAGGGCGTCGCTGTCACTCATGGAGTCAGTCGTGCGCAACTTCGCTTGTCAGCTACGGCCCGGTAGGCGTTCTAGAGACTGCATCGTGTGGTTGGGTCAACCCAGAACACCCGCGACGTCTTCCTGGCTTCCTGGCTTCCTGGCTTCCTGGCTTCCTGGCTTCCTGGCTTCCTGGCTTCCTGGCTTCCTGGCTTCCTGGCTTCCTGGCTTCTTGGCTTCTTGGCTTCCTGTGCAATCTTGATCGCTAGCTGAGACTTGCCGATCCCACCGAGCCCGACAAGCGCAACCCGCCGTTGGCCTACCTCATACCTCTCCATGACGGGCTTAAGAATCTCCGGGCGGTTGATGAGATTCCCCTTCAAGGAAAAGGGTACCGGCCACGTCGCTGCAGATTCTTGGTCAACTTCGTCTTCTGGACCGCCTACGGCAGTTTCTGCTCCGGCAGAGATGGTTGCGATGACAGTTGTGGCTGACGAGCTCCCAGTGGGGACGTGGACCTCGGTAACCGCGGATATATGAACCCCTGCGCCTGCGGGCATCGAGGCCACTGAGGACTCGGTGGGTTTCGTGTTGGTCGCAAACGTTTCAGTTCCCAAGAGACTCGGGGTGATTCTGTCCGTCTTCTCGTATCGCTCCAGAATAGCCCTTGCTGTGGACGCTGGGGTGGCTGCTGCATACAGCTGCCACGTCTTGTTCTTGTGCGAGGCGGCGTAGTCGCAAGCTGCTTTGACAACGAAGCAGGGCAGCTCATCCCAGACGCTGGCAGCTCCATCTCGAATGCGATTATTTGCTGCTCCGCTGCAATTCGATCCCGGTCCGTCCTGGATTTCATGACCACGTCGCCTGAGGCAACCCGGCCAAAGTGTACTGATAGGTGGATGGAAGGGTTGAATTTGGTCTCAACCTCTGCGCTGCTTTGTTCTGCCTGCCGTTCCTTGAGGCGTGTACGTTCAAACCATACACTCCTCCTCGCAGCCGAGGTCCTCACAGGATAACTCGATGGCCAACTTGCAGACAGAATCGCCGTTTGCAGTCGTGTTCAGGCACTCGCATGTGGGAGCGCCCCTGTGCTTGTGGCGGCAGCTCGGTCGGTAAAGGTTGTCTTGCGTTGCCGCAGGGAGGGTATAGGTGCGGCTTGTGTCGCGACGATGGAGATCCTGCAACAGGGTTGCCGTTGTTTTCTTTATCGCGGCCCGTCCATATCCTGTGTCAAGAGTTTCGAGCATACCCAGAATATCGTTGTCCTTCATTGTGTCTTTGATGTGGAATCTATCGGGAGAGTACTGCCCGAAGTCGTATTGTACGACGGATGTGCTGACAATCACGCCGCCGAGTAGGACGTCGATGCCGCCAGCTCCCCCAGCTCCAGGGATGCTGGAGATAGCCACCGCAGACCTACGACCAGACGATTTAGCCAGATTCAGCTACCTTTCGTCGATACAGCTCGGTGGTGACGCGGGCTGCAGACACCTTGCCGAATTGCCCCGGAAGCAGGACAGGAACGATATTGTGATCGCCGATTCGGCCGTGCATGTAGGTATTGTCGTCCTCGTCCAGCCGGCCGAAGAGGTGTCCACTTTGGTCCCATATGCTCTCAGGGTTGAAGAGCAGAATGGCAGCCTCGTACTCGAGCTTCAGAGCACAGATAATGGCGACCTTGAAGTCCAGGCGCCCTGGGCGCTGGGAGCGTGCCGATTCCACTCTTAGGAGAGAACGGCTGATGTGGTGCTGATCAGGTAGGCGAGGAACACCTGCAGTGGGACAAGGCACGGCTGGTTGTAGATGTCCTGATACCTAACTCACAGATTCCTGACTCACAGATTGAATAACATCGGTCTCAAACCAAGCTCGCCGGAGAGAATAGCAATAGTGTGGGTGACTAAGACCTAAGGGGTTCTTTGGCTTGGGGACGGACGCTGAACCACGAATAGTATGGCGTTCGCTGATAGGATGAGTGAAAGGTTGAGAGTGGGTTGCGATCTCGAGAGTTCAAGCTTCTCGTCCGATAGCGTCCACGGGTACAGTACCATCTTAACGATCAGTGTCGACCGTCGAAATTAGGGAGAACTTGAAAAGCGGCAGGTGCGGTTGATTATCCGCTGTGGTCTCTGCTGTTCGTGGGCTGAGCCTGGATCGTCACGGTTCCGGCTGACTACCATCGTCCAACACGCTCAGCTGGATTGTTTCTTGCAGAAATCAGTTTCGCAGCGCCTGGGGTGTTCGCTTGATTCGATGGGTGTCTGTTGGGGCCAGAGCTAATTTAGTCATCCCCAGGCTAGGGTTAAACTCAGAGGTTGTTGGTCTTGGAGATAACGCAAGTTAACCATAACACGAACTTAGTTGCCAAGTAGCGACCGAGGAGCTGGACTTAGCAAGAACTGCAGCGTAATCCCTGGCGCTCAGGACTTGTCTAGTATCATTACATAATTAAATGATAAAAGGAAAACAAACTTGACCTCGTTCCATGAGTCAATTGAAGTCGTGTATATTTACCCCTATGCCAACCGAACGACTTGTTGTCGTTGCCACCTGTAAGCATTAGATCGACATATCCCCCGTCCATCTCATCTCATCACATCCAGTCCGTCCAGAACTACCATCCATCCCAGCCAAACCATCGCCCGTATACACATCCCGTTCCATCCACTCCCAGGAAGATTATTTACTATCAAGATGCCATGATCGTATTCCAAAAACCTCGTGAAAGGTATATATTAGAGGACGTAGATGTGAAACATGGGAGACCCTCGTGGGACCATATACTGTTAAATTCGTGCTCCGGGCGCAATGTCAAAAAGAAAAGTCGCAAAACGGCAGGCGTCCTTTCATCCCAAGCCCATCCAGCGATGCCTAGGAAACTGTCCTCAAAACCGAGCCTCTGATTACGTCAGCTCGGCCCGGTGCTCGTTGGTTCCGACGGCATGCTGTACAGACAGCTCGTTCATGACGACGGGCGCGGCGTAGCCCTGTGGGGGAGGGTACCCCTGCTGTTGAGGAAAAGGCGCGGGCGGGTACGACAGATGTTGGGAGCCAGGGCTGGTGCTGGACGGCGGAGGCACGGCCGTTGTGGTAGTCGACGGTGTCGCCGTGTTTGCGTAGCCGGCGCCGTATACGCCGGCCGGGTTGTTGTATTCGGGCTGCTGTTGTAGATTAGGGTCGTAGGGTTTGAAGTATTGCTCGCCGGTGCCCTGGCCGTACGGCTGCTGGTTGGGGTTCGCGGCCGGCGCAAAAGGCGGCTGGCCCGGGCCGCCATACGCTGCTCCCTGCGCCATGGGCGGCGCCACAACCAAGTTGTTGTTGTTCCTGGCCCGGCGGTTGCGGAGCACAAAGAAGAACACCAGGAAGATGGCCAGCCCTATGACTGCGACTCCACCAACAACCCCGCCGACGATAGCGCCAATGGGGGTAGAGCTGCCCCCGTCACCGCTGCCCCCACTATTTCCACCATTCCCACTGCCGCTTGTTGTTACAGGCGACGTCGACGTGGAGCTGGATGTCGTCAAAGAGCTTGAGGAGGTCGAGGTAGACGAGGACGAGGACGAGGACGAGGACGAAGCAGAGTGGGTCACCAGAAAGTCTGGCGGTGTCTTCAGCAGGGTGGTGAGTCCGCCGTCCGTATTGCACTCGAAGAGGGAGGAGACTCTGTAGGGGGAGGCGGCTGCCGAATACAGGAGAGTGGCACATGACGGCAAGCTTTGGGGACTAGCAGGGCATGTGTCAGTCAGTCATGATTGGGCCGCATATTGCTCTTTGGGGGGGGCATACCAGCAGAGAGTCCTCGGTCCCAGGCCAGTGCCGCAGGCTCCCTGCAACGAGGCCGAGAAGTCCAGACAGGCCGACAGCATGCTGGACTTGCAGACCGAATAGGCGCCAGTGCAGCAGTCAATGTTACCGGCGCCATCGTCGGTGCAGTATGCCCCAAGCTTGACACACGTCACAGCCGCAGCTGAGACTCGAGGTCAGTCCGGCCCGTCAGTCAATTCGAACGGGCTTGCAGCATCTTGAGGGGCCGGTGCTTACACGAATAGCCGGCGAGGAAGCCGCATGTGTCGGAGCCGATTGAGAAGGTGTCGCGCTTCAGTAAGTCCATAGCGCCGTAGTTGTGCTGCGATGGCGGCGCATCCGTGGGCCTGGGGCTCCATCCGACCCGATTTGGGTGGTCGCGCTCGGGCAGGCCCGTCTGCTTTGCGGGGCTCCACGAACTGTCGCTACCACGCCGTTCCAGGGGTGCGAACGCGTTAGCGGGCGCGATGCCGGTGCACATCGCCAGAAGGGTAGCACCGACGAGGCGCGCGCAGTGTGTCCATGTCGGCGTCATGGCGGAAGCGAAGCCAGAGGTGCATCCAAACAGGCCCCGAAAGAGGATTGGGGATGGCGGAGAAACTTTGGCCTCTGCATTTCGAGCTAAAGGAGGAAAGCCTGAGCTGAACTGGCTGTTATTTGTGGCTGCCGCAATGGATGCTCGATTGGACCATCCCTCCACCGACGGAAGGCGCGAGGGGCAGGGGTCAGGCTGAACCCTGGACAACCATTGGCCGATGCGACTGTACATGTACAGCACTGTGAAGCTGAAGACGGGTTGGGTTGGTTGAGGCCCCGGCCCCGCAGCCCCACATGCTCTGCCGGCCAGCCGGCGGGTTGCGTATGTATGTATGTACATACGTAAGCATTTCGGCCTTGCGCGGCGGTCCCGGAAACCGGGCCGGTTAATTTTTGCCGAACTGCTGAAGGCGGCGGCAGGCACTTCAAGTTGTCCGCCGTTTGTCCACCAAAATTCAGTACCCCATTAAGCCAAGGCGGAACGGCCTCACCTATTCTTCTTTCGGTCCCTCTCTTTCATTTGTCTAGCTTAGTCGATTTCGACCCGATCCTCTCGCGTACTGGAACCTGTGGTACGATCGAATAGGTTCACAATAACTGAAGAAATGCCTAGGTACCACCTAGCACACGACGGGACTCTCGCTTGGTCGCGCTCCTCTCTCTTCGCCTAGCCCCCTCTCTTCGCCTAGCTCCCTTCCGCCAGTCCGAGCACCCAATACTCAACAGTAAACCGCGCAAAACACGCCACACCCAACGCACCACACACAAGTCCCGGCACCCAGCACTTGTCTCATTGCCGCCTACTACTCCACATTCTCGTCCCCCTAGGAATTCATGGAGAGGATGCAGCAGTGCTGCATCTATACCTGCCCATGACTAGGTCAAGAGACCCGTCTTAGGACTATATCCAGCGGTACAAACCTTCAATATGGCCTGGTTCCTATTTCCTGATATGACCAGGTAGGTATGATCCAATAAGGCAGTTTATGACATGGCAGATTAATTACTAAGCGACCTTTGGGATGGAAACGACTTCTATCTTGCAGTTATGTTTGGACTAGTCGGACTGATGCAACCAGACTTTGATGTTGACATCAGGTAACAATTTAACCCTGTCATTACCAATTCGACATCACTGGTCGAGGGTTTGTTTCCTTTGGTTTGACAAGTTCTGTGGTCAGCAGGTCGGGTTGGCCTTGCCACATCTTTCTGCTAAATCTCCAACATCAATCACACTGAGGGCGCCCCATCTGCACAATGATGGGCGGCCAGCCAATGCCACACTTTTGGTTGTGCCCCAGCAATTATCACCACCCCGAAAGCCCAACACTCAGTCTTCCATTAATGTTTGTCCTTCTCCAAAATGAGTCTCGCCAATGCCATCTTCATTCCGCGCAAACAGGCTGCCCTCGACAGATAACCTAGCGGAATGAATCCCCAGCCTACATTCACCACCGAGCCCCGCCCCGGATTTACTGGAAGGCCCTACCTGCCTGCGTTTAGGTTGACTGGCTAGCTTCAGTTGTCTGCAGTTCATTCGTTTCGTCTTTCTTCGCTGCAATCATATGCCCTCGCCGTCCTTTTCTTCGCGCGGCTTTTGATGCCAGCCTTCCCTTCTTCCCATATCCAGATTGCGTGGGTGCGAGATGAGGTCGAGTGCAGGACCGAGTGGTCGCAATGAAAAGAACATTCGCTGCAGAGAAAAGTGGAGGAATGTGTACAAGAGTTACCTTTTTAACAGCATATCTATGTTGTTATATACCCAAGTCCAGGTGAGGAGTCACCGACGCCCTCGCCCTGTCTCAAAACGCACCATCGAGGTCGGGAGCAATACGGACATTTCCCGTCATCTCGGCCTGCCCTGGAGGCTGGGGGTTCAATGTCCTCCACCTTTCCGAGGACCGTAATTCTGCTTGGCCGACCTTTCAAGTGGGGGGGAAGGCGTTCATCTTCAGAGTCCCCTCGGGTTTTCCGCTCGCAAGAGTCGCGTCAAATCATTGGCAGAATCATTTGAAGGTTTGATTTTATTCAATTGTGTCGGGACGCGTTTCGTCGCGCTGCGATGCGGCGCTTGGGCCGAAGGTGATACTTTAATTTGGCTCTCGGCCCTGTCGGAGGCCCGGGTCTGACGGAGACCGGCCCGGCGTGGGCTCCATAACGGCCGAGCTGGGTCCCCCACGCGCCCCCTGCTTCCCACTTGTTCCCGGCGAGTTAATCGGCGCTCGTGATGGGCTCGGCTGGGGACAACAACAAAAAGTCAAGAGGAGAGACTTGGTGCACTGGACCAATTGATGTCAAGCCAGGCTACTTCTGAGTACTTGAGGATTGCTGAACATTGACGTACGCAACTCGCGATTGCAATGAGCAATTGCACTTGACCGAGCGGCTTGGCACCGCGTCAGTCTCATGCCGTGGCCGGCCGGCCGGCCGGGTTGGTCGCGCTTGGTCCCAAAACACCTCAAGATACGCAAAGAAGATGCATTCGACGCTCGACCCTGACCCACAGAGCCCGCCTGGCCCAGCCTCGCACCTCGTAAATAGCTATATTGGTTACACACCGCTCCACACCATTCTTTACGCTCTTAGCTTTTGCTATTTTTCTCTCTGGTCCCAAGCCTTGAATCGTCTTATTCGACAGGGTACCTGGTTATAGTCAGGCCCCATTTCATATTCCCCCCCCCCCCCCCGGTCTCGGAAATGTACGGGGTGCTGTTCCCCCCGCTGGCCCCGGTCGTTCCGGACGAGAAGAGCGACGGCGCCGAGGACGGAATCCACGCGAAACTCTTCGCGTCGCAGAGAATGAGCATGCTGCCGACTCTCAAGCGCCCGCACGGGCCTCTGCTGATCAAGACAGTCGCGATCCCGTTTACGCTGGTCGAATCGCTGACGACGGCGCCGCTGTACTACAACTGGCGCAGATACCGCTGGGCGCTGGTCGTGTGCCGCGCATCCAGCCCCGAGTGCGACTTTTACGAGGCCACGCGGTGCCGGGACGGGCCGACGGAAGAAGCCAACCCGTTCGGCCGGGACGCCAGGACCCCGACGCGCCGGAGGCTGGCCGACATCCCGCACGATGCGGAGTGGGCTGACCTCGCCGCCGTGGAAGCGACACGGGAAAACAAGGACGTCATCACCGGCATCGTCGAGCAGTCGGAGCTGTTTGGCTTCTCGAGCGACCTCGCCTACGTCTGGTCGCTTGCGATCCATCTCGTCGGCCGCGGCGTGGTCACGTCCGAGAACGAATACTGGAGGTGGGCGGCCGACGTGAGGACCCTCGGCATGGAGATATCGCTGGATTATAGCCCGTTTGGCAAGACACGGACGCCCAAGGTTGAAGCAAGCCTGAGAGCGGAGAAGGTTACGGTACCCAAGCTGCGTTCGGCTATGAGGAGCAGGAAATAAAGAAGCAGTTAGACTTCAACTCTGCAGCCTGCCCAAGCCTTTCTTTACCTTTTACTCTCGAACTCTCGCACTCTCGTCCTCTTGCAGTGCAAACTCAAATTGTCTTCAGTCTTCAGACAAATGTGTCCCGCAACACGAACGATGTGTCCTTTAACCGAGTGTTCCTTTCCGTTGTTCCTTTCCGTGTCTTCATGCGTGCCTGGAGTGTGTTCTGCCAACTCCCTTCACTCCAGCAGACCCAGCGCCTCCCGCCGAGACTTGGAGTTGGGATCAAAGTAGGGCTTCTCGCCAAGTGAGACGACACGGTTGCCCTGGCGCTTTCCGGCGTAGTCACTGTCATTGAACTGTTCTTAGTGGCCGGTCACGATCATCACGGTGGCTCGGGTCCCGAGAGCTAAGACTCTGCTGCACTTACTATGTGGCAGTGTGAAAGACGGAGCGGCTGTGTAAAGCGACTACAGTGTTAGCGGACTAATTACTTGTACGTGCTGCCAGTGTGTATTCAACTTCGGCTCGCGGTTGGGGCGGTTGAAGGGGACGGGTTTAAGGACACGGCGTACTTGTCCCAGATGGCCAAATCATTCTTGTTCCACCGAAAGCGCACCTGCAGGTCGTGGTTCTCGGTAATCAGCTGCTTGACTGCGCATCGAGTTAGTAATTATTAGGCAGGTCACAATACGCAGCATTAGGTAGTTTGCTTGAGGGGGCACAATACGCAGCATTAGGTAGTTTGCTTGAGGGGTGGCTAACAGTAGTCCTTGATGATTTCGCTCTCGCGGCGGGTGACGTCGTTGATCCAGCCAGCCTCGACCTGGTGCCCAGCCCCAAAGACGCTCTTCCAGCCCGTGACGGGGTTGGTGCGGATGACGGGACTATGTTTTGGGTGTCAGTGAATAATTGGAGACTGATTTAGAACAGGGTAAAACAGTGCAGAAGAGGACTCAGTCAAGACGTGACTCACTGCACGGCCTTGAAGTCGAGGCCCTTGTTCTCGGGCGCGCCGCGGTAGTCGTCGATGAGCTCGGCGCCAAAAGCATCCTTGACCTGGACGAATCTCGGCTGGTAGTGGGTTGCCGTGAGACCCTCGGCCAGCTTCTGAAATGCCGGGCTCAAGCGGTCGTATACCTCGTAACCCGAGGCCCACAGAGTGTCGCCACCCACGTCCGAGGGCGGCTGCACAATCTTGAGAATGGCATAATCCGAAGGGATATTCTCGAATGTGATGCTTTGAGTCATTTTGTCAGATTTCATCCACGTCTTTCTCCCCATGTGCAAGAGCAATGAAGGAATGGTCGACGTACTCGGCGTGCCAGCCCTCGCTGGCAATCTTCTTGGAATTTTGGGCCGCCCGGTCCGCATAGAACTTGCGATTCTGCTCGGACGAGATGATGGAGACCTCGTCATCGAGCCTGCCGTTCTCATCGACGGCGATGCCGCGCTTGCTGTTGGACAGCGCGTGGCGGTGCAGCTTGGACGTCTCGGGTTTGCCCGTCAACTCGCCCAACCGCTGGCCTAATAGCTTCTGGTCATCGATGTTGAGGTCCTGGTTGCGGAAGAACAACACACCGCGCTGGGAAACTAGAACAGCAGTTGGGTCAGCAGTCTTGGTATGTGTGACAGTGTGGGTTACTCCCGAGCAACCGGACAGGAAAGACATACCGAGAATGGCCAAATCTCGAATCTTGGAATCGTCGTGAAGAATCTCGCTAATTTGAAGCTTGGGAAATTCGCGGCCAATGACGGCCGTAACGTCAAACTGATCAAAGGAATCAAGACTTCCAGAGTATTCCAGAGGTCCTGCCAGGCGGGAGTCGCTAGAGTGCCCGGGGACGGTCTTGGCCTTGATAGGAAGGTCCAAGACGGCAGGGCTGGGCTGAATGTCGACGTCTGCTGCAGGAGGAGCCATGATGAATAGGTTTGAGCGTGTTGGCTTATTTTGGTGTCTCTTGAAGGGAGCCGCTATTATTTGTTGTCAGAAACCAGTCCTATCTTGGCTCGGCCTCGGAAAGCAAAAGAGGGAGACTTCTACTCTTTTTATGCCAGAGTGTTGTCTCACTGGAGAGAGCTCATGGATGGCCGAGACGTCTCTAATCTGGTGCATTCGTTTCTCTTTGGTTGCGCAACCGGGCTTCAAGGTCTCGCCACTTGGGCATGAGGTGCAATACCCCGCGGGTTGCGCCACGCAGCAACGAATCCATTCGGCGTTATCAGTATCGCACCCTGCTGCCTACGAATTCATAATTATCATTATGCCAGTCGTTGACGACCGTGTCCTTAGTGGTGCATTCACGGCATCACCCGACGACCATGCGTCTGAGTTGAGGTTCACGAGTGTGGTCATCCAACCCCCTAATGCAGCACATACAGTGAGAACCTACCATACATCCTTCTCAAAGTAAAGGAAATGCATCACCGAACGGTTTCCAGTTGTGGGTTTCAGGATGCGCTGTCTCGCCAAAACGCAACTTGCCATTCTCGCGTGATATCGCACCATCCGACATCCAATGCCGACAGCCAAACAATCTGAACGTTACGCCATACTTGGCGTAGGCCACATATGTAGGTACAAATTAAATATGCGATATTCGGCACCGTTGAGCCGATCCTTGCCAGTGTGTCATTCTCTTGTGTCGGCGTCGCCTCCCACTGTCTCTTTTTATGTTGCGAATTGAGATTCACCAAGTGGCCAACTTGACCGACCTCCGCGAATTGGCTGTTCAAATGTCATGTAGAAGTAACAGCTGAATTGTGTCTTTGAGAGACGATCAATGCAGACAAAAAAGGACACGATGAATATGGGGGTGTTTCGAAACTGATAAACGGTCAAATATTGATAAGACAATCATGGACCCGCCGGCATTTGAGCTAGAATAGTCCCTTTGGTTACACCCTGACAAGGATTATGTAGCTAAAGATGTTTACTGTAAGGACTCAAGACGTTGTAATTAACCGTCTTTCGCAACTCTTAGATACTGTCAGTGACGCTCAATTCTTAGTAATTACCAATGATAATACGGTCTCTACGAAACATGGGGCAAATAGAGCAAAAAGAATACGGCAAAGTAGTACCAATCATTTGCGTTTGTGCATAACTTGGGTATGAATCATGAGCCGGATAGAAACATGACTTTGGTTTGAACCATGGGTCAATTAGGTCCGGCTTCGACGATGCAGTGCCTGAGCCTGACATGACTGGACTCTCGATGGCTTGCCAAATAGAATTAAGAAGAGAGGCAGGAATGTACCAAAGTATCTTTTTTTTCTTTGCGAGCCAAAGGAAAGGCAAGAGTGTCGGATACCTGCGGATAAAAATTGTGGTTGGTGGCCTGCCTCAGGGGTCCCTGGGGACTTTGGGGCTGACCATTGCCGCTGCCGACGGGTGGGAGCCGCCGTGCTACCCCTCAGTGGTGACCTGTCACGTGCAGGCAAGATTTATCCCCTTTAAGGGATTCGCGTCAACCGCGTCGGGCCTGCCCTGCCAGCAACCCGCACCGCGTCTTTTTCGTGCCGCGTCCTCATTTCCGCAACCGCCTTGTCAGATCATGCCCCATTGAAGCTCGTCGCCGAACCCAGACGTCGTCAGCCTCGCGCGTGTTAGGCCTCTTTGGCAGCGCATCATTTGTGTACGGAATACGCTGTTTGGATTACGGATTCCATCAACCTAGCCATTCTGCATCCTGGCCGCTGGCGTCTGCGGCAAACAGGGGAGAAAAAATTAGGTGGCCTGTCGATGAATCATTTCTGCCAACCTCCCCACCCCCCCCCCGGACGCTTGACCTAGGCTTACTTCCAGCCTCTGACCATCGCGCGGGCTCGGCAACATGGCGAAGGGAACTACAGAGGCCGGCATCTACAGTGCCACATATAGTGGTGTAAGTCAATCGAACCCTCGCGCTCTGAGTAGTCCCCGCCGCCCTGCCAAAACTGCCTCCGACCGCTAACCGTACGTATCATTGGCAGATCCCTGTGTGGGAGTTCCAGTTCGGGCCCGACTTGAAAGAACATGTTATGCGCCGTCGCCAGGACGACTGGATCAATGCGACACATATTTTGAAGGCCGCCGGCTTCGACAAGCCCGCCCGTACTCGCATCCTTGAGCGGGAGGTTCAGAAGGAGGTACACGAGAAAATACAGGGCGGATATGGAAAGTATCAAGGTGCGCATGCCAAAGACTCAACTTGCACCATCTCCATGTATAGTGCCAGTTGAGTACGGTAGCTAACCTTTTCCGTTCTTCTGTCTAGGCACGTGGATTCCTCTTGAACAGGGCGAGTCCCTTGCTCTCCGAAATAACATCTACGACCGGCTACGGCCCATCTTCGAGTTCCAGCCAGGCACCGAAACCCCCCCGCCTGCGCCGAGACATACCAGCAAGCCCAAGGCCCCAAAGGCCAGGCCTGCTGTTCCTAAATGGGGCAGTAAGTCGCACAAGAAAACCCCATCGCAAGCCAGCAACGTCTCACATGGTCCCAAAGGTGCCCCTGTACAAGAGGAGTTCGAGCAGGCAGATTCCCAGCTGCCGGAAGATGACACCCCGGACAACTTGACAGTAGCCTCGGCCTCGTACATGGGAGAAGACGACCGCTACGACACGGCACAATTCTCAACAGGCCACAGGAAACGAAAGCGCGAGGAGATGATACAAGACCTCACACAGCAGCAGCACGCCATGTATGGGGACGAGCTGCTCGACTACTTCTTACTCTCTAGGAACAAACAACCCACCATCCGCCCAGACCCCCCAACCAACTTCCAGCCCGACTTCGAAATCGACACAGAGCGTCATACCGCTCTACACTGGGCATCCGCCATGGGCGACGTCGATGTCATCAAGCAACTGAAGCGCTTTGGTGCAAATTTAAGAGCGCAGAACGTGCGCGGCGAGACGCCCCTCATGCGAGCCGTCAACTTCACCAATTGCTACGAGAAACAGACATTCCCACTTATCATGAAGGAGCTATTTGGTACCGTCGAAGCCCGGGATGCATCGGGCTGCACCGTCATACACCACGCGGCAGTTATGAAGAGTGGGCTCGTCACAAGTCACTCGTGCTCGCGGTACTATCTAGACAACATTCTGAACAAGCTGCAGGAAACACACCATCCCGACTTTGTGCAGCAGCTACTTGACGCCCAGGACCAAGAAGGCAATACTGCGGTGCATCTTGCTGCGCAAAGAGACGCCCGTAAATGCATACGCGCGCTTCTTGGCCGCGGCGCATCCACCGATATCCCAAACAGCGAAGGCATTAGGGCTGAGGATTTGATCAAGGAGCTCAACGCCTCAAAGTCCAAGACCATCCGCTCAGGCCCGCAACGCTCGTCCAGTCCATTCGCGCCAGAATCGCAACAGCACAATGCGTTTCGCGACGCGGTCGCCGACTCAGCCAAGCTAGCTGCCAGCTACCAAAGCGATGCAGCCAACACGGTACAGTCGCGCATCACGCCTCTGGTGCTCCAGAAGTTCCAGGACCTGGCACGGAGCTTTGACGACGAGTTTAAGGAGAACGACGACGCGGAAAGAGAGGCGCGGCGTATTCTTCTCAATACTCAGGCCGAACTAAACAACCTGCGAGCGTCCGTCGCCGATCTCGAATCACGCGTCGAGGCTGACGAGGCCGCCGCCAAGACCAATGAAGACTCCACCAATGCGCGAAATAAGGTACTCGCCTTCGTGACCCACCAGAACCGTATCGCCGTGCAGGAAGCGGTCGAGCATGAGTTGGGTATGGTGGTGAACGGGGACGGCGGCGGCGCCAATGGGCAGGACGTCGACACTTACGAGAACCGTCTCCGCCTGGCCGCGGAGCTGCAGAGGATCCTCCAGGAGCAGCGCGCCATCGAGACCGAGTACGTCGAGGCCCGTGGCATGCTGGGCACGGGCGAGAAAATCGACAAGTACCGCCATCTTCTCGAGAGCTGTCTTCCGCCCGAGGACCAGGAGATGTTGGACGAGAACCTCGATGGCATGATCCGCATGATGGAAGACGAATCCGAGGTCATGGGAGGCGGCGGTGGCGAGCCAATGGAGATATCCGCGCTGTAAGAGGATGAAGGGGCTTGCGTTTTTACGTATTCTCTTTGGATCCAGGGCCTTTCTTCCAATTACTGTGTGCACACGCCCTCCTAGAAGATGTCTTGTCTTCTTGGCACGTGGGTCCTTCTCCATGCGTATTCCGTGTTCTTGACGACTGTAATTGACTTGGAAATATTGTCGACGTCTTTTTTTTAATAGTGGCAATACTACATGGTAGGGGGGTTGGTCACCGGGCTGCCCCTTCTCCCTCTTCCTCGCGCACACCCCCTTTTCTCTTATCGGTCGGACAGAGCTTGTGTTGGTATCCGGCGTTCAGTGGTTATCGATCTTCTCATCACTTACCAATCCTAGGTTGTGGAGTTTGGGCTACCTTGTATTGCTATCTAGGTACTCTTGTTTTTCTCTTTTCGGATTGCTTGCTCTCGTTTCTTCGTCCTTAGTCTCCATGTATGTATGATCTCCCACCACACACACACAAACCCACCACATATATCCATGTAACAGCTCCTGTCAATTGAGGCGAAAATGTCACGAATTATTTTCTTCTTTTCTATTTTCTTTTTTTGCTCTCCCTTGCTTCGTATTACTTAGACTGGGCATCTAGGTTGGTATCTGGTATGTCTTAGCCGCGCGCGAGGCGTCTCTTTGGCCTAGGATCTGCAAGTCATCGCAAAAAGCGATTTTCTGCCCAGCCGCGCTAATGCATCATCTCGCTACTTGGTCTCTACTTCGTCTTGTATCGCCCTCTCATGCCATCCAACGGCCCAGTAACGAGGTAAATGCAAACCTTTAATATCCCTTCTTGGTACCTCGTATCTTTTCGACCGCTTCCTTCTGTAGGTATCTCAGACAGCGGTGAGGAAGAGTGAGGAATTTTTTGGGGAGGGGTGACAGAAAGAGGCGGGCTCCTGCCGACGGGATCTTGGCTGACCGCTTGCCTCCCTTTTGCCTAGGCTCTCGGCAACGCAACTGTGACGACTCCCGTCAGGATGATACTTTTGCGATCCCATTCTTCCCCGCCCATGCCTTCCACCCGCCGCTGCCATAATTTACGATGCTCATGTCAGCGTGGTGCGGCTTTGAGGCGCCGGCGGCGTCGATGGTCGTGCTAGGAACGATGGGATGGGGACGAGGATGACAAATAGCGGCAGATGGGATGGTGGCTTTTCCCCCCATTCGGTCTCATCAATAGCCCCCCCTCCCCGTTGAGCATCTTGCTTCTTGTTTTGGTGGGGACATGGTAGGAGAGGATGGAAGGGATTGGCAATGGTATGTCCACGGGTAAGACCCGTCGCCTGTCATGTGGAAGGTGAGTTATTGCCTGCGAGGACACAAGGAGAAACCGAAGCGAGCGTGTAGACCCTCTCGATGACGAGGAGCATCACCACAGGGCCGAAGGCAAGCTGGAGCGAGGCCCCGCTGATTTACGTCTCACCTTGTCCGCAGCCGCGATGGAAGCTCTACGAATCACCGTCCGTGAGGCTCTCGAGGAAGTCAGCAAGATCCCCTTACGCCATACTGAGAGGTTGCCCGGAGCTCCCCTCTCCGTGCTCCCTAGATCGAAGACTGACCAACCCTGCCGCCAGGATCTGGCGCAGAGACAATAACCACCGCAAAAGACAGCAGCACCCGCGTCCGCAACGACTCTTGACGCAGTGAGGGTGGAGGCGAGGTCACCGCCCTTTCAAGACGGGCCGGCCTATCCAGTCGCGCAGCTGGCCCAATATCCCGGGACACGCGAAACCGGACTGGCGCTTGACAAGCCGGCACGAGGCTGGCTGACAAGCACCGCACTGGTGTCCTATGGGGGCTGAGGTGTGACTTGACTTGATATTGCCAGTCAGATGATGGATGTTGAGCCCAGGACATGACCCGAGCGAAACCAAGCTAGGACAAGACGCCAACGGCGAAAGTGCGCCTTCCTTGCGTTGAGCCAAGAAGCGCATGGCTAGGCCCTCGTGTAAGGCGCCGGCATGACGACGGGTCTCTGGAGCCTTCTTTGTTTGGTAGTCACAAAACCCGAGTCGAGACTGGCGCGCGGCTCAAGTGGGCAAAGACAGGGCGCGAAGGAGGGACGCAGCTCCTTGGGGCTCTCTCCCGCCGGCGAATGGTAGAGAATGCGACGTGGAATCGGCTGTGCCGCCTCCACCCAGAAGCATCCCGACGAGATCGGATTGTCCAATGCAGGCCTTTGTGTGTCACATGAGAACTCGAGACGCACTTGTTAGGCCGTGAGGGGAGTTGTTGCACGGCGTGCCGTCATGCCATGTCATATCTCAACACGTCCGTCCTCTGCTCAGATGAGGGCCCGCAAAATCCTACGAGAAGAGAAACTGGAGATAATAGGACGAGAGAAAACGGTTTACGCGAGCCATTGGGCTGCCCAGCCTCGCGAGTCCAGAGTCGGAGTCGAGCCTTGCTGTCTCGTCTCCAGAACTCAGCTGGGGCAGGATCTCGTTGCATTGCTCCATCTGGCGAAGACGCGGCGTCACATGGCCTAGCCTCTGCGTCCTAAGCGGCGGTTTGGCCCAGTGAAGAATCGCGACGGATGTCATGATGAGATCGAGGCGCTCCGTATCCTGTCCAGTCAATGGCTCATCAAGGGCGGCCGACCCAGAGCAGAAGAGACTGGGTGAGGGGCGGTGCCGTCGCTTGACAAAGACGACGATGTGACGCCAGAACCCACCCGGCTCCTGGTTGGATACCGCCAGATTGGATGCGGCAAACCCCATAACGAGTCACGGCGAACGAACAGAAAACCGGAAAAAAAATTAAAAAAAATAAATAAATAAGAAAGAGTGCCATCTCTCTTGGGATTTCTTTCTAGCAGAGTAACCGTTTGTCCTTCCTTCGTATTGTATTGCGGGGCGACATGGTCCAGCAAAGCAAAACGGCAAACCTACCCAGTGAATGCGAGCACTAGTATCCGTATGCATGTATGTACAGTGCACACTAGCGGATGGAGTGCCGGAGTGCCTTTGGAAATAAAAAGTGAAGATTGCAAAAGCGGCATGGCACAAGAAGGAGAAGGAAAAGGAGCTGACGACTTCAGGTTAAGCCCTTTGCCACACTCAATCCCAGCCGTGGCACGAGGGAGCTGATTGATTGAGCCCGTGAGCCAATCAATACGTCGAGACTCCAAGTCGCCTCAATGGCGGTCTCGTCTTGATGGGCAGACTGCGCATATTGGAGAATTATAATTCATCAAAAAGTAGCGGTCAGAGCCTTTGAGAGTCGCCGAAAAAAAGTCGTGATCGCATTCGCAGGGCTTTTGTGGCACGCCATCTGGGTACACCCGTTTTTTTTTTCCAAGTTCGGGGCCATGGTCTGCAGACGGAAGTTGCGCCCGTCGGTGGAGCGAGTCATGGTGCAAAGCTTCCATGTGATGGTTCAGACTGGTGCCTTCCAGGTTGCACTTTCTTCATATTGGTTACTGGAGCATCCATCAGAAGAGCGGGAGCCACGGCACGCGATCGCAGACTCTAGGCTCGGGCCACGAGTTCTTGGGGTTCTTTTTTGTTTTTGTTCTCTACATCGTGGCGCCTCCCGAACCGATCCATCGACCTTTTCGTTTTGTAACCTGGGAGGAAAGGATTTCGACGCGAGCCCGGAACCAACGGCAGGAAACAGTAATGCTGCCCTGTAGGATTGTGCATCCGCACGGGGAACCAACAAGGGCCGGGATGATTTGCCTGCAGGGGTTGTCTCGTAGGGCTGAGGTGATGGCACAGGCAGAGGGAGGGGTGCGTCGGATTGTCGGGAGAAGGGCCAGCCTGACCGCGATTAAAATTTGTGACAGCTGTGCACTGTGCAGGAATGGTCCGTCTCCGTCAACTGTGACATGACCAAACCGATAACAATCGCTAACAGTAAGCCTCTACACTAGTCGCAACAATTTTGTTCATTGCATCGGCGCTATGAGTAAGCATTCGGGCCCGTATCGGCGACAATGCAGGTATGGACGGAACGGCATGGCATCGCATAGCATGCGCCGGCGGTTCATGCCTCTGCCACTCGCCGAGCCTGTCTACGGAGTTCTTATGGGCTAATTACCAGGTGGGTGTCCTTATGGCATAGTCCTGCATCATCCCAGGAGTACGGGTTAGCGGTCAAGTGTTTCCCGTCCGAACCACGAGGCCCTCCGTTTCTTATTTTGGCCAAGTTGGTACCTTACCTACCCTACTAGGTAAGGTAGGTACTTCGTACATACCTAGTACATACCAGGTATTTATGCCTTCGTCTGTACGTACCTGGATATATATATATATACGTAGTATAGCCATGCCGAGCGAATCGGGTGCGAAATTAATCTAGCCCGGCTGGAAAGGCTCAACATAATGCCATCCAGATGTCATTATTACTGGACTGCATCAGGAGGAGGGGCGGCGAGTGGAGAGAGGTGGACGCGGAATCTCATAATAGGTGATCTGTAAAATGGGTAGTATGTATGTGGGATGAATGGCAGGCAGGTCTGTCTAGTAGTAGTGGAATTTGTCGTCCGGTCCCAGCTACAAGCAGAATGGCATAGCCAAATACCTACCTATACGTACCCCCATAGGTAGGTTCCAGGTTTGGCAGGCAATCTTGGTTCTGAGAGGATTGCCGAAGCGTCACGGACTACAGGGATTGAGATTACTCCGCGGATGAGGAGGGGTACAAGGTCGCCGAATGCCACTTGCCTTTTCGGCCGCACATCCATTATCACGACATGCCCGTCAAGGCAAACGGGCTGGTCTTTTGGATGAGGAGTGGCGAACGCGCAGCCCTGCAACCTCGGGAATGGAGGCTCTTTTGTGGAGGGTTTCTTGGATTCAGCTACCGTGTCAGCTGGCAACTGTGGTGGGCTCCGCTCCGTACTCCGTTTTTCACTGCCCATTTTTCGCACGACGCTGTGGAGCTACGTAGGCAGACCAGGCTCGGAAATGGGGGCTAATTACCAGACCGATACATAGCAGCCGACTAGAAACTAAAAGCTGACTTATACAGAGGACGGAGTACTAGAGAATATACTATGTATGTACAGTACCTACCTGCCTTACCTACAGCTACGTACTACCTTATTCAGGTTGGTTATAAAAGTACCAGCGCTGATACATCACATGCAATCCATTAGCAATCTCGAGGCAATTCGTCGACAGAACTGTTAAAGCTCTGGGGTCTTGTGTACAGACTGCAGAGGTAAGGACCAGATACGTTTGCTAGATGCGGGTATGTAAAGTACTTCGTACAGTACTGTAGGTACTTCAAACGCATGTTGCTGCGGTGCCTGGTTGGTCTAAGGCCGTGGAGGTGATCGATCTGATTGTGGCTGCAGCTGTGGACCGTTGATAGTGCGGCACCCGCCGCCACTCCGCACGGGTTAATCTGTAGATACGAAGCACTTCGTGTCCAGGGATTCAGTTGACAAAAGCAGTAATAGAAAGATGGTTACTGAACCCTTGACTGCCTGTCTTGGCTGATTCCTCAACTTGAGTTATTGGTGGTCAAGGTACGAGCTGAGCTGCTCGAAGTGAAATCAGCACATACAAACAGTTCGTGCCAGACACTAGCCATTGCAGTGGTCATGGGAGATGCACAGGCGTCGGGCGTTGGCCTCTTTGTATTGGAAAGCACGGCTCCCAGGCTGGGGTTGCACGCTACCTCACGAGGCAGGAGGGACAGAGTCCCTGTGGCCTGTGGGTCGCCAATCACCTGGCAAAAAAAGGGCGCCGCCAAAACGAGCCACGAGCTGAACTTGCATTTCTCGTTTTTGAAAGCCACGAATTGCATCCCGCACCATCCCAGGTGATCGCGATCGTGCAGGGCATGCAATTCTGCAGCCCGCAGCGTTGGTAGCCGCCGCACCACCGACGGTGACGATCTGTCCCTCCATCCAGGTTCAACGACTGTCTCGGGCTAGCTGACGAGCCGGTCTGCGATGCTGTGATGCTGGGGGCCCTCGGTCGGCGAGGTTATTCCGCAGCCTGTTCCCCTGTCAAAATGCCAAGACGCAGTCGCGTCTATCACGTCGTCACGTCCGTCACGTCCATCACGTCCCCATCCAATGATGCGAGCTATCGCCAGAGGAAATGGGGAACGTGTAATAAGACGCTTTGGCACAGGGCTGGCTGACTATCCACCTAGGGCGGGCGACGAAGACAACGGTGACAAATTCGGCAGCCGCGTGCCTACCTGCCTCACCAAGCCGCGCTCATCCGCCAACCCACATCCCCCTCTCAGTTACGGATACGGAGTACGCCCCCGTACCAATTGATCCGTCCGACCGGTCAACTGTTTGTTGCCTCGAGAAACACCATTAGCTACTCCGTACCTGGCCCTCCTACACTGAAGGAGATCGCGCATTACGATTTGCCCGAACCGAGGAGTGCCCGCAATCCGGGAGGCAAGATTATAAGGGGTGGACGCGCGTGGTGTGGCTCCCCTGTAGGGCTCAACGCAGCTGAACAAGCCGCTAAGCCGAAAATAGACCTCGGCAAAGAAATCCCCCCGGGCCCTAGACCGAGACCAGCCATGCTGGCCGCCCGTCCAAGGTAGTGCAAGGCACGAGCACTCTGCCCTACGGATTTTATTACCTGCCAGCCATTCCACAACGCTCGTGCAGAGGGATGGACAGAGGAGTAACCTTGCGCGCAGAAGCTGCATCTTCAACCAGGCCGTCACCGACAATGCATTCCCCACAACCAGATACCCTTGAACCTGGAAACCAGGTCCGCAGACTTGGTTGTATGGATATCTAGTTCCTAGGTTGTTAATTCTGCCAATCATGCAGAGTATTACTCCTCCGATGATACACAGGGTTTCCGTCCGTAAACCGTCCCATCGTTGACGAAACCGTACCGCATCACTCAACTGCAGTGGGAGATCAGCCGGCAGACGCCGTTGTCGACAACCAGCCCTATGGACACTTTAGCCGTTTCCAGCGCCCTGGCCGAGGACACTTGCCACTGCACAGGGCTCAAACAACCTGGGAATGCAGCTTGTTTAAAATAAGCAGGGACGGGGATTGGCGGTTGGCTGAATGGCAGCAGGGGTCTGTCGGGTTAGACTTTCTCTGTGCAGGGCAGCCACCTTCGCGGTCGGTCGCGTCGCCCTGCCCCTCATGCTGCCCCTCAATGATCCATCCCAGCAGATCTCCAGGTCCGGTCTGCGACTCAAAACGGTACAAAAGGCGCCCAGGCCGTATCAGCGCTGGGCTGTCTCACATGTGGCCGCTGGAAGCATCGAACGCGCCCATCCCTCCGATGACGGTGTGCGGCTGTCTTCATACGGAATTGATTATGTTTTTCGGGGGCCAAGAGCACAAGAACGGCAGCTATTTGGCTCAATGGTCTCTCTGTGTGCTCTCTAACCTTCCGGCGGAGCCCAGCCCGCGGCTAGCCCAACGTCTTGCAGCACAATCCAGCAGCTTCAACTAGCTCCGGGTCCATCCACTGCGTGCAGTTGGCGATGGGGGATCTACCGTATGTATGTAGGTCAGGTATGTATGCTGTACAGCTATGTACATAATCAGTACATAAGGTACGGAGTGCATACACTATCCGCTCACTGGACATCCGCTGACAGTGGAGGTGGTATTTTCAGCGCAAAACGCCTTGTCAGCCTGTCCATCCCCCCACTGCCAATGACACTCGACGGCTTCCGCAACAAGGGAAGGTCGCCATTCCTCAGTCCCCATGTCCTGGAAAGCTGGCAAAAGCAAATGGGACCCCAGTCGAGCTTCGGTCCTGAGAAAATTACTGTTCTGTCGGCGCGCGCCAAACCCGGCCGCTAGGTCTACAGAGTAGGAGGCCTAATTCGTAGCCAAGGTAGCTCAAAGGGCTTCTTAGCTTGCCACAATTCAGCGATTGTACACCGCTGGGGGGGGGGCCTCCACAGAGCCAGGCTTCAGCTGGCAACGCCTCAGTTTGGGGCCAAATTATTGCTCTTGCGAGTTTAGCCCCGTTTTGACTGCTCGGGGCATTTCGCTAGGTCGATCAGATCGCTCCTCACGCGCACTGGTTTCGACCTCAGCTCGCCTGCGCGTCCCAAATGATCCGAAGTTACATGGCAGTCCATGTCGTACAAAGACGTGAGGTCTTGCACGTTGCCCATGATCGGTTTGCGACATATAAACTACCTTCACAACCTCCCGACTTCCCAAACACAAGAAAACCTGACCCCGAGGCCAGCGGGATTCATGCTGCCCCGTCCATTCCTTCCGCCATAAGCGCAGGCAAACAAATAGTCTAGCAGTCCAGCAGTCCAGCAGCCCAGCAGCCCAGTGGCACCGCCCAGCCCGGCAAAAATCGAGAAGCCGGCCAGAGGCACTGTCATCACCACTGTCCCGTCCTATCCTGCCCACCCTTGGAGAGGCCGACGGCGCAGAAGGTTATCCATCAGCTCGCTCGTGTCACGCTGGGCCGCGACCTTGATCTGCATTTCCTCAAGGCGTACAGGTCAATATCCTCGTACATAGCCACGCGCCGGCCCTTTCGCGTTGGACTTGGCCTGGTCCAGTGTAAGTGCGTCCTTCCTCTTCCAAGTAGCACGGCTCCTATTGGACAATGCGCCTGCCTCCCTTTCCATCCTCCGTCTCCCTTCCCTTCTTCTTCCCCTTCCTGCTCCCGCGGAATACGCTTCTTGTCGTCTGGGCCACACCCACGGACAGTCCGCCTCCCCCCCGCGGCCCTCGGCCCGCGGATTGAAACAAGTGCTGGCTCCTCGGTGCCAGTCTTGCTCCCATGCTCCTCGGTCCCCAAACCGGTCGTTTTGGGCCGCTGGCGGTCTCGCCGACAAGGTTTCGAAATTTCCCCCATGACAGCCACACCACAGCTGCCCCCTCGCCCCAAGTGGGACACTTTTAACGCAGTTCCCCCCCCCTTCCCACCCAGACATAACGGCAAATTTCCGTGCCACCACCACCCCCTTCACCTGCCCAGGTCCCCCTAGCTTATAGCGCCGGCCGCCCACCAAGACGGAGCTTACAGCGGACAGCACGCCCACAGACAGCATCGGTAATCTCCTGAACGCTCCTGCCGTTAGAGCGCCCTGCAGCAGGCATGCCAACCTTCAAGCTCCCGCCCGACAGCAACGTCACCCTGGAGCCGCCCGCCCCAAGCCGCTACTACCTCAAGGCTTCAAGCACGCATATATACCTTGCACTGGTGGCCATCGCAATCTTGGTCGCCGCTCGACTTGCCACGGCACGGCGAAGCCCGTCTCGCAAAGGCCATCCCAGTGTTCCAGTCAACAGCAGCAACAGCAACAGCAGCCACTCGCAAGAGCCCAAGCTAGGCCTGTCATTAGATTCGTGGAAGGATTCAGCAGCGTCCTGCGGCAAGCGAGGTTCAGCCGTTCGTCCCCCCCCGTGGGCGCGGCAGCAGCAGGGGGGTCACCTCAGCTCTGTGTGTGAGTCGCAACAGGCCGTTTGGGCGGCGGGGCTCGTGTCTCTGGGTGTTCCGTTTGGGCCTGCTGGGCAGCTGCCAGCGATGGACGGCAATGACGGCGATCGCGCGAAGGATCACTCAGGGTCAGCCTGGCCAACGTCACGTGGTGTCAGCACCAGCATCCCTGGCATCCCCAGCACCCACGATCAAACGCACCACCAACATGACCCCTCCCTAGCCAGTCCACACTCTCGCTCAACCGCAGAGATAAGGAGAAGTGGTTCTTCGCAGTACTCGCCCATCCAGGCCCTCCCTTCGAGACGTCAAAGCGGCAGCTCCGATGGGGCGAGTAGCCAGATCTCGAGCGGAAAGGGAAAGGGACTCATGGACGACCACGCCAGCTGGTCCGCCGCCGGCAGCTCTCGGGGTGTAATGCTCGACGACGACGTTATGATAATGCCATGGGGAGATGGCCCGAGTGTTGACGGGGCGACACAAGAGACGGGGTTCGCTGACGTAGATTATACGGCCTCCAGACACTTCTCGCGCCCCCCACCCCCGCCGCCCCTGACCCCTCCGACGCTGAGCAGCGCCGTGTTTCCGTTTGAGGACCGTCGTCACAGCTATGCCGTCTCAGTCCCGCCCGAGCTGCTAGACGATAGCTTTATTCACCGGCCCAACCCAGACTACATGGCAGGCTCCACATCCGCAGACATCGTCAGCTCAAGTCCAAAGAGCGAGACTTCGATGCCTCGCCGGAGGTCGTACACCAAAAGCGTCGCCATCGGCATCCCCATCCCAAACCTGGGCTCAGCTTCCTCGTCAGCAGAGACCATGACATCATCCAGGACATTCTCTCCCGCCAGCTACCCTCCCACCTCACCGTTACTTCCACCGCCTCCTCCAGGGCAAGACTTCCCGCCCGATTACGAGTTTGTGGGGGGACCTGGCGGTCACGGTATTGGGCCGGCGTCACAAGACGAAATTGATCTGCAAGGCGAAATCATTTCGGTCGTCGACGGCGCGGGCCACGGGTGGAAGCGCCACACACGTGTCTATGGCGGCGGCGTATGTCTGGCCTGCATCGCAGCTGGAGGCCAGGGAGGCTTCTACGGCGACAAGGTCCCGCTTGCAGACAGGCGATAGCCCTTACCCCCCTCCCGCCGGCGTCTTTGTCGCGGTCGTCCTCGGTTTCGCAAGCACCGCGAGCCGTGAGGTCGGGTTTGGGTTTGTGGTTGTGTTGTGCACCGTGCGCTAGAGTGGGACAGATCGGTTTGGGTTTGCTGCATCTCCCATAGGTCGGAGCTGTGGGGTTGGGTGCATCTACTGGCATGGGCATGCAAGCATTTCACGGAAAGCATTGCATTTGTGTTGTTCTGGGCGTCTACAGCATTGTGTCATTGGGAAGGGGCAGAGAGAGGCGCAGATTATCAACAACAGGATCTATGCACCCTATGGAGGGTGCTTGATTGGGGGGAGCGGGTGCCTTTGCGTGTGTCTTTTGTATTAATGGTGGCTGGCCGAGGAATGCGGTAACACTCGCGAGCCAAGGCGGGGAGAGGCTGGCTTTATGACTTCACGACAGTTTTCTCTTTTCCGTGACATAGTGTCATTTTTAATCCATACTCTGCCCCTATTGTCCGGGTCTGATTGCTTGAACCATGTTACATTAATGGTAGCAAGGCTCTCTTTTCATTATCAATTCTTGTGCGTCGTTCGGGTAACACGGTCACATACCTAACACTATGATTTCTATTACTGAAGGTCGCGTTGGTAAATATTGTTGAATTTACCCTGATCAATTCGAGCCGCATCTTGCGTTGGTCGGACACTCTCTGGTTCTGGGCATGGTTGATTTTTCCAAGCACTATTATTATTTGCCATTTCCGCTTCTTTTCGTGAATTAACTGAGTCGTCCTAGAAGTAGTGGGCATGGTATTGGCCACATGTCGGTATCCGAACATCGTCATTTAAGAACTCGACTTTGCGTTGTTGTCCACAGTATATCTAGACGCAGTGAAGGTGATTAGTTGGTTGCATTACTTAGGTACTGGTATTTGTTTCTTTGAAGAGGCCAATTGAACGAGCAGGAGCGGCGTGTGTTGACGACAAATAAAGTAGTTCAAATCGCTTCACCTTTAATTGCCATTTTATTGTTTACTCCGATTTGATTTTCTGGTTTAGTCTCACCCGCGCGTGTTGTAAATGGCGTTGCCGAAACTCACACTACCCATGCATCCACCGTAAGCGTGTGAAAGCCAAGTCTAGGGCCGAGTCAGGATTTGCGTCTGGAACTACCTAGGCTGGTGAGATGTTGAAAAAGTGAGATCGTGATGTGGGAATATCTCACGTCATCTGCTCGGCGGAGTGGGGGGAAGAGGAGGAGGGGCCCGCGCCCGAAAAGGGGGGGTTGGCAGTGGCTGCTTGAACCCGAACCTCTGCTAGTATTCAGAGGGGAAAAGAAACGGAGAGAAACGGTCATCTTTTAGCTCTTGATCCTCAATTCCTTCCGCAGGTTCCGTTTTTGCTTCCCCATGCCTTTCCCCGAAGAGGACTTCAGGCACTTATGCGCCATTTGGGCCGAAAAAAAAAGGGATGAACGGAATGAGGGCGCAAGTTGGGATTGGGCGGTATTCTGCTGTTTCTGCGTCGGGTGCGTGGTGTGCCTTCGTCTCCGTGCATGGACAACGACGTGTCGAACACGACATGTCGAACCACCGGTGCCGAGCCCGGCCGGTGTTGTTGTTGTTTGGGGTAAAATAAGCATGCGCCCATATTAATTATTGGATGGTTGACGGACCTGTTCAAGATCAGACCAACTACCTAATTAGCTCCGCCAGATGGAATCGAAATCCTGCTGGGGACCCCGCAAAAACAGGGCTGCGATTGTCAACTTGATCAAGCCAAGGTGGGATAGGGGCCCTGGAGACGCGGTGAGAACTAAGGAGGCTTTTTGCGGAATGCAGCCGGCCTCCATGTCTGTGTCTGACTACCGCCGACAAGGGGCACCAGCCAGCCAATAGAAACAGAGCCGGCAGCGGCAGGCAGGGGATGGAGATTGGGTTGGCGTGGCGTGGCATGGCTCGGTGCTGACATGCAAGCGGGCATTCGGCGGGACCCCGTTTTTCCGTCGGGACGTGGTTGTGGTGGTGGCGGTGGTGTCACTGATGTGGGTGTGACTGTGTGGGTGCGTGCCACGTTTGAAAAGTAGCCACGGCGGAGAAAAATATAACAATTACTGAGCGCATAATAACTGCTTGCGCAAGGTTCTTTTTTGCCTCCCGATTCCCCACTGAGGCATACATAATCATGCGTCGTGCCTTCGGATCGGACCCGGAATAGGTTAAAGGGGCCCGGCTTTGGGAAGGCGACCGACTGCAGCCAAGTACTCTTTATTGGCTGAGTGCGAGCTGCTCGGGTTCTCCCAACTTGTGTCCTTTTGTGCCTTTCTTTCCAGGCTAGGTACCTTTTCTGGTTCTGGCCAAGTCCGTGGCATTTCAGTGCCCGGTGTTACCGCGCCGACTTTGACTCTTGAGTCTTGGCAGAGCGGCAATACATGTCAGATCCCCGGTATTTTCACGCTTCATGTCCGAGTTTCACTGTACTGCACCCCTCGAGGGAGGATCCGACGGCGGCTCGGCTGCAGGGCGAGCTTGAATCGACCCCTCTTGTCCCCTGAGCTAGACCCACGCAGCACAATGACGATTAGGGCCCTGGATACGCGCATCTACCGGGGGGCCAGTTTGTGAGCATGTGTGATGAATCCGGGGTGACGCGCAGGCCATCGGGCCTTCTGAAATTACACCTAGGCCCGTGAGCAGAGGTCTGAGCATCCTCCGGGAGGCCGATGCCGAGGCCGAGGCCGCGTTCTCCGGGTACCCAGCACGGCCTCGACGGCCTCGCCGGCTCGCTACGGGCACTCGGACTTTACCATCGGACTCAGAACGCTGGTGTTGGCTCTGATTCGCTCGGCAAGGGCGCGCCAACAAGCACTGTTAATATCACAGTCAACAAAGAAGCTAGGTCTAACCACTTCCCGGCCGCCACCATATGGACTTCCCACCCCCCATGCCCCTGCGATGAAAAATATCAGAACTTTAATCCCATTTAGGAATACTGTGAGCAACCCCCGGCTTACTGTCATCGGTGACCTCGTCGGCCCGCTCGGTTGTGTTTTGTGCTGTGAATCATAATTAATCATCATTTCCCCAAGGACTTGGAGTGTCCATCGCCTTCCTTTCCACTTCTTTCCCACACCCAAATGGCCGCCCGCCAACCGACGTAGGACAGACGCGTGTTTTGATCCTTCGACTCCGAATGCTGAGGTGAGCATCATGCAGGCATTCGCCGCCAACATTCAAGAGTCCAGAGCTGACGTTGGCTGGTGGCGAGCCAGAGAGCCTAATTGGCCAGCTTTACGGGTCCGACATTTGACAACACCCCCTTTGGTCATCAATGCGAGTTAATAAGCGGGGTAGGTCGTGAAAATCCGAGAGGAGCGAGGACAATGCCTTCAGATTCAAGTCATATATTGATGAGTTTTGGGCCACTTTCCTACGCAACAAAACATGGTGCACTTTTGCTTACAATAGTTGGTAGTTCTTTACGGTAATTATGCCTGTTGGTTTGATATCGGCGGGGAAAATGCCCCCCCCCCCCCCCCCCCCCCCCCCCCCGGCCCGTTCTAGACGCCGTCGTGTGCTCTATTTACCGAGTACGAGCTCTGCGAGAATCCTCTCGGATACTGCCGACTCATTATTGAAGTGCATTGTTTTCTAGATCGAGCCTGACAGTCATAATTACGCGAGCTATTGCAACTGGAGAACCCCGAGTTTCTACTCGATGATCGGCGATCACGTCAGCCCAGGTCAAAAACGATTCAACCAACGACTCTACCTACCCGTCAAATGCGGGACCCGATAACAGGCCCAGTCCTTGGCTGCGGCCGCTAGACCAATTCCTGAGAAACATGGAACTTTCCGAGAAATCGGGGAAGAATTCCACTCCCCTCTTTCATCACCACAAATCCAGTCTTGTATCGTGCTTGTACTTGTTGTATATGACATGTACCTGTCCGGGTTGAAATACTCGGGACTCGCTCGAGGCTCGGTGAATAATATCACTTGTGTCTCACCACCAAACTGCCCAAGGCCCTGCTTCTGAAAAAGCGTACGGGAAGGAAGATGAGGGAGACGGGGAAATTGATGACATCCAGCTTTATTCCGAACCTCCCAGACTTCCCCACGTATAAGCAATGCAGGATTGCAACACTGACACTTGTTGCAGTTCAAACAAGACGAAAACCTACCAGAAATCTACAGCAGGTACGACAACAACCCGATGGCCATGGCTCAGATCCTATACAACCAAAGGAAATCAACCATGTCTTCCTTATTCTTACGGCGCGGTTGTGTGCGCAGGCTCTAACTTGGTGAAAATGGAGACACTGCTCACCACCCGAACTTTTCCCAACGCTGTCGTGGTTAGGCCGTTGGAATCGGCTGGGCACTGGGAGTGCACCTTCATTCGGAAGTTTGCTTCACAAAAAACGAGCTTTGCGAATCTGGGCTAATTCAATCACCCTCCTGGCCAGCTGCAGCCTCCAGTACTCTGGCCGCTTCTCATTTGAGGCACTCTCTACTGCCATTGGCCGTGAAAAGAGGCCAGTCCAATACCTCGCCGATATGTTCGAGTTTCGACAAATTACATGATACGAGGGGATTTTCAATCCTTCTGTCGGGAGACGTAGGCTTTCAAGGCACCGAGGTTGTAAGTCAAGCTTAATAATTAGTAGGCATTCCCATGGCGAGCTTGATTACCAGACCCCGTTGCCAGACGCTATTCCCCGTTGTCTGAGCAAGTTAATACCATCATGTCAAGATCAGATGGCATAACTGCGGCTGATTTACGATCATAGGTAACATTCATGGGAGCCCAGAAAACCATGACTCAGACACTCCACCCACGGAAAAGAGAAAACCCCGGCAACCGGGCAGCTGAGAGAAATTGCAGACTAATTATTGGTTCCAATCACAGAACAGCCGATTCCCTGTTACTCTCAACTCATGCGTAGGACCGGCCACGCGTCCTAAGCCACAACCCAAGCATGTTGCCTGAAGTTAAGTGGCGAAAAGGTGTGAATCAGG